TATTTTGTAGTTGGGTACCTTATTTTAAAAAGCTGTAAAGTAATGTGTTTTCAGGTATCTGGAAAGAGGGGAGGTACCTGATGTCAGTCCAACCATTCCAACTTCCTGAGACACAGCAGCAACTGAACACAAATTTCAGTTAAAGCAAAAACCACTTAAAAAGCACATATGAAGTGCCAACACTTGGCTAAGTGTAAAGTAGTACCAAAAAAAAAGTCTGAAAGCTAAAAATTATCATTTTATATTAGCCACAACAACTGTCACTGGCTCTGGGGTGCATTCGTTACCTTTCAGTACCTGCTTTGCATGTTTGAACCCTGAATAGTCTCATTGGTAAATAGGATGCTACTTTATATCCTCAAATGCTTGATGCATTTGGGCTATGCAGAGAGAAACAGGATGATAAAATAGTAGCATTCTTTACTATCAACTTGGGTATTAAGCAACTTTTCCTAGTTCTAAACACTTGTGTTTAACATGAAACAACTTTTGTTTCTCATTTAGCATACATCAGGGCGTGTTGCCTTTTGACCTAGGAGTGTGTTGTCTTTCTAATTATCCTTTGTATTGTTTTACTGTTCCTTGCAACTATCCAAACAATTTGGTGTGGCCTTAGCAACCAAACAATACTGTTTAACAAAGATTTCCTTACTGCATTGCTCCCAGATTTCCCACGTAGCAGTAGCTCACATCAGAGCAAACAAACAGGATATTGTTTCAAGTGAATAATGTTCACTGTTTTCAAGCAATTTATGAAAGTCGTTTTTTTAGTTTTGAACTGTTGCAAGTTGTATGGTTTCTGGTTCCAGATCTCATCTGAAGTTTTGTAGAATGCTTCATGTTTTGAAGCTTCCAAACTCTGGCAGCTAAAAGTAAAGAATGGCTTATGCTTTTATGGCAAAGAATAGAAGAAAAAAATTACTTAATCCTGTCCTGCAATGACATTCGTTTTCCATTAAGCATATTTAAAATCCATATAGATCCTTCCTACAATGTTACTGATTGCAAATTCATGAGTAAATGAATCCCACTGAACATAATTATACCAGATAATAATGTTGTTTGACCTAGTTAAGAAATCTAAGAATAATTTTGACTTTTCTTTAACAAACTTGTATATTTTTCTTATTAAGCAGTTGAGCTCCCTCTCCGTTTTTCCTGCTACATGTTTGTTTTTTGTGTGTATTTAACTAAATTACAGGTTTTACAAAGCAGGTAAAACCACGAACATTGTCATATGCTAGACAAGAGCCTTGATGCTTATGTCAACCATTAATGGCATCATGAATTAGAGTCCTCAGCAAGTTCACAGATGAAAGCAGATCCTAGTAATTTTTTCTCCCTTTTACATGCTCATCATTTTAGCAAAACTATGGTAATTGTAATATTCTCATGGTAGTATTTGTAATTGTTTCAATTTGACAGTTTTCCCTTGGTTTTTTGGGGGGTTCATTGCCACCTGGAGAGTTTGTGCATGTGAACACAGAGATTAGTAACGAATGGCTATAGGATAGCCTTGACTCTCCTTTGCTGCAGAAAGAGTTAAAAGGCAGGCAGTGATTGAGTCTGTGCACTGACACACACTTGTGTGTGTTGTGTGCCTTGAAGAAATGATTGTGTCAGAATTAACCTGGGAAAAAAATAATATGTATGCTGCTTTTCCAGTTCAGTTCTTTGCACAGCTGATTCTATTGTGTTTGCTTGCATGGGAGGGGAAGGAGCTGGCTGGAAGGGATTGCATCCCTTGACAGTCCTGCAGCATGTGCCATCCAAAGGGGGCTGTGTGAAACTATAGCTAGAGAATGGGGTCCTTGGTAATGCTGGTGGATATAAGGCTGTCCTGGCACCACATTTCCTTGGCTGCATGGTCATGACCTCTGCCTTGTACTGAAATTTCTGCAGCACTTACAGGAGTCAGTCTGGTTATAGTCCTGTTACTTCTTTTTTTCTTGTTAGCGTTACATTTTTGCCCAATTAATCCATTTCCTTTGGTTTAGCTTGAGCCTGAGGAGGGAATTTACCTAGGTTTAGATCAGTATAGACAGCCTTGGGGTTTCATCCTTAGTGAGGGAAGCTGTTCTATAGCTTTGAAAGTTAACACTCTAAGGTCGTCTCTTACTTAGGATTGAGTTGCTAACATGAAGTAAAGATAACACTTTAAAGATGATCAGCTCTCAATGTTTACTGATTCTTAAGTGACAGGGGCTTTTTCAGAGTGATCTTTTAAAATCTGAAGACAGAAATGTGTTATGCAAACACACTATTAAGAATTGTCTACATAAGGCACATCTAATTATAGTTTGGGATTAAGGAGCACAGTGGTCTTTCTTAGTCTCCCTAGAGAGCAAAAAGAGGTGGTTGAGTACCAGCTCCTCACTCTTCAGGAGTAGGAACTGGACCAGACCTCAGCTTCAGTCCAGATCATACGATAGTTGTGGCATATCTAGTAAGCAAGTCTAGAATGAGCTGAAGCTGCTGCTTTGCTAAATTTCTTCTGACAAAACACAAGTAATGACATTGAAAAGGAGTTTTAAATGCTCTCATTTCTTTCCGGCGTCTTAGTGTCAATATATCTTTTAAAATAAGACAGTCCAGCTTGTCTGTTGATTAGAATGAAGCTTTAGCTTTCTTAGAAATGCTCGTATTTAGGATAAAAGCAACTGCATATATTAGAAATATGTGGTATCTGTTAACGGTCCTTAGCTGCTAAGGACCATAGACATAAAATTTCTATCTTGTTTATCTGATGGAGATGAAAGGAAAGTTGTTCAAAATCTTGACGTTGCGGCATTCTTCTTTTTCACCTATCCGATGCTTGGTATTTCTGTTTGTTACCTTCTATGGCTAGGAAGGATGTATTTATTCCTTCTTTTCACCTTTTCTTAAACCTCTGTGCTACTGTTCTTGACACAGTCTCTCTCATTTTCTGGGCTGCCTTTGTAAACACTGGGGCTTAAGGATGACAAGAGTACAGATGCTGGAGAGCATAGGCATTGTAAAGACATGAAGTATTTTTTGAAGTCCCTATAATGTTTATGTTTCTGTACTGAAGGATGGGCCAGTCATCAGATGTGGGATGAGAAAGAGTTTTAGTTTGTCACCTTCCTTTTGCAGTCTGCGCTTTGTTCTGTTTCTTAATGCTTTTGTGTACTTATATCTAGTGAGCTTCTGCCATAGGGATCTAGGTATTGCAGTGTCTGCAATGTGCCATTGACTCTGCTGTGTGGGATATGCTGTTCTCTGTCCTTTAAGGCCTCTGTTACTGAAATCAAAGTGCTGGATTGAAGCGTTAGAGGATGTTTAGAAATGTTTTATGACGTGCAGTGTGTGCCTGTTGTTCTGGTGTTACCCCCAGTTCCTGGGAACTGAGTTTTGTGACCTTGTGCAAATCTTTCCAGCCTCAAAGAAAGGATACTGCAATTTATGTACAGGAAAAAATATGCATTATTCCATCTAAACAGCAAGTTTGTACAATAGCACAGAGATTAAAAACAAGTCATGTGTAGTACTCACAACCTTATGCAAGGTAACTTTCCTTTTGGATTAGAAGCTAATGTAGTTGGGGGGCATTCAGATTTCACTCCTTCAGAATTGCTCACTTCATTAGTGCATTTGATAAATGATAAATGTCAATGGAAGTTGTGGGAGTCTGTGTTATATTACCTAAAATTAAACTTTTGGAATTGATAGAAGATACCATGCATGAATCACCAAGACTTAACTTGAGAAGATGTGATCTTCTCAAAGGTTTGATCTCCATATTTGGTCTCATGTTTTTTCGTAAATGAGTTGAAAAAAAACATTTGAGTAAAAGTTGTGGATAATATTTAGCTATTTAATAGTGTTCGCACATGTAAAAACTGAGAACATGTAAAAAAATTATTAGGTTCTGTAAAATAAACCAAATTAATTTCCTCACACTTTACCTGCAAAAAGCCTTAAAAAAGCTTACCTAAACAAGCCATGAAATGTAGCAGAATAAAACAAATGGGAATTAGGCTCCCTGCTGACTGTCTTAAGGAAAATAAAATCTTAATATCAATAGATAAGAATTGTTAATATTAATTCCTAATATCAACTGAAAAATAACATCTGCATTCATGGAATATGCTAGGGAAATATTAGACCTCCCTTGGTACATCTGGGTCATCATTAAGAGGTGTCAACAGTTATTTTGATATATAGTGTGCAAGACAAAAATTGTTATTTATCCTGATTTTTTTGTATATTAAACCTCTGTGTGTGATTTTTCAAACATGATTTTCAGTAGTGCAGTTCACATTGCTGGCAGCTTTCACAATAAAAAAATGTTTTGGAGTGCTAAGTGAGAAAAATAAAATTAAAGGTGAATAACTACATATAAAGTTTGTATGTGACAATTTTGGTATAAAAGCAAAACATTAACTCTTAGAAAATGAGACTGATATATACAGTGTTATTTGTATTGATTAATAAATATTTAATACAAGGAACAAGTTTTTAATGTGGGACTAAGAAGATGAGTTAGCATGCTATGTCTAAAACGGTTTGCATTCTTGTTAGGAAAAGCAGCTAACTGACAAAAAACACCAAGGAAGAATTTCTCTTGAAGGTATTTGGACACCAAATAGAAATGTGAACTTCATGGATGATCTATAAAATGGAATCAAGCAATGCTTCTCATAATATAGGGGGATATATTCAACCTTTCCATTCAGCCTTCTGATTTTTAGTCATACTTGAACTGTATGGTACTGTATGTTAATCATGGTCATGGTAGAGCATTTTATCAGTAACAGAAGTGACCTACATTGTAAACCCGTGTGCAACTTCAGAGTAGAAATTCCAACCTAGCTAAAACAAGCACATTCTTGTATGTTACAGCTACTTGTTCCTTTCTGGTTTAGAGAGTTTACTATGTGAAAATGTGCGTGTGATGAATGGGAAGCTACTAAGTGACTAGCACTGTGTTTACAAGCTCTGCTTTATAGCTCTGTGTTTTTCTTGTTTTTTTCCTATAGCCTCCGCACCACCCAGCAGAGTAAATAAACGTAGAGTTTCTCCAAGTGTTGTTTCCACCTGGGAAAAGAGAGGCATCATCATGTCTAACATTACTATTGACCCAGATGTGAAACCGGGCGAGTATGTCATCAAAAGCCTCTTTGCTGAATTTGCTGTTCAAGCTGAAAAGAAAATTGAACTTGTAATGGCTGAACCTTTGGTGAGTCCTTTTTTTTTCATAATATCTCTCAAAACGGTCTTGTTTTTTCTGAAATAGGCTGATTTATCATATGTATGGTTACTGAGAAAAGCATTCCCATATACTGTTGACTTTTCAAAGGGATTACTTCAGGAATAAGTAGACTTCTGCAAACAGGGTTGCTGCCTGATTTATTGACTTGTGTCAAAACTGTTACCTAGTTGTTACTGGAAACAAGACCTCTTAGTGTATCCCTAAGGTCTGTGAAGTTACAAAAGGAAATGGGAACAAAAAATGTACCTTCATTAATACTGTGAAGTGTGCTTCCTGTCAGTGTTTCTTTGAAGTAATACTTGGACACTATACTTTCAAGAAAAGATGTGTTTGGTTTGTTTTCTGAAGTAATGATACTAACACCTGGAATAATATAGTAGTCCGCATATACTGCAGATCAGGCAAAAAGGCAAAACTCCATTGGTGATCCAGACCTCATGGTCATGAAATAAATGGATTTATTTTAATTCGGAAATTCTGGAAAACAAAACAAAACCACCCCAAAACCACAGCAAACAAAACCAACTTTTTTTTAAAAAAAAAATGGAAATTCACTGGGCAGGTGAGATGCTGTGCCTTGCAGAAGATCGGCTCACAGAAAGCTTCTGTTGGCCTCTTGCCAACAACTTTGGCAACTGCTTGCCAAAGTGTTCATGTGCAAAAAGTGCATATGTGAGCATTTGAGCATCAGTTTTGAAACTTCAGGAAAAAGTTTTCTTAGGAAGTAGTCCAAAAAAACAAAAAAAGCAGGGCTAAAACTATGTTGTGGGTTATGGAATCATCTTCAACTATAACCATTAATAGATAAAAGGCTGAGTAAAATGAAACTTTTCTTTATACCTATTCTTTATAGATATGTCTGTGTGCACCAATCAAGTTTACAACTTAAATATAAGTTATCTATCTGTTTTTAGACATCCAAAAAGTCATGTATTCAAGAGGGGTTTATAAGAAAGCACAGAAACTTCGTAGCAAAAGGGGCACACAAGTATGAAGGATACCTGGCTAAAAATGAGAGGAGAGCTGTAGTGGCAGTGATGCTATGGGTGGAAAGGCTGGTGGCTCTACTGTCCATCTGTGTGCCGGATGCTGCCTCTCCAGCCCTATTTCCATTCACTGGCCAAACAGACAGGGAGGGTAGTGCTTGGCCAGAGGGACAGACTGCCTGTAACTGAGGTGAGCTGAAGAGAGCTTTTCCTGCAGACACTACTAGTTTGGAGTCAAGTCTAACCAGGATAATGGTAGCAAGGTAAATATAATAGCTCTGGAGTTCACTTCTGCTGCAAAACCTGTCCCTAGACCAGATTAAATAAATCCTCTGTCATCAGTCCCAGGTTGTGTCTCCTTGCCATGCTGTTGGCTGTTAATTAAACAAATGTTTTTAAATCTGTTAATCATACAAAATTGAAACACGTCACCAGATTAAAAATTAGAAACCCCATGAAACTAATTAAATAATTTGCTTTTCACAGAAGAGTGATTCCCAGCTCTGTTGCCTGGTGAGGCTTTATGGTGATTGCATGAAGTCTACCTTAGTCAAGATTTTTTATTGCTAAGAATCTGAAGTCAGTATTTTGTGTGTATACATTATGAATGAAATTCTTTAGTATAAATTAATAAGAAATTACAAATATTACTGAAGTAGTCATCTATAAAGATTTTGAACATTTTTGTCTGGTTTCATTTGCTAAGCTGAATTCCTTTAAACAAAATGTATTTTAATGGAATTAAATAGAATTTATATGTATAGCCAGCATTCCTCATTTTATATTGGTGGGTGAGAAGGACTGTAAAGAAAATCAGCAAACTGAGAGGTGCCAGAAGCTGTGGAAAAGTGAAACAAACTGAGCCTGTATAACATAAAGAGGTAGAAAGGAATCCTTAGGTGTCCCACCGAAAGGAAATACAAAAGTATTGAAGCAGCTTTATTTCTGTATGTAGAATTTAAGTACTGAACATTCAGTTCTAGTGTATGAAATTTAAAAAGAAGGCTAAAAAGGCTGGAAGAGCACCAGAAAAGCACTGCTTGTGATTGGATAAAAGGCTTTAATGGAAAAGTGGAAAGCCATTTATTATTTTAGTGTGATTTGATTTTGTGGAATGACTTGGCTACAAACAAAAGTGTGGAGAATATATATAGGGTTACATAAATCTTTAATGAAGCTAGGCTGTAGGGTGAAGCTGTTTGAGAGACTTTAAAGCCAGAACAATCAAAATTAGGAGCTAGACACTTTTTAAAACTTGAACATGCCAGTAGGGGAGCAAAAATTAATTAAAATAAAAATTTTTTAAAAAGTCACTGCAGATCAAGACAGCATCTATGGGTGAGGGGTAGTATCATTTTTGCTAGATGTATGGATTACATTTAAAAGCAACTGACTTGTGATTTGAGAAATTAACTGAATTGTTTCCCTGGCTGTGAATTTTACCTACTTTCTTCTTACTAATTTAATTAAGAGTTCTCTGCTTCCAAAATTGCCATACCTCAGCGTTTTCAAAGTTACAGACAGAGCTTATCAGCAAATGCTTAAAATAAATGATTAAATGAAAGCAGCATGTGTAATGACAGAAAGGAAGATCATCCTTTTAATGAATAAATGAAATAAAACCTTTTTTTTTAACCAGTTATGCTAAATCTTTTGCAGCAATATATGGTTTTAAAGGAAAAAAGAGCCCAAGAGTAGTCTTGTAGCTTAAAAAATACTTCTTCTCAGCTGAGAAGGATGACACTGAGGAATGACACCAGCCTTCCCCAAATGTGACATAAACCATACCAGTTAAAAAGATTAGCGATAAACTCAATTATTTCGTATTTCATCAAGCTGCATGCAAATATGGATGATTAGAATTTAAGCAGAGAATTTAACATGGTGCCACCAAGTTGATAAACTGCTAATCTACTAGATTGTAGTTGTCTCATGTGGAAGTCAAAACTAGCGAGAGTATTTAAACCTGTTACTAACAGAAGCAACTCTGTTGTGGAAATACTAAAAATGGCTTAGACTAGCAATGTACACTTTAGCAAGTGTTGCCTAGGTGCTTTCAAAAGTTTGTCTGAAGTAAAATTTAGCACAATACTCTGCTTGTCTCTGGGGCAAGGATGCAGGCACTTCCCAGCCCTTGGGCTGCAGGAGGCAAGGCAGCATCCCTTGTCTGGTTTCTTCCCTGCAGCTTGGAGGACAGCCAGAAGTGCTCCAGTTTGCTTTGCACACCTGAGCCACCCTGCTGAGGTGTGCTAACCATCAGAGGAAGGTGCCAGGGAATTGTGGAGAGGAGCCAACGGGTGGTACCTTTTTCCATGGGTGCAGTTGTTTGCACAGCACATGCAAGTCCTGATCCCTGCTGCCTGCCATATGTTGACATTTCTCCTTTACACAATGGATGCAAACTGCTCTTTGCTTAATGCAATAGTGTTTTGTTTTTTCATTTCACTTGTAAAAGATAAATGTAGACCTATTGTTTTCATCTCTCTCTGAACTTCAGGAAGCCAGGAAAATAAATCTTAAATTATTAATTCAGTTAGAGTTTCCAGACCTTTACTTTATGCTGTTGAATAGATTTTTTTAAATCATGTGAGATGACTGAAGCCATGACAAAGCAGAGGTAGAAGAAGACATTAAAAGAAAATAAATTTTAAAGCCATACAAATAATTCAAAGGCCTTGATAAACCTGTGATTGGGTTCAGGAGTGTTATTTGGTTATGTCACCTTTGTTTGGTCAGTGTTACATTAACTCTACAGTGTATTTACCTTTTAACAGTTAAGATCCTTAGTGCTGAGGAAGCATAATAGAGAGGATTATGAACTTCTAAGGTCTTCATTCTTTCTGACCTTAAAATCTTAAACATTTGATATACAGAACTATCTAAATTAGTATGGATTATGGGAGGAAAGCTAAATTTCAAAGCTAGTTTGCTCTCTATTGACATGGATTTCAACTTCTTTATCTAAAGACTTACAGATTATTTTATTTCTCTTTGATTTGTCATTCCTTTTTTTAGCAATTTTTGGCTTTAGACACATGCAATGGGTATAGTGAACCCTGCCAGGGTTTCTTCACCTGTATAGTAGTTTTGTGATATGATGGTGGAAACGTTGGGATGTTCCCATCCTATCCTAAAGAGATTTAAGGAACCTGACTTTTCCCATCTTCATACAGGAAAGTCACTTTTCCATCTTTTAAGGAAACAGTTTCCTACCTCTTATCATTTAACTTTATTAGCAATGATACAATGTTTGTATAGAGCAGAACATTTCTTGTGTTTCTGCTTTATAGATAAGCTAGCAATTACTGTGCAGTTTATCTGAAAGCATAGTACAGATAACACGAATTCACCTATAGCAGGTGTTTCCATGTGGAAAAAAAAGGAGTCGTCCTAGCTAAAAGAGAATTTGGCTTGGCAAGTGCTCTCTGGAGCTTTTAGTATATGATTTGAAATACCAATTCTCATAACAGTTTTTTGAACAGATTTAACATGTAAAATTACATGAATTTGAAAGAATCAAGGAAATGAAACTTTTTCCTCCTTGTTTTTGAATAGACAGTGAAAGAACATTAACTGCTATATCAGTTGATCAAAAAATAGAGCTTTTTCAGAATAATCAATGCATTTTTCTGAAACCTCTTCCTAAAATATTTTTTAATTTGGGCATACTGGAAGTGAACATAAATGGTAGTATTTTCCTAGATAATTAAGTGGATTTCTTTGGATTATGGAAAGTGAAAATGACTTGTGAATTGGCATCTATACCATTTCAATTTATACTTTCAGAGTAGGCAAAAGCTTTTTGTCTGGACAGTGTTGAATTCAAGTTTTCAGAGTCTGTAATAGTTGCCAGATATTGCATTCTTTTTAACACCAAATACTTTTATATACTATTAACAGTACTCTTTTTAACACAAAGCTGCTCTTACTGGAGAAAATGCCAGAAATTGTGCTGTATTTTCAAGATTACAATTAAGACAAGAAAAAATAAGTTGCCAGTTCAAACCTGGATTTGGGGCATGCAATATGAATTTTTATCTGTTGAACATATAGTCTGTCTCTTGCAGCCTTGCAAGTGTTAATCACCAAGCAATGTTGACTTTCTCAGATTTTGTCAACAGCCTGACAGCATGGGTGTTGTCTCATACTAAACTACTGGGCAGTTACTTTGTGCTAACAAAGAGTTACAACCTGTTGAGAGCAGAGCTCGCTATCAATATTGCTCACACCTCCTACATGCCAAACCAGGCAAGTTAATTCTTTGACTTACCTTGCTCCGTAAAACTTCCTTGTTTGCTTACTGCAATCTAGTGTGAGCTATTAACTCTTGACTCTAAATACTTTTTTTACTTCCCATGTGAAAGATAACATTTTGGACTCATTTATAATATTATCAAATGAAGCTTAGTTCACATTTTTTTAAAATAACAGGAAATTTTCATCAGATCTTTATATATGTTACCATTTTGCAGTGTGCCTTTAAAGCTGTTGCTGTGGCACTTGCCTTGCTGTAAATCATTGACCCTCAGAGCCAATGCACAGGACTCAGTGTTCTCTCTCTTTTTCTTTTTTCTTCCCTTTTTTTTCTTCTTCTTTTTTTTTTTTTCTTTCTTCTTTTCCTCTACCTTCTTTTCTTCTTTTTCACTTTCCAGGGTACCTGAGCAAGGTATAAAACTTGCATTTCTTGTAAGTGTATAATTTCATCCTCTGCACAGTGACTAGTAAGAATTACTGTTTACTATTAGAGTTTGTGAATGTTTTGTTTCTGTAATGCTTTAATCCTCACTAAATTATTTTGTACAATTTAATTTTGCTTTTAACAGAGCAGTATGTCATATGCTACTGGTAGCGATAAATACTGTAATAAATAAAATTCCAGTAATATTTTTTTTTTTGTGCCTTACAGTTATTTCAAATTAAAGCAAGGGATTATTCACATTCTCCTTTTACTGGAGCAGGTCTTCTACTATGTTTCATTGCAGTTCAGGACAAGAGCAGATTGGAAATACATTGAATGCACTTGTCTCTGCCTTTGTGAAGACATTTTAAAAATCATTATTGTAACTTAGAATAATTGCCATATACGAACATGAGTATACTTGTTAATTGAGATGGGAGTGGCTTTTCCTCTAAGTTACACTTGATACCCACCACCAGCTGGTCCCCGTTTGGCCTCTGACATCTTCTGTTTGTCAGTCTTTAATGTTATTATTGTTTAGCAACTGAATTATTTTTTGGAAGTATACTTCACATCTCCAGAAATACTTCTATCTGAAAAACAATGAAAACATTTACATCAAAAGTTATTGCTTTTTTCTGTAATACAACTGAGAAGGAATGAATCTCTTTGATAATAGTCAATTGCATAGTGAAATGTATGTTTCTTTTTATTTTTATACAGGAAAAGCTCTTGTCCAGATCTCTTCAAAGAGGTGAAGATCTTCAGTTTGATCAGGTAGGAGATATATATAATTGGAGGCAACTTTTATTGGATTAAGGTGGGCTTTATTTTTGCAGAATAGTGGTTCCACTATTGTAATATCTTAGAACATTCGCATCTGAATCTGTGTTAGAAGATTTAGACTCTGACTGTTGGTTAGACTTTATTTTCCACTGTAGAATATGATAGCAAGAAACTACTAGAATAGGTAATTATTTGAAGGTGGCAGTGAAAACTGGTAGAAGAAATATGTTGAAATGCACTAGAGGACAAAAGTCTTAGTTTATTTCTACTATCACTTATTGTTTGAGTGTTTGGGGCTCTGTTTTTTAAACAAATAGTGTTAATTTTATTTCAATAACACAGCTTTTACTGAGGGCTTTTTGATTCTATGGCAGAAGTTATAGGGTATATTCAAAGTGTTACTAAAGTGTTACTTTGTCCTTTGCTGAGAATACAGATAGACTGCTGGGCAATTCCATTTCACTTACTCTCAGTGAGCTGTGTCTGGGATGACTCTCTGCTTAAATTATTTATATTTATTGTCTTTATTTCTAATTCTTCAATAGTGTAGGCATGTTTGTGTCCCATAACCACTTCCTTGCAATGGAGAGGCAGCATTCAGAGGAAACCCCATTAATTGCCTGTTCCTGTTCTTGACTGTTCCTGAATAGTACCTACTATATGAAGCTTAGTGTTCTGTCTACAGGGAGGTTCTAAAAACAGGCTGAGTGAAGAAAAGAAGAAATAAAATATGTAACTTTTAAAATTTGATAATACAGAAAGAAACTAGTTTTCCTGAAAATACGGTTCTTTCAAAAAAATTGTTTTGTGTGTGTATATATATGTGTGTGAGTTCTTAGTTTGTTCTTTTGTTATTTGTAATCTACTTTGAAGATCTGAACCTTAATGCAACTGAATAACTGCTTTAGACAGATGTGAATGGCTGGGATTATGAATTTTGTTAGGGAATTTTGCACATTGTTTGGCAAAAGGAATTAAGATTGTGCATCTCTGTTGCTCAATGTATAAAACCCTTATTAAGAACAATTCTCCAGCAGTGCAGAAGATAACAGATTTACAAGTGATTTGCAAAGTGTGGGAATGAGGAGGATCCAGACATCACAGCATCCAGCAGAGAAGCTAGAGCTGCTGCTAGGCCAGCCTTGTTCACCCAGAGGTCTTTATGGAGCCAGGAGTCTGAGTCTAAAAAGTGACCTTACCTGTATTGATAGTGGGGTCTGAGCTAGTAACTGTTGTACTTTGTCAGTAAGGAGAACATGCTTGGAACACAAGAGGGCTCTGGGACTAAGGAGGTATCTAATTAAGACTTGTTCTCTCAGTAAGCTCAGTAAGTGATGAGAAGAGGGCTGGAGGAGAAAGGCATGTAGTATTGCCTGTACCTCTGATAAAAAAGTAAAATAGCATTTAATGGGGTTATAAGCTATTTTTGTTGGAAACATAACCAGACCAAGAGGGCTGTTATTAAAACAAGTGTGAAAAATCAATAGCTTTTAATTTTTAAACAGCAGAAATCTTCTGTTGTCATTTGATATCTTAATTGGAACAATAATATAAACTCAGCTAAAAGAGCTGACATTTTGGAAAGTGAGAAGGAAATTTGTATGTTGATACACTCACAAACTGTTAAAAATTTTAGCATTTTAGTACCAGTGCTTTGCCTTTATCATTCATAGCACATCAGGAAGCTACCGGACAGAAGTTTTTTTATAGAGCATATATTGCATTTCTTAAAATATTTTTGCTTGTACAGCTTGAAACTGAAATAGCTTGTGGGGTTTTTTTTCTGTTTGTTTGGTTTTTTTGTTTTTTGGTTTTTTTGTTCTGGGAGACATACTTGGCAATTTCCTACTCTTGTCCTAAGACATCAAAACTTTATGATCACACAGAAGCCTGTGTTGACCTTCTCAGAGACTGAAAGCAGATGTATGTGAGGTTCAGGCTTGTTCATGATTAGGCACAACTTGAGCAATGTTTTCAGGATCAGGATTTTGGCCAAAGCTGGAGTTTATGCTCTAGCATCTTACCATAATTTTGCTTTTCTCTTTTTACATCTCACTGTGCTGCTGGATATGTTATGTGCAATTAGCAATATGTTACAGCCTTTAAGACTTGAGTAGGATTTGCTGTTTCATTCTGAGGAACTGAAGTATACGTCATGTGTATTGCAGCCCTGTCCTCCTGGGTATTACAGGAGCACTCTTTGTCTGGACTGCTGCTCTCAGCCTAGGCATAATGTAATGCTAAAATAAGAATATTCTTGTATAAGACATATATATTTTTATACAAGAAATGATATTTTTTAATGTAAGATGATTTTGAATTTAGTATTCAAGCATTATAGTAATTACTTTAAATGAAAAATAGCTGATGTTCTGCTTAGATGCTATGCAGCATTAGCAAAGATGTCATCTTCCTGGTAATTCCAGTGCCTTTTCATTAGAATGCAAAACTTGGCAGGAAATAAGTAATTATTATTTAAATCTTACTTTTTATTTTTCAAGAGGAAAATGCTTTATTATGCTAGTAGTTTCTGGGTTTAGCACTTTACCGGTGACATTTTTGAATGCATGTGATGCATGCTTGTTTCTGTGGAAGCCAATGTAAATTGCCTAACTACTGGAACATTTATGGGTGGTAGTAGTATTGGTAAGATAAACTGTAAACTTGCAGGAAAACCTGAGAAAAAGGTTTTGTAAAGCTTAGAATTCAGGTTGCTTCTTTTTCTTCCGCTAATAAATCCATCCATTCAGAACACAATTTAATTCTTGTGACTTGAATAACTGACTGGTTGACAAGCTGAGTAATGTATTCTGAGGTTCCCTGCGGTTAACTTGTTCCCCATCCCTTCCACAAACTTAAAAACCCAAGATGATTCAAATGAGGAAAAAAAATAACTGCATTAATGTTTTATCAGAGCATGTAATGCATAATACTGTATTGTTATCTGGAATAGTGAATAATAGATAAGTTACAGCATGAGCATGACTTCTGTTAAAACCTCTTATCTGAACGATCCAAGAGGTGAGTAATACATGGCATCAGTGAGCAACATGGTAACTGTCCCAGTCCAGCCTGTGTTTTGGGAATGGGCTTGCTCCCTGCTGCCTCCTGGAAGCAAGTTTATAATGGCATTATGCTGTCTTCAGTCATTCTTCTCCTTTCCAAGCTGGGGTACTTAGGAGTTCTCTCTAAGTTTTTAGTTAAGGGAAGACTAGAAAATTTAAGTTTAATAACATCTTAAAGTCTTCCTTCTTAATAATGGTTTCTATTCCACATCTGTTGCACAGATGAGTTTACTAAGCTATGTTTTCTGAAAGATAGCACTAGACAGGGGAGTTATACTAAAACTAAATATAGCTTGAGGCCCAGACCAGTCAAATGTATTAAAGGCAACATAGAATATCTAAAAGGCTCTTATTTTTGTTTATATAATAACCAAAGAAGCAGGAAGCAGTTTTTGAAAGTTACATACTTCATCAGTTTTGGAGAGTTGCCTCTTATCTGTCATTTGAGATGTGAAGCTGTGTATACTTCAGAGATATGTACAGCAACATTCAGTGACATCCTAAAAACTCTGTTGTTTTCTCAATGGTTTTATACATGTTATATATGAATAAATTTGTCATTTTGTTACCCCAGTGAGCTTTGGCAGACTTGGCTTAAATTTTTTTTAACAATGGACTTAGTGTGTAATATTTACAGTAACTGTTTTAGGTGAAAACGAATATTAAGTTGCCACTCAATGATAGATGTTTTTTAACATTAAAAAACAATTTGAAAGAATGATTAAACTCTAGGATTTTTATTGCTATATCAGGCTAAAGTATTTTTCTTACACTTTCAGTTGATAAGCTCTATGAGCTCAGTAGCAGAGCACTGTCTCCCCTCCTTACTACGCACCTTGTTTGACTGGTACAGGCGTCAAAATGGAACAGAAGATGAATCTTATGAATATAGACCTCGGTCAAGCACAAAATCAAAGGGGTAAGAATTTTCCTTGCAGAAGTCTGTCTGATTTCTGTGTGCTTTCTCATAAGAAGATGTGTGCTTTATACTTCTGTGACAAGTATGTTGTATTTGGATTTGTCCTTACCTAAATTTGTGTAGAAAGAACACAGAGTTCTTTGTGGTAGTGTATTTAAGTTGTATAGATGATATACACGAAGTGACTTAATGCTTTTGGTGTGGATACACAGGAGGTTGGTTACAGGTAATTCTAAGCTAGTTTGATTCTTGGCAGGTCCTTTCAGGAGGAGGGGGCAAGATGTCAGTGCTGTGCCAAACCCCCAGGTCTTTCTACCTATCCATTTTATATACATCTTCAGCAGTGATTACATGAAAAACAGTGCAGTCATTATCTCTTCAGTATTTGTGTTCTCATCAGTCTCATGTCTGATACCTGTGTTCTTGATTTCTCATTTTAGGGATGACCAACAGCGTGAAAGAGATTATCTACTTGAAAGGAGGGACTTAGCTGTAGATTTCATTTTTTGTTTAGTTTTAATAGAGGTTCTAAAACAGGTAAGATCTTTTGCTTTGGCAAATTAATTTTAATATTTTGCTTTTAATATTGGTTTTGAGAATCTCCTTTAAATTTTTAATTTAAAAGCTAGAACATATCTATGATGAGCATATACAAGGCTGTAATTATACTCTCATAAACTTACATAAAGCTTTTGGCCTCTTCTGCCTTTACATGCCTGCATTATTTCAGTTCATGTGCCTTGGAAAGCTGCTGATGTACTGCAAAAAGCAGAACTGTAAAAAATAACTTTTCATTTATGTTCAGTACCATTTGTCAGCTTAAATGTGTTTGAAATACAGGTTGAAATTGTTGGATAATGAGATTAAACTGCCACTTAAAAAATTAGAGAAGGTATGTAACTTTGCTTAGAATTATCTTTATTTGGCTAAGAATGCCAATGCAGATTGTGTAAATGTTAGATATTGCAGAATTAGCATGATATATGCCAGCAAAGGATGTGGTCTTGGACACTGAGGGGAAAAGATTTCTCCAGGGCATCTCACAGTACTGTTTATTTGCTTCATACATGCATGTATGTATAGGTGCTACATACATGTAAGTGATATGTGCATTTCAGATACCTGTTCATCCAGTGCCAGATCCTTTAGTACATGAAGTTCTAAACTTGGCTTTTAAGCACTTTAAACATAAGGAAGGGTAAGTTTCACTTGTGTGTTTTAAAATATTTTATATTACCAGATTGTGCTTGCTTGTTATGATTGCCTCACATATAACATGTTGGTGATAAAACCAGTGTGAATGAACACTAGTTAATGTCTTTAAATGGAAAACATATCTTGAAAGAACACAGCTGTGTTCAAGGTAACACTGAGTTTATTTTGCTTAGAATATATAGAATGATTTACATTCTCATACACTGTAAGAAAAGTCCAAGTTTGGATAAATACAGTAAAATTTCTATCCAGAATAGGTTTTTTTCCAAATAAGAAATGAAACTACACTATTTTAAATGTCATCCATGCATTATATGCTTGATTTTAATTGTTTTGATGGTAATAATTTGCCTGCTAGAGGACTAACTTTTTATTTGTTATTGAGAACTTGCTTGGGGTTTAGAAGGAGCAAAGTTGTATTTAATGTATTTTATTCCCTTCATTTTAATTTTTTTTTCCTCTTTAGGTATTCAGGAACCAACACTGGGAATGTGCATATTATTGCAGACTTATATGCAGAAGTGACAGGGGTTCTTGCTCAATCAAAGTAAGTTCATTCTCTTGCTCTTTGTGTTTAGGGACAAGCCAACATAGACTTAAAACTATTTGATATAGAATCTATTCATGTAGCTAATCCTGTCAAATCCTCTGTCAAATGTAGTCAGGTTAAATGTAGTCAGGTTAAATGTAGTCAGCCAGCACGATAAAATTGAGCAAATCAAGAAATAATCTTTAGTGCAATTGCTTTGCAGCAGCTTGTAGGGGCAGTCATATGTTGTTCAGTTAACTGGTATATTCTACTGATCATCATAGGCACTCTTAAATGCCTAGATGTGAAGAACCAGGGTTCAACTTGCTTGCATTTTTCATTCAGTAGGTGCTGTTATTGTTACAGACTAAAGAAACTGGTTCAAAATTATAGACCCCATACAAAAGTAACTAAGAATGCAAATAATTGTCATCTGTGTCCCTTGTTCAGGTTTCAAGCTGTTAGGAAGAAGTTTGTCACTGAATTAAAGGAGCTGCGACAAAAAGAACAGAGTCCTCATGTAGTACAGAGTATCATCAGTTTGATTATGGGAATGAAGTTTTTTCGAGTAAAGATGTATCCTGTGGAGGATTTTGAAGCATCATTTCAGTTCATGCAGGTAAACAAATGCTACATAAAACTGAAATGAGTATAATTTTAAATGTTTAAGTCATGAAGCTATGATGACACTTGCTGTGATCAGTCACTCCCTCTACTTCTGTACCATCTTTCATCCTTTTCTGTTCAGTTCCTAATTTTTCAGAGGTGTGAATTATTTGTTTCTCTGCAGTTTGTGACTATCTGACATCAGGAGAAACCTTTCACAATTGCTTTAGTGGTGTGGCAAACCTGTAATACATGAATTTAAGACTGAATGAAATGGCTAGCAGACAAATCATTTTCTGCCTTTATGAAAGCAGTGTATTAAAGAAAAAGAATTATTTTATATATATATAATTTTTTAACAGATGAGATGTCAAGACATACTTTTCTTTAAAACCACCTCACTATGGATTATTTATTGTGTATGGAATATTTATTATCTTTAATTTTCTTTGCATCAAAGTTCTTTGAAAATGAAAATTAGTATATAAAATATAATTTTAATAGAGGTAAGCAATAAATTTTTTAAGCTTCAAAATAATTGAAGGAAAATGTGCATATTTATATTTTGTATTGTGAGTACTCTTTATATTCTGAGTAAAAAGTAAATAGCTATCTGGTATTACAAAATGTGCTCCTTTCAATTCATTGAGGTGTATTGCTGGGGAAATAGGTTTTAAAGTTTCTTATGTTTTGTGAAGTTGATACTGTTAAGGAATGCAAGACTAACTCAAACACATGACATGTTTTAAATTAAAAAAGGCAACTGATGTTAGACTGCTAGTGTTTTTTATGGCATAGTTATGTTTGTAGTCTTTTTTTCTAAGTATTTTCCTAATGTTTTCTTACTAAGGAGTGTGCTCAGTACTTCCTGGAAGTAAAAGATAAAGATATAAAACATGCACTTGCTGGTTTGTTCGTGGAAATTCTCATACCTGTAGCTGCTGTAAGTATTTTAATCCCCCCTGACATGCTGTTCCTCCCACTTTCAATTGGGCTTTCATTATTAAAATTCTTGAATTAATCCTCAAAATATTGCATTGTATAGATTCAGAAAGACATCTGGTACCTAAGGACGGCTTACAAGGAGGCTGAAGAGGGAGTTTTTACAAGGGCATGTAGTGATAGAACAAGGTGGAGCAGGTTTAAGATGAAGGAGGATGGGATTAGATTAGATTTTAGGAAAAATTTGTTTACTGGGACGGTGGTGAGGCCCTGGAACAGGTTGCCCAGAGAAGTTGTGGATGCCTCATGCTTGGACGTGTTCAATGCCAGGTTGGATGGGGCTCTGAGCAACCTGGTCTTAGTAAAAGGTGTCCCTGCCCACAGCAGAAGGGGGAGTTAGAACTACATTATCTTTAAGGTTTCCTCCAACACAAACCATTCCATGGTGTTACATAGATTACAAACACCTTCACAGTTTTAAAGGGAAATGGGTTGACTTGTGTGTTAGGTAGTTTGCGTTTTTTTCATAACTTAAAAAAATTAGTCTGTTTTCTAGACACCTTTATTACCAGAGCATTGTGTAATTTTATAAGTGCTCTAAAAATTTGAAGTTTCCTTGGTTTAATATTTGTTTGCTCAAGGGTCTTCTTGACTTTCCTTTACTAGCTGAAACCTTTTAAGTTTCTGTAATAACCTGCGATATGTAACATTTTTACAGTCTGATAAGGAGAGTGTGAACTCGTATGCAGTATGGAAAAATGTTTGTTTTAGCTAATTAAATAAAAATCATTTGTAGAGGTGAATGTCCACTAGATTTAATCCTTCAAGTGGAAGAGCAGTCAATCATCTTCTGTGTGTGTTTCAAATCTAAAAACAGAAATTTCACACAGCAGTCATGAACAAGGAGAAAACCTCATTATCATCACAGTGTTGGATGTACTGTGCCTCTAATGCTGCTTGTGAGAATGTTTCAGTCAAGACAGGCTCTCCTTCCTCCCAGGCTGCTTTGCTTGGTTTTGTGAAGCTTGTCCAATAGGTCAAGAAGAAATTATGGCACCTGAGTATAATTCAAGTTGACCATTTACCACAAACTCAGTTAATTTCATCACAGTAAATTGATACTTGCTAGGATTGTTGTCTAAAGTGTTAGTTGTATTGGCAGATGCCAGGCCACACTGTTTGGCATGCATTCCCAAAAAATGGCAGGTTGTGCCTCTATGTTGCTACATAGATTATAGGGACATACCTTGCTATATATGGAAAATCCGGATAGGTGGGTCTTGTTTTGTAGAATAGGATCTATGAAGAGTAGAACACTGGATAGGCATCCCATCTGAAGATTATAGGAAAAGAAAGATAACTCTCTCTGAACTCTTAATCCTCTTTTAAATGGTTTACCTTGCCCTGGGCAAATACTTCTTTCCCTTCTGTGGTCTCAGTCTTGGTTTTTTGAGGTGGTTGTTTTTCTTTTTTTGTGGGGTTTTTTTGTGGGTTTTTTTGTTTGTTTGTGAATTTTTTCAGTTTGTTTTTGGTTGGTTGGTTAGGTTTGGTATTCTTGGGGGTTTGATTTTTTTTTTTTTTTAAATTTTTAAATTTCAAAGGAGGCAATCTCTTTTCATAAGATGTTACTAGAAGGAGGTGTTTCTAGTAGTAACTGTTTATGGGAAGAAGTTTTGATCTCACCCAGGCATGCTTACACTCTTCTAGAGAAGAAGAATTCTATAGAAGAATTTCCTTCCTATTAAAGAGTGAGCAAATTTTGTCTTTTTGAATTCCATAGTTGCTTGGCAGTTGGAGTGGGAGTGCTGAGTGAAACTACTTACTTAGCATTTAGGTAAATGGAAATATTAGTTTGCAGAATCTTAAGCATAGTGAAAACTGCCCTTGAAATAATGAGGAAGAAGCAGCATTTGGGAGTTGGGACTATCCACTGACAAGGGGGGAGGCATGAACACTGGCTGTGCAGAGCACTTGTGGTGGTGTGTGATCCCTTCCTACAAGCACAGCCTGAATCAGCGCTTCACAGACAGTTGGGGAGGGAGACTTGATCTTTCCATCTGACTCATTGAGTCTCTAATCATTTCACACAAATGGAGCTTCTTAAATAGAAATGAAGAGCTCACTCCCAGGCTGAGGTGCAGTTGAGCAGGTTAGTCATTCTCTTGGAAGATTTGAGATGTGAGTTTGAATATTTTTGATGCAGCTGAAGGAATTGAATGTAGATTTTTCTGTATCTTGGATACAGAAAATCACTCAAGTGAGGAAGCTGTTGAGTTTCAGCATTGAGACTTCTTTACTGTCATTCTCTTGCTTAGTCATTCAGGCATTTTAAGAAACCTGACCTGATTTGGACCCTGCAGGTATGATGAATCACAGCATGTTTTATAGCAAGGATGTTAGGGGTGCTCTGAAAGCCTAAGGTTATATCCCAAAGCAGCAATTAGATGATGACAGCAAATGACTGATTTTTTATGTGAAGCTAGCAGAGTACTAATCAACTTATAGCCTAAGAATAGCAGAAGATAAATAATTTGGTACATAGGAAGTGATTTAAATTATAACTACTTTCTCAGTTCTTTCTTCTTGGATCTGTACACATTACAGAGATACATGCTATTTTTATGCTTCTACATCATGGGGGTTTAGGAGTGTTCTTAGTAAGGTGGACATGATTTTTCTTGGTATAATGTTAGTAGATATAATGTTTATATAATATTAATAACTAAAGAATAACAAAAAAATCTTACATTGTAAGGAAATTATATGTACAGAGGCTCTCATCCAAAAAAGACATTTCAGTCTCCAACACCCCACCCCTCAATTTGATAAATAAAGCAGAAACAGCTTAAAAAAGTAGGCTGAGAATAATATTTAAGTAGATCATCCTGGGGATCCAGAGAGGAGCCTAAGAGCTTTGCAGAGGTTTCAGTAAAGAAGGTGGTAGCTGTTTGTCTGCGGAAGGAAACCTGTGCTGTGTGCAAGAGCAGAGCGGGTCGGAAGGGTATAGGGCTCCATGTGTGAGCCTTCATTCTGAAGGCTGAGCAAAGAAAACTTGCATGATTGGTTGACTGGTTATCCTGTGGATTATTTCTTCACTTTCCAGTTTTCATTAAAACAAAATAGAAAAGAGGAACAGTTCAGAGGGGAACTGTGAAAGTTATCGATAGCAATTTTTTGAATAAATGTAAATATGCATATGAAGAGCTACAACGTAGTTTTTATTTGTTAGTTGGTGTCAAATACATTTTCTTACTTGAAGTATGGAATAGAGACCATGTTCTTAAAACAGTTTTAGTGGGCTGTTTTGTTGGGGTGGAGGTTTTTGGTTTGTTTTCTTTAATTGTTAATTTTAAACATATGGTTGTAGTGTATGGCAAGATTTCTTATGCTTCTATTTATATTTCAGATAAATACATAAATACATTCCTAATGTGAAATTTAACTTTTGAATGATTTTGAATTCCTAGACATCTTAATGTATATTTAAATTGCCTTCTGTGTAAATTTTTAAGCCCATTAATTTGTGTTGTTTTTTTTCTAATAGGCTGTTAAAAATGAAGTGAATGTGCCATGCTTGAAAAACTTTGTGGAGATGCTTTATCAGACTACCTTTGAATTGAGTTCAAGAAAGAAGCATTCGCTGGTATTTCAAAGAAATATTTCAACTTCTCCATTTTGCTCAGCTTAAGATAGTACATTATATGAGGAGAAGCTTATCAGGCCATATTAATTTAAATCTTAATGTCTCAATATAATTAAATTCCCACAGTGTATGGGCATTTGTTCTAATTTTGCTTTGTTTCTTTGTGCAGATACGTGCTTTTATCTCACATGTGAGATTGTCTTGAAATCAGTGCTTGTTTTTGATTATTTATGTGGGTTTTAGCAGAGTTATTTAACCTAATGTCTTTTTAGTAAAAAACTTGCATTCAGGGAGTCTAAATATATTTCTCTTAGGGTTAATTAAAAGAGATAAATGTCAGACAAGACCTTTCCAGTAAAATAGCCACATCTTAATAGCCCTGCTCTGCCTGGTTCTCTCTTCATACACCTTGTTTTTCTTTTTTCAGTATTTTTTTATTATCTCTTATTTTTGCAGCGTTTGGTTATTTTTGATGACTATGGCAGCCATGTTTCAAGTTGATTCACTTTGCTGAAAATGTAGAGCTAATTTTTTGCATTTCAGTTCGCATATTCAGTAAATGCAAGTGAATTTAAAATATTTTATTCTCACTTTCATGGTATGGACAAACCTTACTTTCTAGTATTCTGCACCTATAGGTTAAACTCCTTATGTAAGAATGACATAAAGTGGCTGATATTGGTATTCAAAATGTCATTTTATTTATTAAGTTAAATGTTTCAATAGTACCATTTACCTACTCATCTTTTAGTTTTGCTTCATGACAAGAAAAGCTGCAGTCAGATTTGGTACTAATGTGTACCATTAGATGTGTTAAAGTATTTGGTACTTAAACAAAATTATCTTACTAAAGCAAAGCTAAATCATACCCTGCATACTCACAGACTTAAATTAAATTATATTGTGGTTCATTCCTCACTAAAATTAGATCTTGACTAGAAGTAGCATTTTTGACAACTGAAAATCTCAGTTTTCACTGAGTTGATGTTTTTGCTGAATATTCTTGGAGGCAGTTCACCTGCCCAGCATGTAGGACTGCATGAATTGAGTTTTGTGGTTGCAGGGAAAGCATTACCATTGTATGAAGTGTCAGACTGCTCTCAGTCCTTGTTTGAGATCAAGCCTTTCTGGGGGATGAGCTTCACCTCGGTCCCACTGCCCAGTCTGACCCCTTGAGCTCTTCCAGCACCCAGGAGGTTACTCAGGGCACTGTGTCAGGCACAAGGGTCCCAGTGCAGGGGAGATGCTGCCATGCAGTGCCAAAACTGTGGGAGTGAGAGGCAACAACCAGCTGTGTCTCATTCTCAATGTACAACACTTAGGAGTTCTGCAAAGAGCAATTTGATCAATTCTTTTTCCCCCCTACTCATAGGCTTTGTATCCATTGATCACCTGCCTGTTGTGTGTCAGTCAGAAACAGTTTTTTTTAAATAACTGGCACGTTTTCCTGCAGAACTGTTTGTCACATCTAAAGGTAAGAATCCTTTTTAATTAAGGGTGATGCTGTCATGTTGGAAATAAGTGTGGTCCCCTTGGGGAATTATCATTTTTATTGAGTAATGTCTGCAGAAGTGTCTGCTAATAAGGGTTGTTCATGCCAGAGAAAATACAAACTGTAATTCTTTATGTGAAAATTATATGTGAGAAAATAAATTACTTTTCTGCTCTTCTAAATAGAATGAATAGGAACTGCAAACTTTCTATCTTTTGTTCACTTAGTGAAGGAATAGAAAATTAACTGTGAGACCAGAAAAGATGTTATATCTACAGCCTGTGATACATGTTTTAAAAAAACAGTTACAGTGTCCTTTTAACTTGTGCCTTTTGTTGATATTATTGTAACCATCAATTGGTTGATAAAGACATCAAGATACTTACAAATTAGTCACTTTCTTGTAGTTATTGTACATGTTCTTTCCTTGATTATGATTAACGTAATTCATGATTTTGCCTAATGTGTTGATTTTGAAAATGTTAATAAATTCTTTGATCCTCCTTCACAACACTGATTTTGGTTAGCTATGAGTGAGTTATGAAGCTTATTTGTAAAATACATAAACCAGCATGAAGTCAAAAGGAAAACGGTTTAGCTGCTTGGATTGTTGTTAAGGGTCATTTTGTTCTTACAACATCTTTCACACCTTTCTGTTGCTTGTTGGGTTCTGTATATTTTTCATCTAACATTATTGCAGTTCTTTTGCAATATTTGCCTTGATTTTTGTTTTGTGGTTTATTTTGCTTATGGAGGCTGCTTGTGCTTTTGTTTTTAAAGCTTTTAAAAATACTCCTTACAATCTAGGAGTTGCCTTTTTCTGGCATAATGTCCATTGCTGGTAATGGATGTATTAAAACTATAAATGCCAGTGAGTTTAATTGGTGGTTGCTGAGCATGCATTTTATATTTTACTTAGATTTGTTAACCACTAACAGCTTAACACATTTACTGTAAGGCTCTATTCAGCAGAAATTCCACAGATGAATTTCTGCAATTCAGAATTTATAGTGTTACGATGCTATGCCATCAGTGAGTTCTTTAGGATATCATGTGGCTTGGTTTAATTTGGCACACCAAATTACTATCAAGTTTTTTGGGTGCCTACCTTGTTCAGAAACTTTGTTGAGCTTAATCTTGAAAAATACACCCCCACTGTCCTCATGTGTCTTATGAATTAATGTGTTCCTTTGTTTCTGAAGCTAATTAAATGCATGCACTCTGTAATAAGTAATCTCATTAATTTATAAATCTGATTTTCACAGCAGTTTAGTCTTTCAGATTTCCCCTCCCCCATTTTATTTCCTGATTTTCTAATGACTAAAATTATTTTATTTGGAGTTAATTAATTATGTAAAATGAAATAAGAAATTCTGAATCCATTGCCTCTAGTGTCCTTGTTATTAATAAAGTAATTTTGAGAGTTACTAGGAGATACTTAGAGCACTAATAGGATTCATCTACCCCGACTGTATTTGTTGAAATGAACAAATTAGGAATTGAAATAATGATAACACTTAAAGTCTGTCACAGGGATATTCTGTGAAGAGCACAGGCATGCTAGCAAGTCACCAAGAGGTAATGTAGGTGATGGATTCATGGTGCACTCTTTATTCCCTGGTGTCTGCCAAGTCTTTCTTAGGCATGAACACCACGTCACGCTTTGGTGACTGAAATAAGCCACTTCCCATTTGCCCTGGTGTGAAAGCTCACACCTTTGCAGTGGCCCCACAGTACCTGAAATAGTTTATTCATACCCTGCCTTACCTTCTGGTTCTGCATTAAATTTAATAATGCTCCTGAGAGTGCTCTGAATCCTAAGCCTGGCAGTATTTATGGTCTTTGTACATTCTCTGTGCTGGGTTTCACTGCACACTGCCTATAGTTGTCCTCAAAGCAGGCTTATTGTGTGGGGAGAACATCCTAGCCTTGCTGAAAGGAGGAAACCTAGTGGTCTGAACCAATGCAAATAGCACATCAGTGAGTTGTAAGACTCAGCTTAGACCAGGAGTGTATGAAAGGGTTGGTTTTTTTCTGGCATATGTATAGCTGGCTTTGCCCCACAAAGCTGTTGGGATGCTGCTTCAGCACTGAGCCCAGCACTTTTTTTACACATTGTAGTGTAGGCAAAATTCTGAATTTGTTCAGCAGTCAGTAATGCTGGGTCAGTATTGTAAAACACTTTACTTACTTTTTTTGACTAGTATCTACACAGACTAATTCTAGCAAGTTTGTCAGAAAGTTGATAAATTCTTGGATGAATCTGAGTTGTGGTATCTTTACTATGTCTTCTGGAGAGAGGAATGAACATTTTAAAAAGCTGCAGAAATGGGAGAGAACAATGTCTGTCATTCTGCAGCACTGTTGGCTGGAAAAAGAGTATTTTTTTTTCCCCTCTCAGTTTACCCATAGTTCCTGTTACCACAAAACCTTAAAAGTTGAAGGGATGTTTTCAACCACTGTAGCAAACCCTTTATTTCTACTGAATAGAGTCCTTGCTAGACAGCTATCTGTTGGTTTTGAGCTTTTTTTCATCTAACATGCATGTGCCTTCCATTCTCATGTTTGTTATGTTTTGCTGTCTCACATTGCTTTATTTAGATGCCATCTAACAACAGTATCAGAAAACAAATAGAAACACTGCAGGTGAGTTAATATGTTGTTGTAACTCAGTGAAATGTTGCTTTGTCTCATGTAAATACTTTTGTTTCAGTTTTTTAATGTTATTTGTTGTATTTTGTGCTTTCCTTTCTTTGTAAAATTGCTGTTAGTACTGTTAAGAAGCAACAGGACTAAGAACAGCTGTTTCAAAAATATTTTTCTCTTGCCAGGGAGTAAAGGAGAAATATCAGAAAATTGTCTAATACTAATTTTTCCTTGGGGTTGAAAGTGTGGCTTTGTGAGATTGATTATTAATATCACAGCTGGTTTCCCTGACAGCAGTGCATGTTTCCACTGGAAGTAACTACCTGTTCAGATGTATGGGTTTTTCTGTTACTTCATTTCAAAAAGTACCTTGCATGTGAGCAAACTGAAAACATTTTCACAATAAGAAATGTGAAACTGATTTACTGTAACAACTTGCAGTGCACTAACTTGAAAGACTTTTACACTGTTGGTTTTGCAGGTTTTAAAAAGTAGAAATTGTTTTAGTTCAGAACAGAAGAAAAGTTTAACATCAGTATTAAAAAGTACTTTCTTCAGTAAGTGACTACATTTGACTAACATGGAAAAAATGCTATTTTGTTTCTTGCCATCATTGAGATTTGTTTCATTGACTCATTTTAATGTGTCATGTAACACCACCGTAATTTGCTCTTATGTTTTTTGTTTTGTAACAGATACTGTTCCTGATAACTTTTTTCATAGTCTGCTGATACCATAATTTATGTTAAAAGTTTTAGGATTTTAAACAAAATTGTTTAAAAAGACCCCATATAGAGTACTTTAAAATCTGACAGACATTATCTTAAAAAGACTAAAATTCAGCCAGGCTGTTGAGTTACATAGCCATCTATTCCTTATTCTAGTTGCTCTGATGTCTAAGCGAAAATAAATACTGACATCTTAACACCAGGTGTACGTGAAGTGTGCTGTAATTCAGACCCCAAAAGCAATTTTCTTCTAGCATATTTGTTAAGTTCTTCATTATAGGATGTGATAATGAAAATTTTCAGTGCTTAAAATAAATAAATAATAAATAATAATAATAAAATACTTTAATAGTAAAAGTACTGCAGGACTTATTTTGCAACTCTTCTTAAAAGGTGAATGCCTCTTTATAAGCTACTTTTTTTCTTTATAATAAGCAAACTTTGTCATAACTACTCAGAAGTAGCTCTATTGGATGATATACTTGCTCACAGATGGAACATTGTTTACATATTATTGAAATATATGCTACCTCTACCATTTTTTGATTAGATGACTGAAAGCCAACAATAATTTATTTTTGTTTACTTCCTGACCCATAAATTAAGCTCCCCTGTAGAATATCAGAAATTAGAAAATTGAAGCATTACTGAGTTACAAGTGCAGTTCGTATAGTCTTTGATAACACTTGTAACAATGAATTCCCCAAACTGCTTTGACAATCAGTAGTTGTTGACCTGTAAATTAAACACAGTGAGTAATACTACTGTAGGGGTTTTGCTGTTTAAGCTGATTAGAATCAAAGCTATCACAGTCTCAACCTCTGGTACAGTTACGTTTGCTTTTTTCTCACAGAAGCACTGCAGGTAAATTCACTAAACAGTGAGACATTTATCAGTGTGAATAGTAAGCAGGGACAGGTGTAACTTCTTACTGGATAGATTTTGTCCAGATGACTTCCCTAAATTTACCTACTGCCTAGTTACAGGTGCTGATTGTGAGGCAGCACACATTGATGTGTGAAGGGAGGGCAGAACAGCATTATTGCTGATGTAAACTGGGTGATGTTATTCCCTCTAATATTCTGGTAGTCTTGTGTGTTACTTGTTTGTACTTCTTTGAAATACCACTTCTGCCTCTGTGATTCTGAGATAGGCTTTTAGCCTTTCTTAAAATAAGATGCTGCCAAAACCAGCAGTCTGGACCCACCTGTGTTCAAGTCACCAAAATTACTTTCCTTTATGTATATAGTCTTTTAGACAGACATGAACATTAACTTATTTTGATCAGCTTACGGGTGCAGGTTGGACTTTCTCACTGATAGAATTAATGTAGAGGGAGTATTGTGGGGGAGAGAACCATGAATGAGACCATCTCTTTTTGAACAGTATGGTTTAGGTTCCACTTAAAGCCTTTGTGAATTTGCATTCCATTTGTTGTGGAAGGATAAAGTCATTTGCTATTCTGATTCACTGGTTTGTGACACAAAATATGAAATTAATTATGTTCAAGTCATCATACAGATATGTCTTGAAACAGAGAGACTTCAGTGGAGATGGGGAAGGTGTGGTTTTGGGGTTCTTTTTTAACTTTTTTGTTGGTTTTGTTTGGGTTTGTTAGTTTGAATTGGGATAATGCCTAAAAACTTGATGACTGGGAATCATTTATTATATTCAGAAATTTATACTTATGGCCAAGTCCAGGAATCTTGCTGGACACTACTAAATTGTAAGTACTCCAAGAATCCCTATTTGGAAAAGAGGTTTCTGGAGCTGGTACAAAGAACGTTTGTTACTTACTGTTTTGCACAGTTTAAGAGCTTAGGGGAGCAAAGCTAAACTCATAGTGTAGCAGCTTAAAAAAAAAGCTTAAAAGACCAAAATTATTTTGCATATAGTACATAATTTAAGCTGCTAGATTTTATATTAATTCAAGAAATGGTAACAATTGTTACACTAAAAATCATTGAAAGTGGGAAAACGCTAATACAGCCTTCAGGGAGTGTCTGTGTAACGTGAAGCCACACCCAGAGATGCATCCTTGTGTGCCTGCCCTGTTTTGCATTCTTTTCTTCTGCACCTGCTACTGTCTGCTGTCACAGACTGAGTGATGGAATGAGACCTTGTGCCTGATCCAAAGCAGCTACTCCAATTTTAGACAAACTATAAATTAGTTTGCTATGAAGTAGGTATTTGTTACCAATGGCTTTCTGAGAAAAGTTCTTGAAAGCAATATACTCTTGGTGTGTTCATCTCAAGAGGAATCTCTGCTTTTTAGTTACTCCTCTGCCCTCAGAGTTAGAGATGTGTAAAATGAGCTAGAATTACTAGTTAAAAATTTAGGGGAGTATTAGAAATAGGCAATACAGACTTGTTTTTATGAAAAAATACCAAAATCTTATAGTCAGTATTAAACCCATCTGCTTTCATTGTTTAAAAAAATATTTTCAAAAGTAAATAAACATTATAATAGAATTTTGTCAGTGTCTCACAGGCAACAGTAACTGTATTTCTAAATTTATTTTACAGAATAAAGATCCCAAAATGTCCCGAGTTGCACTGGAATCTTTGTATAGGTTATTGTGGGTTTATGTTATTAGAATTAAATGTGAAAGCAACACTGTAACTCAAAGGTAAGTTTATTATGCAAAGTATTTTAAACTACTGATGATGGAGATTTTATTCCCACTTAGTGATACCAGAAGAGGCCTTGAAGGCAGTTCAGGGATGGTTTAGTCAAGTAAACAGGGGACCAAACATTTTGTCTTAATAGAGAAATCCAAAAGGCCTTGATTAATTTGATTGAAAGAAGAAATAGAGTCTAGAATTGTTTTTGCGGGGATAGAAGAAGGCAGAGAGATAAGCAGGAAATTTATTTAAGTTAAAAGGCACTAATGGTGACAGAAAAAATTGGATATGAAGTGGCCATCACAAAGTATGGACTGGAAATGGAACTATTTTCTATATAACTGTGTATAATGAGAATTTAGAATAGTCATTTATATTTTTTCCCTCCTTCTGAGTATTGGTAACTGGTTTAAAACAGTATATTTTTCAGCTCATAGAGGAACCCATGATCTTAATGCCTGTGACAGCTGAGGCTGTGATTCCTGTACATGGTCCTACCTGTCATAGGCTTCGGTATTATTTCATAGTACCCCACATACACTTACAGATTTGAATTGTAATATCTATGCTGTTATAAGGAGATATTTTTAAAAGACCTTTTTATTTCTTTTTGTTTCTAAATACTTGTAGCCGTCTCATGAGTATTGTATCAGCACTTTTCCCAAAAGGATCGCGTAGCGTGGTCCCACGAGACACACCTCTAAATATATTTGTGAAGATTATTCAGTTCATTGCTCAGGTAAGAATACATCTAGGTAGAGCTATAATAGTAGGATGAACATTATTTGGGAGAAATGTAAATTTAAGGTTTGTTTTTGAACCTGAATTAGTGGTCTCATATCTTGAGCAGAATTTCTCCAAATATGCGTAACAAATGAAAGAACTCATTCTCTTTCTAGTAGTGGCAAAACTGTTATGTACAAACATTATGATGATTAGTATTTACATTTGTACTGTGCTATTGGGGGCTGTGTTTATATATTTTTATAGTACACTAATATTACTATATTCAGTATGATATTTTTATAAGGGACAAAGCATTAGAACAGTAATACCTACTTATATTTAGCCTGAAGACTGGCCTCTATAGATAGAATTAGCATGCAATGAATGCAATAGTGTGTAGTTGGCACTGCATTATGATTTATATTATTTTAGATGCTTCTCTTGCCCTAGTATCAAACTGCAAGATACAGTCTCCAAAGATGAACTCTCATTAATCTTTAACCTTATAGATTAGTGACATATTTTCCTGTCTTAGAAATAGGCTGTCTGTGCTTCAGCTTCCAAAATCGTTTCCTTTTGGTCATACAGGGATGAGGCAGGAAACACAACTCATCACTGTTTATATTTTTATGCATTTATATTGTAATATTTTTTTATTCCTTAGGACTTCTCTTTTTCTCAAGTTTTTGTTTTCTATAACAGCTCATCTTATTTGTAGAAATGCATTTGATCTGAGATTATTTGTCTGGGAATTTTTTCAGGAGAAATGGTTCAACCATATCAGGGGATGAGCTGTCTTGAATTGTACTAGATTAAAAAAAAAAAAAAAAGTTATAAGAATAGGGAGGAAAAAAGAAATATTTTCTAAATTTTTTAATTTTTAAGACATGATACCCAGTAGCTGTGCAAAGACAAGAAATTATGCATATTAACAGAAGAGAGATGATCATATTAATCTATTTTCCTTTATAGGAACGTTTGGATTTTGCAATGAAAGAAATAATATTTGATCTTCTTAGTGTTGGAAAATCACCTAAGACCTTCACTATTAATCCAGAGGTAATAAAAGCTCATTAGTTACATGCTAAGAGAACAAGGCATTGGGGGATTTTTGGGGAGAAGTGGTTTACTATGTTTGAGCCAGGTTAAAAGCAGATTAATGAGTATCTGAAGGAAGGTTCTGCTAATACTGAAGGAGTAATTATTGTTGTGCACAGTTGCTGTTTGGTTTTATGTGAGCAGCCAGCAGCACTTCTACAGTTAAGGCTTATTTTGACAATAATTTCAGGAAGTATGGCTTTTTGTTACAGTATAACAGTAAAGCAGTTTTTCAGGAAAGTCATACCTAGGTCTTCAAGACCCAGTCTAAGAGATGGGATGTTTAAGCAGTGTCTGTCTTCAGTGTGTTACTCCAGAGCTCATATCAAGTCTTTGGGTGCTCAGCACTATAAAATATTCTGTATCTTACCCTGGACCGAGTTAATTCACTTGAATCAGAGTGTGGAGCAACACAGAAAGCTTAAACCTTGTTACTTTCATTACCCTAATATGTAACATTTAAACAATGTCTGTCCTACTGGAACCGTATCACTGTCTGTTTAAAAGAGATGAAAAATTCAATTTTTATTTTGTCTCTGTGTTACTTCAATATTGTAATTTCTTTGGTTTTGTCTTTCCTTTTTTTGTCCATTTTTTGTTCTTGAAGAGGATGAATATTGGCCTCAGAGTCTTCCTTGTCATAGCAGACAGCTTGCAGCAAAAAGATGGTGAACCACCAATGCCAACCACAGGAGTTGTTCTTCCTTCAGGAAATACTCTACGTGTGAAGAAAATTTTTCTTAATAAAACACTGACAGATGAGGAAGCAAAAGTTATAGGTACGTTGTATTCTTTCATAAGTTGGCATTTCAAAATGTATGTATATACTCCCAATTATTCTCAAGCAGTAAGAAAAAGTGTAATTTTATTTATGTATTTATTTTAATTGTTAATGAGAATTGCTTTGATTTGTTAGAGAGGGCTGCTAGACAGTATTGACCCTCTGGTGTCTTTTTGCATTGTAAAATAAGCACAAAGAAGCCTGAATACAGTTAGTGTGGTAAATAGCATGGCAAGTTTTTTTTCCCTTGATGTCACTCTAAAATGTCCCAAATGTCTCACAGCTGAGTGGAGTAAGACAGTCCTGATCCCTGTGCCCTGTTGGTCTTTGAATGAGGTAGTCATCTTCAAAGAAGCAGCTAATGGTTACTTCATTGCTTTTGTTTTATCTGAAGGAAACTTCTACTTTTGTATAATATCTCATATTTATATATTTATAGATATATATTTCATATATACATGCATTTGTTTTAATACTTAATGTATGTATTTCATGTCAGCTGTGCAATGAGAAATTTGTCCTAAGTTGAATAAGTGGCAAATATTTTAATAAAAATATGAAAAAAGGTGACGGAACTTTTTGTCTTTTCAGGAATGTCCATATACTATCCTCAAGTCAGAAAAGCACTGGATAGCATTCTTAGGCATTTGGACAAAGAAGTTGGAAGGCCCATGTGCATGACTAGTGTGCAGATGTCCAATAAAGAACCAGAAGACATGATTACGTATGTACTGAATTGCAGCATTTTTGCTGTCACAGTAGCATCACATAATTTTTATGCTTTAATGTTGCAGATGCCATCATTAATGTATTAGCGTTGTGAGTTTTTTACTGGACTATTAAGTGAATGTTAGTTTCATTAGTTATTGATGAAAATGTTTGTTACTTCCTTAGCTGTGGCATGAAATCAAAAACATTTCTAGTGTTCTGAAGTAGATTTTCCTGTTTCTTTGCTGGTTATAAACTGGTTTTGTAGGGGTGAGAGGAAACCGAAGATAGATTTGTTCAGAACTTGTATTGCTGCTATCCCAAGACTGATTCCAGATGGCATGAGTAGGACTGACCTCATTGAATTGCTTGCAAGGTAAGAGAAATGGAGTTCTGCTCTAGTGGATGTTCTTTTTAAAATGCTGCGTGTGCACAATTGTCAGTGCACTCACTATGCACTGTGAGTCACTGAATGCAGACTCTGTCCTTGCTGCTTCTGCCAACCTTCTGCAGTTGGTCAGGTTTTACTGGCCATAGTAGCAGGAGGTAAATTTATCCTGCAGACCTTGCACTTATTTTTAGAGAGAGTATTTTGAGAAGTAGGAATTTATTTCTGTTGCTTTGGATTTTTGAACTTGTTTTATCTTTTTGTTACTGCTATACTTATTTTTCTAACTCTCTTTCTTCAGCATTTAAAGTAATATAAAAACCATGAAAGTATTAAGTAATAATGTTATACTGGGATGTGTGTCTTTTACCATAGCAGGCCTAGACAGATTTTTAAGTATATGTGCAAAGGATTTTTTGGTGAATTTTTTCTCATATCCAAGTAAATCTCCTTTAACTGCAAAACCTATGTTCAATTTTAATTTGAAGAAAATAGCCTATACATCAGAGGGTGCTGGTCTGCTGAGCTCTAGGGTGGCTGCTCAGACGCATGCCAAGATGTACTTTTGTTAAACACTTGATGGTCTCTCTTGAACACAGTTTATTTGCGTTAAGTTTTTTGTGAAAACTTGCATTATTTTGCTATAGTAGAAGTGCCTTCTGTTACTAGCCAGTTTCAGGTTTATTAATACAGAAAATTAATCTCTGTGAAACTTTTCTACATTGCACAGTAAAGAGGGAAGCGTATACACCAAACTTTAAATGATAAAGGCTAGTTAAGAGTATGCCTATCTAGGATGATGATTTTTCTAAATCATTAATTCTAAATAATTAATACTAATCATTAGTATTTTTTCTAAACAGGCTGACAATTCATATGGATGAAGAACTTCGTGCCTTGGCTTTCAATACACTCCAAGCATTAATGCTTGATTTTCCAGATTGGCGGGAAGATGTTCTTTCAGGATTTGTATATTTTATTGTGCGTGAAGTGACTGACATCCACCCAACGCTTCTTGACAATGCAGTAAAAATGTTAGTGCAGCTTATAAATCAGTGGAAACAAGCAGCCCAAATGCACAATAAAACCCAGGATTCTCAGGTATATCTGTATAAGATCCTTTGATGTTAAAACATACTTGGAATCTACATACAAATTTAGTTGTGGACTTCACTGGTTTTGTTAAGTAATAAAAATTCAGCCAAGTTCCTTACAGTGCTTGAAGACTTTTAGATCTCTTATTTTAAATCAACAATTTTATCAAATGAAAATTAGTCTCAAATTATTAAGTATTAGCTAAACACTAATTCATGACCACATTTTGCTTAACATTGTAGGTCACCATGTGTAACTGGAAATATGTAGAAGTTATTGAACAGCGGAACTAAACCCACCATTTTTCACTAGCCATTAGAAAAGGTTCTAGTAATTTAATATCATAGTCTTTTATGAAAGAGTGTTGCTTGAGGTTTTTTTAAATTTTGTTCTCATTGCATCCTCTTGTGAGAAAGTTAAATAAAGATATTTTTGTGGTATTTGTTTGGACTAACTTCAGAGAGGTAATAAAAAATGAATTGACTATTATGTCATTCTCATAATGCAAAATTTGACTAGTAGCCAAAAATGTAAATATTTTAGGATTAAATCTGCCATTGCCAATAATGGAACTATATCTTAGTTGTGTTTATTTTTTCTTAATTTGCTTAACTTCTATGATGTTTTGCTTAGCGTGGTGTATCCAATGGAGCTGCCCATACTCTGCCCCTGGAGAGGAGCCCTTATTCCAGTGTATTTCATGTGGTGGAAGGCTTTGCTTTGGTCATCCTTTGCAGCACAAGGCCTGCCACCAGGCGATTAGCTGTCAGCGTTCTCAGAGAAATAAGGGCCTTGTTCACTCTTCTAGAAATTTCAAAGGTAAGAGTTGATGACCTGTTCTTAGGCTGCCTGGTGAAGCTGCTTTTATTTTGTCATTCTTTGAGCTTGATGTGCTTTGTGTTTTGTAGAGTGATGACGAGTTGGCTATAGATGTAATGGACAGGCTAAGTGCTACTATCCTGGAGAGTTTCATACATCTCACCGGGGCTGACCAGGTAGGATGGTTTTTATGTAAAATTGCTTGTAAGATAAACTAATTCTGCAAAGCTATGCCAAATAAATAGTATATATTTCAAATGGTATTGTCACTATGTTCATGCTAATTTTATCAGCAATTTATCACCTCAAACAAAATGGCAAAAATCTGAGGAATGTTGTGATGTTGACACCACCATTGTAAACTTTCTGACTGATGGTGTGTTATCACCACCATATAAACACTGAGAGTTATGTCTTTATCTATTTTTTCTCATCTTTCTCACAGACTGCAGTTCCTTAAAAGCAAAAGGCACTGCTTTTTTCTTCAGTAATATAGTGTCATAACAGTCAGTGTGCCCAGTCTCCATGATGAAAGCTGTAATAACTGTCAATGAATAACAACTGAATTCCATACTTACGTATTTCAAGGATTCTGATTTTAGTATTAGGAAACAAGCTGGAAATCAGTAGTAAGGCTTTTAGAGTACAAATCTTTTGGAAGAATTAAATTATTGTGCGTGGAAAGGTCTTTTTCTAGTATTTTGTATTTCCTAATACCAGTTTGTTTGCAAACAACATGTTTCTATAGCTGTTCACATTAAGAATTTCTGTAAACAGCCCCATAAATTACTTTTTTATCTGTGGTTTTGACACTGATACTATATTAGATTTATAACAAAAGAGATTGTTGCTTAAAGTACATGGATATTAAATATTGCCTCATTGTCTTTTCTGTGCACACAGACTACTTTACTGTACTGTCCCAGTTCAATAGATTTACAAACTCTGGCTGACTGGAATTCCTCCCCAATCAGCCACCAGTTTGATGTGGTCAGTCCCTCACATATTTGGATATTTGCACATGTGACTCAAGGCCAAGATCCATGGATTATAAGCCTCTCAAGTTTCATGAAGCAGGAAAATCTTCCAAAACACTGCCCAACTGCTGTAAGCTATGCTTGGACTTTTGCTTATACAAGACTTCAGCTGCTGTCTCCACAAGTAGATATCAAGTAAGTTGATTTCTGAAGTAAATACAGTATATTATATTATATTGAGTATTCTTTCAAAAATTGTCATTATTGTTTCAGTGAGGTAACATACAAATTCTTGATATTGTCTGTGGATTTAATTCAGCTTTTTATAACAAAAAGTTAAGCAGGTTTATCTGCATAAAATAGCATCTACATTAACATTAATTAATGTCTTTGGCCATATTATAGTTCAGCATATTTGAATATAAAAGCATGCATTATTGATATACATGTCTGCTCTGAATAACTTATTCAGAGTTTACTACATTAACAATTTGGGAAGCAAGGGCATATGCATAATTTAAAAATAAATTCAGTCGAAAATCGAAGTAAAATGTGGTAAGCTTAATTTACTCTACTGAGCTATTCTCTTTCTCTTTTTTAATAGCAGCCCTATCAATGCAAAGAAAGTAAATACTACTACAAGCAGTGACTCCTATATTGGGCTCTGGAGAAACTACCTGATTCTTTGCTGCAGTGCAGCATCTTCTTCAAACTCCTCCACTTCCACAGGCTCTGTGAGATGTTCCCCTCCTGAGACGCTGGCGTCTACCCCAGACAGTGGTTATAGCATTGATTCAAGAGTAGGTTCTTTTAATGCATACTGTAAATAAATCTACATCTTACTGGAAAGAGAAACATCAGAGGTGTTCTATAGTAACTATCATGATTAGAAATGGGTATCATTTATCTGAAAATACTTTAGGATACATTTGTTTATAATTTGTTTAGAATACTGTTTTAGTTTGCTTTTCCTAATCTGTGCTGTATATGATCTTAAAGTAAATCTAGTCACGTAATGAAAACATTTAGTAATCTCAAAATCTTATCTAGCAGTAATAAGGAAATGCTTTGTTTGCTGTTAAAGGGTTGGTTTTGCTGTCATTAGACTTCTGCAGTTCTGAGCAAATAGCCTCTCACTTTAATAACTAAAACAGGGACCTAATCAGGCATGATGTATCTTGTTATATTTTCCCAGTCACAAATAAATACTTTTCTGTCTGCCTTGCTTTATATCTGCAGATTATGGTTTTTTCCCCTCTTTGCTTCTTTTTGTTCATCTCCTTTTTGGCTTCCTGTAATAGGTATAGTAGACATTAAGATATTTCATGGACTATGCAGTGGAATTTTGCAAAAGCAGCCTGTTCCACTTGTTACAAAGATACTTTCCCTAAGTCTGAGAAACTGTAGACTGAAGGCTTTGTTGTCTTTGAGAATGTCTTGGGAGTCTAAGGAGTTGGACACCAGAAATCTATTTCTTCCCCAAGGAGGGCAGATACATTAACGTGCAAAGCATCTGTATGTCCTGTTGTGCAATTTATTGTCATCTGACTATGAAAATTCAGCAATGCAAGAAATAGTTAATACTACTTTGCTATTTCAGAAAATCTTTTCCATGTCAAATATAATTTTTACTTTTGTCATTTTGAGTCGCTGGTCCAGTGTGAAATTACAGCAGATGTTCTCATGTCACCACCTTGAGGTAACTACTTCATTGTGTTTTATTCTGTTTTGTTTTTTTTTTTCTTAGATTATTGGCATTCCATCCCCTTCGTCCCTGTTCAAGCACATAGTTCCAATGATGCGCTCTGAGAGCATGGAAATTACAGAATCTCTTGTCCTGGGACTTGGCAGGACCAACCCAGGAGCTTTTAGGTAACTGTTGTGTTTCATCTATTTCTATGTTAATTGTTTACAAAGCTGGGGAATTGAAGCTAAATTTTTTCTTTTTTCTTTTTATTTATTTTTTACTTCTGTTTTTTCTTTTAAGCATTTTTAAAAAGCTGTGACAACTGATTCTCATTGTCTTTTTTAGCATTTAGAGGCATGATAGAGATTTTAAGAATTTTCTGTATAGGTCATGCTTGCAAAAAGAAAAATAAGTTAGTGGAAAGAGTAAGCAACTTATTGGTATTAAAAGCTACCCTTATCTGAAAGAACAGATTGTGTGAAATAATAACATTTGAAATGTTAATTAGAATCAAGTTTGTAGGAGTTGATAAAATGTCCTTATTGGTACTGCCAATTACTCTTTACGAGGATGAATGAAGAGAAAGAACATCTAAGGGCAAGAAAACCTCCTGAGAAGGCCATCAGATGTTCTCTGACAGCAGTCGATCTCTTATGAGTTACAAAGTTGTACCATGCATAGCAGCCAACCAACTCTGCTTCTGCAAAAGGAACCAGGGATTGCTAATACTGTTGGTTTTGTATAAGATGATGCTTCTCTCCAGTAACTTGTGTCCCATATTATCACAGATAAAAAGCCAATATTGAAACTAATGCCAGGTTCTCAGTTATCATATTATGGTTTATATCCCTTGATAATCTTATAATCTTATATAATATCTGACTTTATTTGCTATCAGGAGTAAAGCAAGACTTCATACCATGATCCCAAAGAGCTGCTTAACAGCTCTGAAGACTAGAAAATGCTTCCAGAGATAATTTTACCAGAAATCTTTGATTTCTGAATTAGCAACAGCTCATCCAGCAAGTCAAAAAAAACTATCTGATTCTCATCTGTTTTATAGTTTCTGGATTTGGAATGTTGTTTGTTTTTTTCCTATGACTAGTTTTTTTCTCTGTCCAGTGCATGTACTCACACCAGATGCTAGCTGTAGACCACCTTTCACCATTGCTGCTCTGCACTGATTTGGTGTTTAGCTTTTGTGGTTTTATGCACTGTTCCTTCCCATTCAGGAACTTTCTCCATTATAGATTATATATATACTCAATCCACATAAATTTATTAGAGTAGTAGTTTTGTTTTGTGTAAGTGATCATATGAACTCTTCTATTTATCTCTTGATCTCCATTGTAGGCTGACCTTTTGCTATATTTTAGCACAAAAAAAGTTTTTTCCAAATTATTTTCTGGTTTTTCTATGTTTGAAAGAAAATATAGAATAATATCTAACAATGTTTAACTTGTAAATGAGTACACCACAATAGTTTGTGCAGCATTCTGGTCACCTGGACCCATTCTCTGAAGGAGAAACTTTGCATGAGGTGTCAAAGGGTCAGTTATTTACCAAGAAAACTTGAAGTGGTCTATGCTTTTGATATATCTCAATTACAGCACCACAGGAAGTAGAAGAATATGTCCACTCCAACAAATCTGGAGGCAGTAGTTACTATGTTAACAAATATGAAAGCAAACCAGATGTATTTTTACCTTAGTATTTTGTCTGCATACTTCCATACTACTCATCTTCTTTCCCTGCCTCCTTTTTGAAGTCATAAGAGAATCTTAATTTGGCAGAAGGAACCGAGTAGTAATGAAGACTGTGGAGCTTCAAAACAGACAGGGAATCTAAGCACAGTGTCAATATGAAAATAAATGAAAATAATTTGTTACAGAAATAAGTCATAATACTTGGAGAATGCAAATTTAGGGATAATTGTTTAGACATTTATTTAATAATCTGCTTTAAATTAGAAAAATACCTTTCTAGGAAACTTCTATTTTAAAAGCTACAGGTAAAGAAGGAAAACCTGAGGGTGTTTTAACTTGTGATGTAACACTAGTTCCTGAGAAATATTTTTCAGTTAAGATGTTTATTTAATGTTTGTTTTTATCCTTTTAATTATTTTAATTCAGGGAACTAATAGAAGAATTACATCCTATAATTAAGGAAGCACTTGAAAGAAGGCCAGAGGTAATAAAATAATTTCCATTATACTCAGTACAGTTTTAACTGACTTCTCACAAAGAAGAAGTGTTAGTTATTTTCTTTAATTTGTGCATGTAAAAACAGTCAATATAACAGATAAAAAGGTGAAATGTTGCTTTTTTAAATGATTGTGAAGTGTTTACATTAGAGGAGCTTCATGTCTGAGCTCTGTTATTCCTGTGTCAGAGATTTTATTTCAAATGAGGAAAAAATACAGTAACCTTTTCCACATTCTTTTAGTTTCTTTAACCTAAAAATCATTTAACACAATTGCTACTTAGTTATATGAACAGTGACATTCCCACAATTCATGGTACCTATGACATAGGATTGAGTTTTCCTGTCCACCTATTTTGTTGGGGTTTGGTGGTGGTAGCTTTTAGTGAAAAAAGTCACCTGACTGCTCTAATGAAAATGATGGAAAGGAACAGCAGTTCTATTTCAAAATGTTCCTGCACTGTAGTGTATTGTGTCAGGCTTGCATACAAATCATAGAATGTTTTGGTTTGCAAGGGACCTTTTAAAGGTTACCTAGTCCACCCACCCTGAAATGAGCAGGACCATCTTCAGCTACATCAGATTTCTCAGAGCTCCATCAACCTCACCTTGAATGTTTCCACTGATGGGGCATCATCTCTCACCTCTCTGGGAAACCTGTTCCAGACTTTCACCACCTTCATTATAAAAAGTGTCATTTTTATATCTAGTCTAAATCTACCCACTTCTAGTTTAAAACCAGTGCCCCTTGTTGTATCACAACAGGTCCTGCTAAAACGTTTGTCCCCATTATTCTTACAAGCCCCTTTCAAGCACTGAAAGGTCACAGTGAGGTCTCCCTGGACCCTTCTCTTCTCCAGGCTGAACAGCCCTAGCTCTTGAAGCTTCTCTTCACAAGAGAGGTGCTCCAGACCTCTGTTTATTTTTGCAACCCTCATCTGGACCCACTCCAATATGCCCATGTCCTTCCTGTGTTTGTGGACCCCAGAAGGCAGTACTCCAGGAGGGCTGTCATGAGAGTGGAACAGAGAGACAGAATCACCTCCCTCAAAATATGTAGGAAGACTGCCTTTCACACTTCATTGTTTAATATGTTGTCACTTATAGTGACAAGAGACTGACAACAGCCATGATCTGGATAATACATGTAATAGCAAACCTGGTGTATCTCAGAGCTGCAACGGGGGAAATGTTTGTTCACTGTCTGGTTTATTTAACTTGTTAGCAATTTTGGGAACTTACCTTAAAAGGTTGGCACCTCTGATAACAGGTGCCAGTTGTAGTACAGATATAATAGTGCTTTCATATTCTACTCTGGTTTTCTACTTAGTTTTTCCTCTGCTTCATTTAATTTTGTGTTTCCTCTGATGGACAGAACATGAAACGACGCAGGCGTCGAGATATTTTACGAGTACAACTAGTACGAATATTTGAACTGTTGGCAGATGCTGGCGTCATTAGTCACAGGTAGGGGGAGCACAGATGGGAAGTTGTCGGTGTTTGTGAATTGTCACTGATATATTTATAACTCACTATTACAAGCATGCAGAATTCATCAGTGACTTTCAGTATACTACTAAATAAATAGACACAGGTTTATGAAACTCAGAATTTTGCTGGCTTTATAATCCTTCTCACTCCCATGTTCTTTGTCACTGTTCTGTGTTTTATTACTTTGAATTAAGTATTTGCAGTGATGAGGGTATAGGGTTTTTTAAAGATAAAAAAATAATGGTTTTAAAACATTGTATGTAATTACTGTGCTTTTTTGATTTTCTAAATTTATTTTATTTGTTCAGTGCAAGTGGTGGCCTTGATAATGAAACACATTCCCTCAACAACACTTTACTTGAGTATGTTGATCTAACAAGACAACTCCTAGAAGCAGAAAATGAAAAGGATTCTGATACATTGAAAGATATTCGATGCCATTTTAGTGCCTTAGTGGCAAATATCATACAAAATGTTCCAGGTATGTAAAAATGTCACTTCTGATTACTCTATTTAATATGCAGTACATTTAAAAAAAAAACAAAACCGACCAAACTGAACCTAAATAAAAAGGCACTTCTTATCTGAACTTTCAGAATACTTTTATTAATATAATTTGTGACATCAGTTTTGAGTATAACTTTAGCAGTATGAGTTTTTAAGTGAGATTTTTGGTGCTGTTTAGCAGAGTCTTGTTGATTGTCTGTGTATTTGAGTTCTCTGGACTAATAAATAGCCTATTCTTGTACACTACTGGCATTAAACAGGACAATAGGCATTATGGTGTTAAAATAATAGTGGTTCAGTTTGTGTTACATGCTTTATCTTAAAGAATTACAAGAGGAGTGTGTATAACTGTGGGCTTTTCTTACAGTACACCAGAGAAGAAGTGTCTTTCCACAGCAGAGTCTACGCCACAGTCTATTTATGCTGTTCAGTCATTGGGCAGGTCCTTTTAGTATCATGTTTACTCCCCTGGACAGATACAGTGATAGAAACATGCGAATAAACAGACACCAATACTGTGCATTAAAGGTATTTTAACATTTTTCAATTTTGGAAATAGATTTTTATGTCAACATGATGCAAATTTTAACATTTGGGCTTTTTAGATGTGGTTTTCACATCTAGGTTTTGGCAACTTTTTATTCCTTCCGTATATTTATAACAGTTCAGCTTTTCCCATACTGTAGTTATTGCATTTGCTATGGAATTTTCTTACGATTATGTTCATTTCCTATGACTTTAGTTCTCATTTGCTTAAGTTAAAAGCTTTCATCTAAATGTACATGATCAATGAGACTGGTGTATTAACTCTTCAATATGTCAGCATTTTAGTATTGACCCTTCCTTGTATTTGAAATATGAGAAAAATATGATTTAATAATTTCTTGAATAAAATATTAAGCATTTTTATTGCCCTTGGTCCTCCTCTCTTAATAGATTGGAATTTAGTTATCTGATATTTTAATGGACTGAGTAGAACCACTTCCTGTATCTGAATTATTAAAATGTGTTTTTCAATTGCTTTCCAAAGGCTATGTCTGCTGTACTGTGTTGTGGCCCTGTTGCAGACAATGTTGGGCTTTCATCTGATGGGTATTTATACAAATGGCTGGATAATATTTTGGATTCACAAGATAAAAAGGTAATACAGGCAATGTCAACGTCACTTTGCAACCATCAGTGCCTTCAAACACATGTTTCAGTGAGTTTGCAGACAGTAGAGCATGTATGTTCTATTTTAGCTCATAGCTGTTTTACTAGCACAGGGTTCTGCACTATCCTTCACGTGTACTCACCCTGTTAAGGAAGGTGATCCCTAATCATAGTGTAAGAACAGAGAAACAGAATGGAAGAGGAAAGGATAAGGAGTGAAGCACTGTATATTGTTTATGAACTGAACCATGTTAAGTTGTAGTACTAAGTCAGGTGTTCCACAAATTTAAAGGGGATGAGATTTTGAACATGAGATATTGTGAGACTGTAGAGTTCCTTGGGGTCCTTTGGAGTTAGTAAGAACAAACTTTTCATCTAAACAGTAAGGCAAGCTTTAAAGGTAGAACCTCTATTGCCCTATAATGCTAGGACTACAAAAAGTACAGCTCCTGTGGGCTATTTTGATTCCAGGGAAGGTGCAAGTCTCCATGCAGCTCTACCCCTTGTATCCCACTAGAATTCCTGCATGTATTTAAATGTTTCTTTGTATCTAGTGCTTTCAGGACAGGGTTTCAGTGCAAGACATAAAAATGGTAAATAGCTCAAACTAGCCTTTCCTCAAACTAGGAACTGAAGGGAAAAACATGTCAGTAGGGCTCTAGTTATTTGTGTCAATGATTTATGACTGTGTGCATGTTGAACAGTAAAAAGTGTGACAGAATTATCTTCTGTTACTTTAGGCTATGGTGTCATTGTTTTTGGGTGGAACAGATTCTATGTTCCCAAAGGTTTCAGGTTTTTTAAATATTTATTTCCCTATTTTATGCCATTTTTTAAGTTGGTCTTTTTTCTACATTTTTAAATACGTATTTACTCTTCCCTAGGTTCACCAGCTAGGCTGCGAGGCAGTCATGCTGCTCTTGGAACTCAATCCTGACCAGAGTAACCTCATGTACTGGGCCGTTGACCGGTGCTACACAGGTTCCAAGCGGGTAGCAGCTGGCTGCTTTAAAGCCATAGCCAGCGTGTTTCAAAACAGGTACTACAGCATTTTTCAAAACTTTAAAACTTCCATGTTCAGAGTGTGCTTTCGTGTAGAGCTGTGGGTTTTGCTTCCATAGAGAGCAAATCACCGCTGTTTGTGTGTGTTACTAGAGAAACTTCTCAAAATGTTATTCTATCCCCTATCATATTCCTTGTAAATTAAACTTAAATAAATTCAAATCTTAGAAAAACAAATTTTACTTTTTTCATACTTGCCATTTTTTCCTAGGGATTACCAGTGTGATACAGTGACCCTCCTGAATCTGATACTATTTAAAGCAGCTGATTCTACTAGGGCTATCTATGAAGTTGCTATGCAACTGTTGCAGGTTTGTAAGCTTATTCTGATTATTCTTTTTTCTTTTAGAATAAGAATTGTCCTATATGTTAAAAAAAAGTCTGGTTTTGTTTGGTTGTCTTCAGTAATGAAATACAACGTGGTTTTTTTTTTCTTCTCTGTTTTAGTACATAGTTAAGCCAGATCCTTACCTGGCACAAATTGACTTCCCTGAAAGTCAGTCTGTTTCCATGCACTCAAGACCTGTATTTTCATAATATCTGCTTTTTCAAGGAACAACCTAAATCAGGAATCTGTTGATTTGACCCTGAAATAGAGTGATACATAGCTCCATTTGTACAAATGCAACTCAGAGAGAAGCAAATTGCTTCCCAAGCCTTCACTGTCTGCTGGGGTAGCAGACAGATTTCTGATTTTTGCACATTTGCCAAACATTTTTTCATCTGTTTGTGTGGAGAGATGACAGTGAAAATGTTGTTAACCATTTAATTTATTTTTGTATATTCCTTTCTGAGGTCATATAGGGGTAAGCTTAAGGCAGCATTAGTGTTTAAAAAACTGTGCTGATAGTAGCTCGGACCTTAAGTCTTGGAGTTTTTTTCTAAGGTTTTTGTTGTTAGCTAAATTCAACAGTGTAGTTGTCACTGAAGTCACACCCTTATTGATACATCATCCCCATCTTTCTTCTCAAGTGAACACTACTTCTTAAGATAAGACCAAATTGATTTTTAAAGTATCAGAGTGCTTTAGCCTCCTGCTGCATCTCTACCACATCAATGATTTTGTTGTTCTTCTCCATGTCTCATAGATGAGCAAAAATTTGTATCGTTTGGAAATGCAAATGTTAAATAACATTTTGCATTTCATTATAGATAAATTTGTATTTAAGATGATATTTTGTGAAAGCAGATTTTTGGAACTTTATTGCTGGAAACTCATCAAGTGGACTGTATCTTAGCTGGTCTTCTGTTAATTTACCACAGTGTTAGCAAATGCTGTAGGTGTATGGAGATCTGCATAGATAAGAAACATTAAATGAGAGTAGATACATTAACTTAAGAAGTGACTTTTACATAAAAATTTCTACAGTAGCTCTATACTTGCCTTCAAATTCTGAACATTACTGTTGCAGATTTTGGAACCAAAGATGTTCCGTTATGCTCACAAACTGGAAGTTCAGCGGATGGATGGGGTTTTGGGACAGCCTTCTCCTTTACCACATTTGTATTCTATGTCATATTATCAACTGTCAGAAGAATTAGCAAGGACTTATCCTGAACTGACCCTTGCCATCTTCTCAGGTATGATTTTAAAACAAAACAAAAAACTTCATCAAGTCAAAAGCATTGTACAAAATGTGTCATTCTTATTTTTCAATAACTGATTTATATGTAATTCACTAAAATCAGGACAACAACATCGTCATATCAAATAGAGACAAAAAAAGTGACAGTTTTTGTTCATTTGTGTTTGAAATTGTTTTCAAGATGTAGGAACATGAATCAGAAATATTTTTACTGACTTTCTAATAAACATGGAAAATCACATTATAAAAATAATTTGCAATTGTTTTTTAGAATCACTTTCATTGTTCTTTCTAGTGTTACTGTGGATTGCTTAAATACATTGTTCTGTATCATTTTTAAACAATTGCAGAATAACCTCTTACATAAATGTAAAAAAAATCAAAACTACTAGGACTAATGTAAGGAAAAAAAATTTAAGTGTTTTTTTGCCAAATTTGTACATTTTTTATGCCACAGGTTTTTCAGTTCCCTCCTTCAATTAGGGGAGTATATGTACACACACACACATATATATATATTTATATGTATATATATGTATGTACATACTAATGTGATTTCTTCAACATACTGTTTGTCAGCAGTTTCTTCAGTTAGCTCTGTTGAAGACTGTGGACTTTATCATTATGAAATGGCACTAGTCAGCTAACCTAAAAGTAATTGCATCTGTATCTGCATTACATTATATCAGTGTGGTGTGCTGGGCTCATGGTTATTGTTATCACCATGCCAGTTCTCATTATTGATTTGGAACTCATGTATGTACCTAATTTTTGACTGGCAGAAGTAAGTCAGAGAATCCAAACGGCTCACCCAGCTGGGAGACAGGTGATGCTGCATTATCTGCTGCCATGGATGAACAATATTGAGTTGGTAGATCTGAAACCTTTGCCAACCATTCGCCGGCAAGATGAAGATGATGAAGATTCTTTGAAAGACAGAGAAATGATGGTGAACAGTAGACGATGGCTGCGAGGAGAAGGCTGGGGATCACCACAGGCTACAGCTATGGTTCTGAACAATCTGATGTACATGACTGCAAAGGTAAAATTAATTACTTAGGTGCTTACCTTGTTTCAGTGGGTTGTTCTGTTTAGGATGCAAGAAAACACTGTTCAGAGATACTATGTCACCAAGCTTTCAAGAGTTACTCATCGTGTTTGTGGAGGTGCTTTGTGGAACCAAACTGTACCCTATGGTTTTAAGGTATTTGAAGAAATATGTAATATGTAACATAAATGTTACTGTAATTGTTATGTATAGTAACAGTATGTAACTGATGGTTTGCAGTATAGATGTCTAGCTGGATAGAGAATACCAAACTGCCTGTATACTTAGGATCTCAAAGTGGAGTTTTGGACCTTGTCTTGGTTGACTCTCCTTCCTATCTTAGCTACTTCCAAAAGAGAAGAAATATTGCTCACATGCGATGCTCCTGATGGTTGTTATTAACTCTTATATGAGAATCCTGATGAGAGCTCATGTTTTGAACTATTAAAAGTTCTTGTCAGTGTGTGTGGTCCATGGAGTTTTATTCAGTACTGTCAGCAACGACTGGGTCTCTGTTAAATTTCACAGAATTGCTTGATTTGAAAGGGAGCTCTGGAGATCATCAGGACCAACCCCCCTGCCAAGGCAGGGTCACCCTGAGCCTGTTACACAGGAACTTGTCTAGGTTCCAGAGAAGGAGGCTTCACAACCTCCCTCAACAGCCTATTCCTGTGCTCTACCATCCTCAATGGAAAGAAATTCTTCTTCATATTGAGGTGGAACTTCTTGTGTTTTAGTGTATGCCCACTGCTATTCGTCCTGTTACTGGTCACTACCAAAAAGAGTCTGACACCATCCTCTTGGCCTTGGAGATACTAATATGCATTAATAAGCTCCCCTTTAGTCTTCTCTAGACTAAAAAGGCCCAGCTTCCTCAGTCTAATTTATTATATATCAGTAAAATATATAGCATGTGCATATATCTTTAGATAAATTTTTATACATTTATATCTATAGAAGAAAATAGCTATTTCCAGAATATGTTTTTAAAAATACTTGTGAAGGCATCATTCTGGAACATTAAAAAGGCAACAGTTTCCTACAAGATTTATGTTCCTTTTTTCTAGAGCCTGTTTCACTTGATCACTTCTGAGTACAGTGTTTTCTGATGGAGTTTTCAGGACACACATTTATTTTGTTTTCCAGTATGGTGATGAAGTGGCTTGGTCAGAGATAGAAAATGTCTGGACTACTTTGGCAGACAGCTGGCCAAAGAATCTGAAAATAATTTTGCACTTCTTGATCAGTATTTGTGGAGTGAACAGCGAACCCAGCCTTTTGCCTTATGTGAGTATGTACAGATCTCTCATTGGTGCTTATTGATATTTTAAAAATTAGTCATATGTCTAGCGGCAATGATCACCAAACAAAAATGTGAGATAGGATCTATAGTATCAAAATCTCCACCCAGTATTTTATGACCACTAATGCTATGAGCAAATCAAATTCAGTTCTTTTGTTTGCATTACTTTGGACATCTGTGTCAAAATGACAGAATCAATTTGTCAATAAATTAAATCAATTAATTTGTCATTCATGGAATGGACTTCAGAAGGGAAATTAATGAGAGACAATTAATTTAATCTTTAATTAAAGATTGCTGAGGCTTCCTCAAGACAACTTACTGATTTGCTGAGGGCGATTAGTCTGAAACAGTCCACTAGCTGTCTTACCAGTTATGACCTGTCAAAATTCAGGACTATATGAAGACCATAGACCTTATTTAGTGATTAAATATTAAAAATTGTAAAAGAGTTACTAAAATTCTACATATGTCTTAGCATTTTATTTTCCTTTGTCCTAAAAAAGAAATCTTAAGATAGATTTAGATTAAGAAGATAATCTTTGATAAACTTGGATTAATTTTGAGTACACACTAAACAATATTTCCCATGCTATAATTTAGTATATTCCTAAAAAGCAGATGGATAATACCAGGAAAATAAAGTACCAGTTATACTCTGTAGAGCATCATTCTTTCATGACCAAGTATTCTACCAAAATATCCCCACCAACCATCCCAAGCACCATCAGAACCAATATTATTTTATGTGAAAATGTATGTGAGAGCACTGCAGGACAGCATGAATTAAAATATGATAACTGCAGTAAAATAAATAATATAGAACAGAACTGTGAAATATCAAAAAAAAATTACATCAGAATACATTCATTCCAGTATTGATCTCAGGTGCTGCTAGAAGCTTTGTAAGAAAATCTTCTGCTTAAATATTTTTCAGAAGACATACTCTCAAGTTTTTTTGTCAGAAGACTGGAACTCAGATTTACTTTCTTACTGTTGTGATATGTTTCCCATGCTTGCTGCTATTGACAGCTGGAGAAGCAACTTTGGTTGCTTTTAGAACTAGACTAAGTTTCGTGTATCCTCACAGTGCAGGTAGATACTAATTGTAACAAGTTGTGGTATTCTAATCTCTAAGTATAAATATTTATTTATTTATTTATTTATAAACATATATTTTTAATTGTTTTTTTTAATGGCAGGTAAAGAAAGTCATTGTTTATTTGGGTAGAGACAAAACAATGCAACTACTAGAAGAGCTGGTGAGTGAACTTCAGCTTACAGATCCTGTCAGTTCAGGAGTCACCCATATGGATAATCCACCTTACTATCGCATTACATCCAGTTACAAAATCCCTTCTGTCACTTCAGGTAAGCAGTCAGTTATTGTCTTAACTAACTTCAACTGTTATTATTGTCAATTATAAACATGCTGCTATCAATCATTTATTCTTCGGGGGTGCATTTGCAAATATTCAATAGGAGTGCAAGGTTCTGTTTCTAAAAATAATTTAAGCTCTGTTACAGACACAAACTGCATCCATTGGAACTGTTTTAAGAGGATTTAAGTTCATTTACTTGAGAAAATTTCTATAGTAATTGTTAACAATAGATCAATCATCAAAAAAAGCCCAAAGTGCTGAAAATACCAGAAGTGTCTACTTCATGCTTCAATCGAAGAACATACAGAGTAGTGTGGGTAAAAGTGGTCTTGCTTTAGTGGAGTATCCATCTGTCAAATTTAGCTGCAAAAGACTCAGATGGATGTGGGGAGGGTATCTAAGCAAGGCCTTAACTTTTGTGGTGCAAATTTGTCAATAGTATGAAGCAGCCTGGACCTATTATGTGGTGTAATTCACCTGGATCACAAGGTGAATGCATTTTCACTTGTTCTTGAAAGTGTTTAAACAATGTGAAAAAAATTCTGAGGCTCTTGTACTTAATTTAATTTAGAATAGCAAAGGCTGGAAGGGTACAAAATCACTTCCAGTTGTGGCTGTCAGTTCAGTGTGATGCTTGCAAATTTCTCCTAAAAGAAAATTTTTAAAAGCTTCACCACAGGCTATTAGGTTTTAATCCTTTGTCTGTTTGTGGTTTGAATTAACTGGATAACAAAGTCCAGCTACATTTTACGGACTACTGTGGTAGTAGTATAATACAGGAAAAAAGGCAATAGGTCTCTAGGTATAGCTTAAATAACTTTCTGCTTAATTTACATTGAAGAGTTAGAGATTCCTTGAATAGATTATTTTTACTTTTTCCTTTTATTAAAATTATGGTAGCAGCTCACAATCCTTTATTGCATGAGAAAGTAGTTTGTATGGCTCAGTTTGTATTTGTGCCAACTGCTGTAGAATAAACCTGATTAGGGCTCTGGGCAAGGAGCAGTAAATAAGGGTAATGGTGTAGTGCTTAAGGCTACTTTTCCTTTTTATTGACCAACTTTCTCCCTTGTCCATAATTCACAGGTACCACTTCTAGTAGCAATACAATGGTGGCTCCCACAGATGGCAACCCTGACAGTAAACACATGAAAGACAGTATTGAAGAGAAGTAAGTATCTCCTCAAAGAGCAGTTATTAGTTGAATTACAGGAATTCCTGCTAGGTACTATAAATACTCCCATCTCAGAAGCTCCAGGTATGTCTACATTGCAGGGATTACACTCCATGTAATGTCATGCATGTCAACAGAACTGGAATACTGTTTGGGATTAACAGCAGCAGCCTCAATTGTAGCTTGTACTCGATTGCAGGTCAGGCATTGTATTGTTACAGCTATGTTGTTGGTGGTGCCTAAAGTAGCTATTATTACACTGGACTGTGTATATGTTCACATAGGAGCAATTGTACTGTAAGGTGGGGTTGGTAAGATGCTGGAGCACGTTGCCCGGAGAAGTGGATGCCCCATCTCTGGAAGTGTTCAAGGCCAGGCTGGATAGGGCACTGAGCAACCAGGTCTAGTGGAAGGTGTTCCTGCCCATGGCAGAGGGTTGGAACCAGATTATCTTTAAGGTCTCTTCCAACCCAAGTCATTCTGTGACTTTATGACTAACAAATTAGTTTATTACCTCTTTGGGAATTAACAGTGCCTATGTATTGCAACCTAGTTTATTTTCCCTAATTGAGGTGTTCGGATGTCTGGTATCTGTGTCAAGATACCTTACACATTTCTCCCCTCTAATTTTTGAGCTATTTAAACATAATCTTTTGGAGAAATTTGGCAGACTCTGTTACGGAGGCTGGTGGAAAGCCAGCAGTTGATATAGACTTAGGCTGTGTACTTGGAGCTGTCATTTTGTGTTAATATGGATAGCTAACCTTCAAGTGAAATGGGAGTGGAGACTCTGTAATTAGCATGAGGAAAAAGTGTACACTTATGCCATTACTGTAGAGTAGCAACCATGATGTAAGTTTGCAAATGAATTTCTGATAACTTTTTGGAGAGCTTTAATAATTACAGTTTGGATATAATTTCCTAGTTGGACACTTTCTTTTTTTCCTTAGGATAATTATGCCAATATAGTTAGAATAGTAAATACATTGGGAGAGGCAACGCCATTACTTAAATTAAATTGGGGTGAGCTGTGTGATAGTAAATCACAGAAACCTGGAATGCGAGGTGTCATTCACAATTCAGCCTGGCAAGGCACAGACAAGTACTTGGCTGCCCTGGGGGCTCAAGCTGAAGAAGCTTGTAAAGTAATGAAGGCAGTTTTGAAAGCCTCTATGAGTTTTTGCATATACTGTAGAGTTGTCTTAAACCTCCCCAGGTATATGATTCTTGATGACATGTACCCTGTATATCTTGGACTTGCGAGGAGGAGAGAATTTAGAAACTTAGGTAGAAATAGTTTGGAAATGGTGCTTTTAGCACTCTTAATTTCTCTGATTTTTTTATAGTTCATCAGATTAGCAAGGTAGGATCTTGGACATTTGTGTGTGTATACATGCATATGTCTCTGCCAGATCACATACAGATTTCCTTATTTTGTTCAAGAGTGAGAAAAACTTATGTAAAATGGTAACAAATATTTTAATGTGTTTAAATGTTAGTGAAAATGATGGAACAGAAATACAATTGGTAGTGAATAATCTCTGTGAATCGCCTTATCTGGTGTTGCTAGAGAAGGTATGTCTTACACAGCTGAGGTGCTTTGGCATGATGTTGATTATCCTTGTAAGATGAATTATTTTTTGTATAAGAGTTTTGCTGAAATACAGTTGAATTAAGAGACCATGATTAACATTTGTCATAGAATGTCAGTTACTAATTCTACTTTCTTTGCACCTACAGCTATGCACACCTAGACATCTACAGCGGGTTGAACAGCAACTTAAACCGCCAGCACCACAGACTGGAATCTCGCTACAGCAGCAGCTCTGGAGGATCATATTTAAAATGTTTCTATGAATAGCACACAGAATTTTAACAAGTTAATACTTCTTCTGAAGGTTGTGGAACATAAAGAAATGAGCATTAGCAGTGTTTTTATCATAAACATATTAAAAATCAGAGTTTTTTTTTTATCTTCCTCCATCTTATTACTGCTATTTGAAGCCTAGCATACATTTGACTGCAATAAAATAATCAAGGAAGATAATACGCTTTGTTCTTTTTGTGTTCTCTGGAATGAGTTGTGAACATTTTCCTAAATTAAATGGTTTTACTCTATTTCTTTGACAGTTAGGCACAAGAAACAGAGAAGAGCAGGATGAAGATGAGATTTAAAAAAAGGCAATGGAAAAGTAATTTTTTTGAAAAAAGGAAATGACAAGTAATTGTTCTTTTAAACGATAGCATTCCTTGGCTTATTTAAAAAAGGGTACTAAACTTTTTGAAGCCATAGCAAAGGAAAATATAGCAAGGAAAAAGGTTCTCTTTATGTACATCTAATTTCCAAGATGGTTTTGAAAAGGTGTTTCAGGTTGTTTTTTGTGATCTGTGTTTTGTTTTTTCTGAGATGCAGAGGTATGGAAAGAGATAAAAATTTCTCCTGAAACTCCATTACAATTTTGGAAATATTTCCTTAACAGAGGCCCATTAACTGTGGCTACTTTTCTACCAGTGCCTAAGATACAAATCACCATGGCAATGCTAGGGAAAGGCAAACAGGTCATGTAATCAGGCAAAAAGGAGGACAGTGGTCAGTCAGGTAGTAAATGATGTGTTACATTAGTGGGTTTTTTGTGCTTGGTCAGAGCAGTTTTTTGACTGAAACTCTTGTTTCAGCTAACAGGTTGTTAGTAATTTAAATCATTTTGTACTTCACCTTGCATGGGATAATCAGATATATTTGAGTCATGCTTGTGGTCCCACAGACTTAGATTTCACTCAATTTTTAATTGAGCATTGATTTTACTACCGGTTAAGTTGTTTGGGTATGTTACAGCACACAGTACAACACTGCCTTTTTCTTAATTTTCTTGTGTGACTGAACAACAGGACGTAAACTTCTGCATTTTGAGCTTTAGATGTCAGTATGGAACTTATCCTATCCATTTTTGGATTGAAGCAACATTGTTGAAGCAACAAGAGTCCATTAGGATCTTCTGATCCTCAATGACTGATTCTTTGCACACTGTGATGGTTAAGTGAATATGTGGTTCTTACTGCCTCTGTCAAGGAGGTGAGACCTAATGTCCTCTACAAAGATTGTTGCAAGGGCTGGACATACTAATGCAGAATCTGCTAAACTTTGGGTCAGTAACAGCTTAGTGGCTGGCTTCTGGTCAGCCATAGTGCTTACTACGCCATAGATAGGCATTATCCAGAAGGACAGCTGCAGTGAATTTTGGATTTGTTTGCTGCTTGTGATAGCAACACTGAGTATCCTGAGCTGGATGATATTTTATATGTTCCATCAGTAAGAAGTTTGTCGCTTCTATTGGAGAGTGTGATAATGAGCTGATACATGTGTGAACATCTGAAACTTATGCAGCTATACTTCCAAACAAAGCTGGTAGAATCAATGGAACATTGAACTGTTGAGGCAGTTTCCTTGTTTCTAATCTTGTCTGATAGTTCTGAAGCCCAAAACAACTTTTAAACTAGAAAAGTATTTTGGGTGTGTTAACACAGTATACTCTCATACCAAACTCCTGATGTTTTTCTTGCACTTTAGAAGCTTGCTTAATAAAAAACTAAATGTCTTTCTGTGCTTTCTTGACAAATTTACTGATTTTCTGAGCAGTAAGTTTTATCAAGTTGGATTGGGATATGCTGTTGTAAAAGTGGTAATTTCCAAGTTACCCATGAATCAGGCCAGCATTATCTCCCACATAGCACTGGTGAGGTTTTGCTGTGAGACCTATAAAGATGTGTTCTTGAGGAATACTTCCTTAGCCTTTAATGAAATGCTCTTCAAGATGAGTTCAGTTAAATCTTAGGACCCAGCCTTAATTAACTCCCAATCTGGTGCAAGGTTTGAAATTCAAGGAAATTACATCAGATCACTTCGTCTTTTATCATAGTTTTTATGAGCTTATTCAATAACATCTTACTCTGTTATGTGTGTAACTTCTGTAGAATCATACTTGAAGAAGTAACCACTTTATTTCTTTTAAAAAACTGTGCCCAACTACTGCTGTTTACAGCTGGCTCCCCTTCCCCTCTCCTAGATCTCAGCTTTTCAAGAATTTAAAAATATTTCTTCAGAAAAATGTAACATACAGAAATATGCATTGTAATTATATTTATGGTTTAATTTTCTGTTTTGTTAGGTGATTCAATGCCTCTGTATTCCAACTGGCGGTTGAAGGTGATGGAGCACAATCAAGGAGAGCCTCTCCCTTTTCCACCTTCTGGAGGTTGCTGGTCACCACTGGTGGATTACCTGCCTGAAACTTCTCCTCCGGGCATGTCACTTCACAGGTAGCTGTTTTGGCAATTCCAGTGGCACTTCATTATGTTTTCATTTGTGTTTCACAAATACAGTAATTTGAAGATAGCAGATTAAAGGACAGTTGATAATACATTTGTTTTCTGTGGGTTTACTCACAGGTCTAGCAATTTGAGATTACTCAGCCTTTTAATGTGAGGGATTAAAGTGTTTCTGTTTTTATTATGAGCATTCATCTTTTCCCTTCTAACACAGCTTTGTGAATGGTTATAGACTGAAGACTACAAGTTAGAAGCATATGAAGCTCTTTGCAGCTCTTCATTAAGTTCCTGTTACATTCTTCTAACATACTATTTTCTTTGTTTTAGATGCAATATAGCAGTGATTCTTTTGACTGATTTGATAGTTGACCACAGTGTAAAGGTGGAATGGGGAGGATACTTGCATCTTTTGCTTCATGCAATTTTTATAGGTAACTAACTTCTTACAGAAATACATACAGTAACCTGAGGGATTCTCAGCTGTTGTTTTTGATATTTAAATTAACTATTGCCATTGTATTGAAATCCCCATAATTGGATAATATTTAATATTATAATTTTTAAAAATTCACTTAAATAGCTTTCAGCTTAATTAGTGTAATTAAGTTTTTTTTTTTGAATTGTTTTAAGGCACTTTCTTTTGGAGTCACTTTAACCTCTTGTAGCAGACACACTAAAATTCAGGTTTTTTTCCTTTTCTGTTTCTAAGGGTTATAATTTTCATACAGAGCACAGATTTAAGTTCTTACTTAAAATTCTTCTTAAGATTACTTTGTACTTCAGCCTTGCATGCGATTATCAGATATGTGTTAGTCTGATCAACAGACAGTTTGTTAAACTGTATGCTGTTATTTCTATATTGAAGCACTGAAAAAATATTGCTTAGAGAATTCTATTTCTGTTGTTTGGAAAAGTATTACAGATCAGTTGGAATACAACTATTTTTTTAAATAATGTAATTCAGCATGCCCTTTGAATGTCAAAAAGCCTTGCTGTTTTCCTTTTGTGTTAGGTTTTGACCATGGTCACCCTGAAGTCTATGAGCATTGTAAACGACTACTTTTGCATCTACTGATAGTGATGGGCTCTGGCAGTAATGTCCAGTCTGTTGCTTCTGTCCTGCTCAGAAACAGAGAGTTCAATGAGTCCAGGGTGCTCACTGTCAAGCAAATGACCCATTTAGATTACACTTTCACAGGTATGCTTTTGATTTATTGCATGTTGCTTGTTGAAATGACATGGGAAGTTATTTCTTCTTACAGGCATTATTAAGATTTCTGTTGTTTGTAATATTTTCCTGAGGCCTTGGCATTAAAATGTATTTCTTTGGATATTAATGAAGTCAAAATGAATAGAGTTCTTACTAGCACTTTGTGCTTAGTCATCAAAGTAGGGAGCACAGTTGATATGATGAATAGTAGAGGAATTCAAAGAGGGAGTTCTGTGTTTTGGAACTTAAATACAGCAGTTTTTATGATGCCTTTGAAAATAAAAACCAAGAAGATACATCTCTTTCTTGTTTATAGCAAGTTAAAATTTCCAGGTTTTTTTCAGCTGTGATTGCATTCTTTATTGGCTATCAGAATATTTTTGAGATACTAGTTTTTAATATTCACCTTAATTTTGCAATATTGTAGTTATACAGTACACTCTATATTTCTAGGCATCCCTTTATGAAGGGAATATTCTGATGGTGAGACTATATTGTAGTTTCTATTGAAATAGTTTGTTTTTTTACCATTTAGTATTTCATGTTATTTCAGTAGGTGGCAGCATATTGCCATACAATATCTTTTGGTCACACCAGTAGTGGTTTTATTGCTTAGCAAAAGTAGACATCTGATTTGTGAATTACCTTCCTAATCTTTAACGGCTTGGATAAAACTGTCTAAACATGACACAATAAAACAAAGATGTCTGATAGAAACTAGAATAAGGTCAGCATCAAACATTTCCAACTGGGTGTTAGGATAAGGTGTTTACAGATATCTATGCCCAGCACAAGTTTGTACAAGCTAATTTTAAATTTTATTTGAGCTGGCTAAGCTCAAATACCCGAGTCCAAACTCTGTGGTTCTATAGTGAAAACTTGTGATGTGTTAGTGAATCTTAAGCTTATTTAAATACAAATGTTGTGGTCAAGGGCCCTGCCAGTTTTTCTTGGTAGTTTACTTTCTCTCAGCCCTTCATAGATGGATAGAAGGGCAATGCGAGGAGTCATTTCAGTTGTATTTTATTGCCACGTAGTTCTTTTATATAGAAGAGAAAAATCTCCTTGCTACAAGATTAAACTAACTTCAGAGAAACTTTGTACAGCCACAGGGGCTCTGCTTAGTCCATTCACTAGATAATACTTAATGTTCACTGATTTGAGTACTGTCAGTTACACTGGGACTGAGTTTTAAGAAAAAAAATTATCTGCCTATCAGTAGGAAATAGTCTGTATAATTTTTTTAATTAAGTTGAGATGCCTCAGAAGCTGATGAGTTCTCATACTATTAGTACAAAGCCAAGAATTGTACAGGTGTTTTAAAAAGGGATCTTGCTGTTCCTAATTAAAGTTCATATAAATCATATGAAGAATTTGCATATATGAGACTTATTGATTTCACTGAAATTATTGTATCCATTAATTTATTCTCTTTTTAAGTGCTGTCACTACATTTACTAAGTTACTGATCTTTTTAGAGGGCTGTTTTTTTCTTTTAATATACTTAATATTAACTGTCAACTTAAAAGTGCATGTTCATGTTGTTTCAATTTCAGCAGGTGTTCATGATTTTATACCTGACTACCAGCCCTCCCCAATGACAGACTCAGGGCTTAGTTCAAGTTCTACCTCTTCTAGCATCAGTTTAGGAAATACAAGTTCTGCCATTTCTCAACTGCACACCACAATCCTCAATGAGGTTGACATTTCAGTAGAGCAGGATGAAAAAGTGAAAACTCTTATAGAATTTATTACCTCAAGGTAAGATTTCAGTTTTTATATTTATCAAGACATATTTTGTGGAAAAATGGCAAACCTCTTACTATTTATCATCATGTAGTCTAATTCTCTGTTTTATCACCAGTAAGTGTTTTTTTACATGATACACATATAAAAAGCTCTAATTTTCCAACACTTTCAGAGAATTTTGACCACACTTTCAAATCCTGACTGTTTAAAAGTATTTTGCTATGTTTTATTCTGTATTAGGGCAGGACTACATTGAGATGATTAGGGAGCTGCAAGATTTGTGTGTGGTTGAGGGCTTACCTAGTAGTAGAGAGCTGACTATTCAAAAATGAGGGATTTGTTGCAAAGGACATTGATAAAATCATCCACATTTTTACAGTTTGTATGATAGTTTATATTAAGCTTTCAAGGTGGTGTAAATCTGAAATTCTACCTGTTTCTCCATGCTTTTGATACTTTTGCTTTACCTCATCCTGAATTTATAATAGTGTTGTTTATCAGTGGAAAGGAATTGGGAAGAAAGGAGTTAGGAAGTACATAATGGTGGTAATTTTACTGGTTCTTTTTTAGAGAACTATTATACCAAACCTGCACCAGAGAACATCTCTTCCATCTTCTTACCTAGTTATTTCAGTTGGAGCTGATACATTGCTTTTCACTTTGTCTTAACTTCTTGCATATTTTATAATATTGGTCAGTTGTCAAAATTCTTTCCAGTTTGTGACTGCACTTTCTAGATGGTTTCTTTTATGTGGTACATAGTAGATTCTTTTGCAATTAACCTTATTGTTTGAGTTTAATTTAAATAATATTAAGGAGAAAGGCTATGTTTTACATTCTGTTTACTCTAGTTTTATATTTTTTAGGAAAAGAGGCCCACTTTGGAATCATGAAGATGTTTCGGCCAAGAACCCTAATATAAAGAGTGCTGAACAGTTAACTGTGTTTTTAAAGCATGTGGTATCTATATTTAAACAGTCTATTTCAGGTATGTTAGAAAACAGACAATACATGATCAAATGTGCAAGACTGCAAACTAAATAAATGCTTTTTAATACTTGTAAACACATAGGTTACTTATAAAATCACTCTAGTTAATTACTGCTTCGAAACAAGAGTTTTCTTGTATGTTGCACAACTCAGTTCATGGTTGTTATGACAGATTTAAATATAATCTTACAATTTCTTGTGAACACTTAATATTCAAATCATAAATGTTTTGTTGTCTGCAAGACTCTCTAGCATTAAAAATTTGGAATACGTGTTTGTATTCCTGTAAAGATTTTTGAGACTAATACCTCTTGAGAGAAATATAGAGGACGTGAGAATATTTTAAATTTAGGAATGACTATGGCAATTTACTCTTCAGTAAATTCAAGTGGATTTTTTTTTATAAAGCCGTGTTGCTAGAATATTTATTTGCCTTAATAGGAGGATATCAATTGGAACATCGTCTCAGTGAAGTTGCTTTGCAAACTGCGCTTTCGTGTTCCTCTCGCCATTATGCTGGGAGGTCCTTTCAGATTTTCAGGGCTCTGAAGCAGCCTCTCACTCCATCTACACTTTCTGATGTTCTCTCCAGACTAGTAGAAACTGTTGGAGATGCAGGAGAAGAAGCTCAGGTATTTGAAATTTTGCTCCCATTTAATTAGAAAGCTAAGTCTGCCTAAATGATGTGCATGCGTTAGTTCAATGACGGCAAAATTTGAAAGCTTTGTTTTATTCAGTTGCATTTTATTTTTAAGTATTTCAAATATCAACACAGTTTTAATCATGATACTTCCTGAATTTCACCTAATCAACTGAGGAAAAGTTGTGCACATTCTTTTCTAGGAGCGGTGGGCTCCTTCAGAGAGTTTGATACATTTGTTTCCCATAGACACCACTCCTTTCATTGTTAGAGAATACTGAGATCAGCCATATAAGAAATGATTTGTTTTCTTTTGTTAAGAACTTTACCTGATAAGGTGTTAACAAACATTCAACTTAGCGTCATTGTACATCTTAAAGAGTGTAACTAATTTTTTCATATTGTAAAATGAGTATGAATTACTTCACCCTTCAGTCCATCCTTAAAAACAATACAGATCAGAATTAATTCAGTAAATGTTTATAAATAAATTGAAGTTTTTCCTTGTCTTAAAGCTTTACTGCTAACTTGAGCTGTCTCATGACAATTGAGTTCTAACTGAAGCATGAAATAATTTAGTTACTGATACTGATTTTATATTTTTATATTGCTACTCAGTAGATTTTCTGTGATCTTCGTTGTGCATATTGCATATTTTATAATGGCCTGTGGCTTTCCCCAGGGTTTCGTCATAGAGCTGCTTTTGACTTTAGAATCTGCTATTGATACATTGGCTGAAACCATGAAGCATTATGATCTGCTTTCTGCCCTTTCTCAGTGAGTTCTTTTATTATTCAATCTTCATTATGCATTTTTGTACATTTGAATTATTAAAAATCTGTATTATAAATGTAATGAAGTAATTTCTTGTCATCTTTGCAGAATAATTGTATCCATATAAGCAAAATTGCTTGCTCTGGTATGTTTTTATCATTCTGCCTCAAGCAAAACTTGTAAGAATCTAGATTTCCTGAAAAGGATATCTTACTGCCTTTCTGATTTACCCTCTTGGGTTCAATTTAATTTTGTAAAATGGTGTTCAAGGAGTTCCTTATAGCTGAGTTCTGAAATATTGCCAGTTATTCTTAAACTTCTTGAATTTAAAGGCTCTGCTAATGTTGGTCTGTCTTAGGCCTCAGGTTTTTGTCAGTATGTAAGAAGTGTTACTGAACAGTCTGAGTCATTTACGTGTCTCATTACAGTTTGAATGTTCACCTTGATGACTTTTTATCAAACTGAAAAAAGATCCCCAAATGTACAGACATCTATATTTGTTTGACTTCCTCACAAAGTTTTTGAAAATGCTGAGATTTCTAGGAATACATTCAATTTCTCAGCATCAGAATAGGAAGGTGTTGGATTTCCTAGGTCAGATACCTCAGACAAATACATGGTAATAATAATTGTATCAATTCATTAATTTCTCTACTTTTATTACATCTTTAAAGAATTTGGGATGCTATCACACATAATCTTTTACAGGCTATGGGTTAATTTTTCTGATTTTGCTGTAATTCTTATGGTATTCTGGGATTTCTCTAACAAATAGATTTGGTATAAAAGATTACAGGATTCTGCAATCTTGTCCTTATGCCCTAAGGATATTTTAATAATAGATACATAAATCCTGCATTTACATGTATTATAATACTCTTAGGGTGATGAGCCAGACTATTCACTGCATGTGTATGTGATTAGTGTGACATCTTTTTTCTTTATTCCCTTTTTCTAAACTATGTTATTAAAGGATTTTGCATGTAACAATATGTAATACTGCTTTTTATTTTAGAACCTCATACCATGAATCTGTAATGGGAAACAAGTATGCAGCTAATAGAAAAAGCACTGGACAGATAAATCTAAGCACAAGTCCCATTAATAGTGGCAGTTGTTTGGGATACTACAGCAACACAAGGAGTAATTCCTTGAGACTGAATTTAATCAGTGAGCGGAGAGGCGACCGGCGACGGAGCAACACACTGGATATAATGGATGGAAGGATAAATCATGGTGGAAGTTTGGCAAGGACTAGAAGCCTTTCCTCCCTGAGAGAGGGAGGGATGTATGATGTGCAGCCCACTACTGACCCTGTCAACTTGATGGCCACCATATTTTGGATTGCAGCTTCGTTGCTGGAGTCAGATTATGAGTATGAATACCTTCTGGCTCTCAAACTACTCAACAAGCTTCTTATTCACATGCCTCTGGATAAATCAGAGAGTCGGGAAAAGATAGAAAAGGTGCAGAATAAATTGAAATGGAATAACTTTCCAGGCCTTCAGCAGCTTTTTCTGAAAGGCTTTACTTCAGCCTCTACACAAGAAATGACAGTTCATCTCCTCAGTAAACTCATCACAATTTCCCGGCATGCTTTGGTGGATCCTTCTCAGTTAGCAGGTATCTTTAGTAAATACGTGATAAAAATATTTTTTTTCATCTAATTAAGTGGAGTCAAAATCAGTAGCAATTGTGCATATGCCTTAAAGAAACACTTCCATTAAATGCTTTCTGCAGTTTTCCATATTACACTGCTACATAATGGGAATACGTTCCAGGCTATGATTATCTCAAAAGCAAGATTGCATGTAAACTTTATGCACTGACTACTGTTTGCAAGGAAGTTTTAAGAGCTGTGTATTTTTTTTCTTGATCTTGTGCTAACCAGCTCGATTAGCATTGTTTACACATTTTTAGAAGCAATGTGATATAGTGCCTAAAACTATCCAGTTTCATGGATAAGTTTTGCTTAATTTTTCCAGTGATGATTTTACTTTCATCATGCATTTTTATACCTAATACAGACATATTTACATACATTGTTCATGCATACATACTTATGTATGTATAGGTAAATGTATGTGTATATATAATTAGGTAAATGTATGTATATATATAAGTTATACATCTGTGTGAAAGTATGTGACATGCTGTAATAGTTTTAAATACAGGCTAATTCCACATTAAATTAAGTCATATGAAAATCTTCAAGGGCTCATATAACACTGTTTATGTATGTGTTTAGGATTTCCCCTAAACATCTTGTGCCTGCTTCCTCATCTGATACAACATTTTGATAACCCAACTCAGTTTTGTAAAGAAACAGCTGACAGGATAGCAAAGGTATGTAATTTGTTGATTGGAGAAGTATGCGGGAGGATATGTATACCAGCCTTGTTTCTGTATTTTTTTGGGGGTCCCTAATGTAATACTCATGTGATTCTAATAGTAATATACACATAACTGTAAGATGTCATATTTTAAATATATGATTCAATCTAATTTATATAGCTAGACTTTGTAGGGATAAAACCCTGACTCTGTCTGTCAATGAAAAAACACATTTAGTTTATTCTGTAAAATTTAGATGTCAAGAATAAATTTTCTTACTAATGATATCAATTACTTTTTCTTACTTGTCTGATTTTTCCATTTGTAATTTTGAATGTCAACCCAATCACATTTTAAGCATACTTCCTAATTTTCTTAGGAGAAGGAATTGATTCTTACTGTTAGACAGGGAAGAAAAGGTTGCATGTTTTTTCTATTACCTGTACACAGTGAAATACACTGTGAATACTTGAAATATTTCTGAACTGTAGTGGCTGTTAAAGCAGTATGTGGTGCACACCAACTGTTGTCAGCCAGGATGGGTTTGCACTGGCCTGACAAAGTCTTTCTTTTAAGGAAGAATGTGGAAAGGGAATAGGAAAGAACTGTCTGTCACAGGAGATGGAGTCATACACCTCTGTCTGCCCAGGCTGTGACACGTGAACCACTAAGCTGTGCACAGTCTGACTCAAACAGTATGTGCCTGATGCAAGTGCAGAAAGTACTGCTGCCCTTAAATTCTTGCATTACTCGAGCGAGGGATATTGGTTGATCATACCAAATGTATGATGAGTAGATAAACTTGGAACATGGATGCCACAGTACCAAAATTAACAGAAACTGTAGGTCATGCTTGTGTGATTGGTTTGATTTCACTTACTAGAAAATACCTGAAGTGAAATCTTGGACTGAAATCTGGGAGAAGTGCATAATGACTCATGAATGCTTGGATTAAAAATATATACAAAATACTTTCAATATAATTAAATATTATATTAAATTAATATAATTAAATATGGTTTTGATTTTCAGGTTTGTGCAGAGGAGAAGTCACCAACTCTTGCCAATCTGGCTCATATGATGAGTTTATACAGTACACACAGTTATTCCAGAGACTGTTCTAACTGGATTAATGTAGTGTGTAGATACTTGCATGACTCTTTCTCAGATGCCACATTTAACCTCATAACTTATCTTGCAGAGGTAAATTTTTACTAGAAGTATCTCATGTTGATAATTCATTGCCATTTCCTAATTTCTCATGATTCTGAATATCAAGGGGAATAAAGCATATTTTCTCTAACAGGAAAATATTACTAAAATGTTCTAGAATGTAGAAAAGGGATGACTTGCCATTTTGGAGTGCAGTAATTTATGTATTTGCAATATAGCTTGAAATGATAATCCCTTTAATGAAAGATCTCCTTTTGTGAGAGTGGTATTTGGCAGTAGATGTTTATATCTCTACTACATTAATATATACTGTTTTGGCTTTAGCAAAATAAGCTTAATGCAAATTTTCAGAGACCTTCTTTAGTCAGGTACAAGTTTTTATCACAACTTCAAAAATTAATTGCAAAGTTTAGTTGTAAGTATAGCATAATGTAGAAAAAGATAATTTAAATTATAGAAATCAGTATATTACTCTGCTGGCCATTCACAGAGGAAAGCTGTTATGTAGTTTGTATGAAAAGCTTGTAGAGCTTGTCCTCGAAGTGTATCACTTCAGTCTGATGGAGACATTTTAAAAAATTTGTTCATTCTTACAAATGACTTTATATGTACCTATTTTGTTTGTAAAACTGCACTTACCAATCCTCTTCAAATCTTGTTTTTCATACAGTTTTAAGACTTTGAATTAGTATGAACTCTTTGATTTAGTGAAAAGTGTTTTACTATTAGGTGCTTTCCATCTGTGTTAAAAATATGTCAAAATTCAGGGGAAAAAACAAAATAGGACAAAACCCATTGGGCTGTTGCATTGCTATTTTTTAGTAGTAAAGCAAGAGTTTGAAAAATGGGAAGTGGTACATTTATGTTTCTTGAACAGAAAAATAAATGTGTGTAGAAGTTAGCTGCATTTTAATGTATGCTTTCACTTTTTGCTGCGATTAAAGGCCCTAATTAAATTTTGTATTTTAAAAACCTTTTTTTAGCTGTTAGAGAAAGGCTTATCAAGTATGCAACAGTCATTGCTGCAGATCATTTACAGTCTTCTGAGTCATATTGACCTATCCACAGCTCCAGTGAAGCAGTTTAATTTGGAAATCATAAAAGTTATTGGTAAATATGTTCAGGTAGGTACTCTGAAGAGCTGTAAAAGCCTGTCTGCTCATTATCAAAATATTATCAAAATTACAGTTGAATTTTGGGGGGAATTTATTTCAGATATAAAAATAGTTGTTTGTAGTCAGATTCCATAGGGTTTTTTTTTCCTATGTACTTAATTCACTAGATGTTTGTGTATTTGTCCAATGTGATTTGCATCTGGTGGAACGAGTTATCTGGGTGAATGTGCATCTATTTACAGATGTAGGCAACTCATCATCTGCAGTTAAAGATGATCCTTCAACTATTAAAATTCAAGGAAATGTTTACTGCTAAGCTGCACAAATGTTTTATTTATGTGTATATGTTTTAAAAAGAAAATTTTACGGTTAAATGAATATATAAACCACTCTCAGTGACATATCCATGAGGAGCTTTAAGGTGCGCCTTAACAAAATTGCGTACATTTTTTATTAAAGAAAGTCCCCAAAAATGAACCACAGTGTTTTGCCCAAGGTAATTTATGCCTTTGTACTTGAAACACAAATTTACTGAAAATCTATTTCACAGAAGAAAGTCTAGCATCTTACTGAATGATTTTTTGAAAATGCCTGGAGCTTAAAACCATTTCAGTGCACAACATTCTCTTCTTTTCTCTCTGAATTCCATTATTGCCAAATGTATTTCAGTCAAATGGTTTAATCATAATTAAACCAGGAAAAGTCATGTTCCCTGGATGTTTTGTTATTGATGGATATGTAGTTTAGATATTGTGCTCATGTCAGAGTGCATTAGGCAAAATGGAATGATTAGCATTAGCTATAGTTCTTATGGCCTGGCAGCTTCTTGCTTCACCTCTAACCTTTCCTCTGAGCTTTCTATGCAAGCCCACACTATCATGGAATGTAATCTTAATTAAATGTAAGCTATCAAAATATAATACTAGCTAAAAAATATTCCAGAGAAGTCTTAACATATTTTTGGTAAAGTATGTTACTATAAATGACAAAAGAAAAGATCATAAATTATCATGTCTTGTTTAAATGTGCTTCTACTCAGCTTTGGGTTTTTTCAGTCCTCTGCAATGACAGTGGCTGTAAATAAATTAAAGTTGCTGTACAATAGTTCCAGTTTGAGACTCCCTTTTTTATGCTTCTGATGCACAGAAATTGAGGAGATTATTGTAGACTTATTATCTGAAAAGAAGCAGAAAGCATATACTACTTAGAGAATTGAAGGGGGTGTTTACTTTTTTTAATGCAATAAAAAAATAGTTTGGCAAACATGGCAAATTAAAAAAAAAGTCATCATGCTGATTTCAAAAATTGGAAGATTTAAGTTTCAGGCAGAATCCTTGCATTTCCAGGAGTGTAAATCTTAACCTTTGCACAAAGCTGCTTTTATTTTATGTCTCTTCTTCTGATTCTCTCCGCAGTGTGTGTAATTGAAACCACTGAATTATTTACAGTGTCTTAATCATCTTTTCAAGGGAAGTCCACCTAACTCAGGCTCTGCCTCTTACATTCTCACACTTTTATCAATGCTTTTCTTAAGCACTGCATTGGTTTGATATTGTATTTCAAGCAAGGAATAGTTTTGCATGTTTCAAATTCCATTTATTCTCCTCGTAACTGTAAATTAATTAAAGATGGCAAGAGGTGGAATAGTTAGTTTGAATACTGTCATTTATTGTAGTTAAGTGATAGTTAAATACTCTCTGTCTCCTGAGTCACAAAGAGCAGATGCTTCAGACAGTGGTAAAAAAAAATGGTGTAACTACAGGGATGGTGGGACATGGACTGTGGTCTGGTTGTGGCTGGCCCAGTGATCTGGAGCTGCTGAGCCTGCTTGGGTGGATCTGACCATGCACCATGAGATGGCCTGATTCCTTGCCACTGCTTTCCTGGCACTTCAGGGTCTGAAGTTTCCCACCTTTCCCTTCAGCCATGTGTAATATATATCAGAGATTTAGGGTTGGGGATTCTTAAAAAAATACTGCTGTACATAAAAATTGATGTCTTGGTTGAAGGGATTGTTGTATGATTTGTGTATGTTCTCTTCAGAGTCCATATTGGAAGGAAGCCCTTAATATTTTGAAACTGGTGGTGTCTCGGTCAGCAAGCCTTGTTGTGCCTAATGATATTCCAAAGTCTTATGGAGGTGACATAGGTTCTCCGGAAATCTCTTTCACGAAAATTTTTAATAATGTCTCCAAGGAGCTTCCTGGGAAGACCTTAGATTTTCATTTTGATATATCAGAGGTAATTATTATATTTAGATAACAGTACACTTATGACTTGCTGTTACAAACTCAGGTGTTATTTTCTGTTAGCTTTCTACATTTTTATGTTTTAAAATAAGTACAATTTTTAAGAACAGCAGAGATTGAAGTTTTATGTACTTGTAAATAAGAGTCATACTGGAAAGTAAATTTCAAATTATTTTATGATGTTTGTTTGCCTTTACTCCCTTTTGATAGTCTGGAGAGTTAATTACTAAAAGTCAGTAAGATTATTCTCAAGGGTATCTCAGCTGTGTCAGAGGGCAGACAATGCAGCTGGCTGCTGCTTGCAGCTGAACATACCGGACTTTCAACAAATGAAGGACTGTGCATTCAAGGGCTGAGAGGATTAAAACCCTGTACTGCAGTTTTGGCATGGCTTTGGAAGGGGGAGGAAATTTAGAGGAGAGGACAGGATACAAAATGTAGGAAATGCAATGTAAGAGGGATACAATAGGAGAAAAATCTCCTGTGGTTAAACATCTCACCTCTACCAGCAATAATACTCAACCTACATCTGAAAAGGGGAGCATGGCCGAGTGACTGCAGTGTAATGTAGAGATGTGAAAATCGTAGAAGCTTTAGAAGTGATGGGAAGTAAGAGCTCCTGGTTAAAGCTAACCCTAGATAATGATTGGATATATATGTATTAGGAACATTACTTAAATTGGTAAGTACATTCACTACTGAAGTTTCAGGGCGTGAAGATAATTGAGAGATTCCCATGGAGTTCATTGGATTAGCATTTGCTGTCAAAAGAGTCTATTTTGATCATTGTTTTTTCAGAAGTATGTGTGTGTTTGTGAAGTTGCTGGTCTGGGAAAAGAGCTTGCTCATGTCAGGGAATGAGTCTACAGAGAAGCTTTGCATCTTTTAAACTTAGAACACGGTTTTAAAGTGTGTTTAAAAATATAATTGGATTGTCAGCATAAAATGTGCATAATTCAAAGCCACACAAGTGGGCAGAATGGCAGCTTGCTGCGTAGGGTACAAGTATTCAGCTTTGTATTTCCCAGTGTACCAAGGCTCAGTGGATTAGACTTGGGCTTTACAGAATGCTTGCAAACAGACAAACCCTCCTACATTCCATATAATGCCAAAGTCAAATATGTAGTCTCTGCTAACATAGATTTGATTTTTAAGAAAGTGTTTGTTATCTTTGCTAGACACCAATTATTGGGAATAAATATGGTGATCAACACAGCGCAGCTGGTAGAAATGGGAAGCCAAAAGTCATTGCTGTGACCCGGAGCACTTCTTCAACTTCATCAGGTTCCAATTCAAATGCACTGGTTCCTGTCAGCTGGAAGAGACCGCAGCCATCTCAGGTACATTGTGCCTCAAACACTTTATACATATATTAGAGACAGTGTTTATGAGTGTATTAAAAAAGAAATGTATTGAAGTGTTTTTCGAAGTCTGTATTATGTCTTAGCAAAAGAGTAAATTAATAAACTAAAGGCTGATACTGGTGAAAAGTAAAAAATTTAAGACTCTTTAGAGGATGTCAGTATGCAATATGACTAGTTGAAAATGCAAATGTTTTATATTTTTACCTGGACCTCCAACAGCTGCCATTCTATGTGATTTTCTTTGATATATTTTTCAGAGAAGGACTAGGGAGAAGTTAATGAATGTGCTTTCTCTGTGTGGTCCAGATTCTGGTCTTCCCAAGAATCCTTCGGTAAGTGATGGTAGTTTGTTTTGGTTTTTGAACTCAACTAGCAGAATGCTATTGCACTTTTAGGTGTTGCTGAAGTTATGAACAGTGGATTTCAACAAGCTAGTTTTGGTCCAGCAGTTCACAAATCCAATTGAAGGATTAAAAAGAAGAATCAGATGTAATGGATTGCTATTATTCCTCAAGGACTCCAGTGGGCATGGTTGTCTTGGCTAGAAAAGAGAATTGAATTAGAATTGAATCAGCCGTGCTCTGACTAAATCTCTATCTAGTCCATTACAGATGCTTTGGAGAGAAGGGGCAGCAGTAGCTGAGGACTGCAAGGGTGCTGATGCTGTATTGAAAATATCATAGAATCCATGGAGAATAACCAGTGGATCATATACCTTGAAACAGGGTTATTCATAGGAACAATAGTATCAACTGTTGAGTAAAAATGGGTTGAAGGTTTTACTTCTGTATAAAGAGCCCTACTGGCATACTGTGCTTGATGGTGGTGATGACATTGACAGCTTTTAAAATAAAGTGGTTATTTTACCACTTTATTTAGATGATAACCAAGGTTATGATACCCTGGTTATCATCTAGAACATATTTTTTTTATTGTGGTATAGAAGTTCTTACCTGGGGAAGATATTGGTGACAAAAGGACTTTGAATCTAGTGGAAGAAGCTAAAATAGATAAAAATAGGTGCCTGAAAGCTGAAACTGGAGAGATTAAAAAACAGTGCATGGAAATAACAGAATATTGTCATTTGTAAAGGTTGTAAGTGCCACAGTAGCCCAGTATTGGATCCCTTTTAAAGGTGTACAGTCCTTCCACAGAAATTTGTAAGTGAAAACAATATGGTCTGTGTCATGTGGATGGTTATTATGATGAATTTTTCTGTTCTTAAATTTGACTGATGTGGTTATGAAAATTAAGTTTGGGTCCTATATTTTTCTCTCTATTTATACCTTTGTAATTCTTAATTACATTAACGACAGAATCATACCACTAATTTAAAGATGTAGTTTAAAATCCAAATAGTCTTGAAACAATGTGCTATCAGTATTAGGGGTAGTCACACTGGCTGCCACTAGTTCCATTATACGGCAGGAAGAAGGAAAGCTGGCTTTTGGAATTACAGAAATTGGAAGTTCTTCTGTTTTTATCCATATCTGCAGGTTGTGTTTTCTTCTAATGAAGACTTGGAAGTTGGAGATCAGCAAACTAGTCTAATTTCAGCAACAGAAGAAGTGATTCAAGAGGAGGAAGTGGCTGTAGAAGACAATACCAGTGAACAACAGTTTGGAGTTTTTAAAGACTTTGACTTTTTAGATGTTGAATTGGAAGATGCGGAGGTGAGACCCTGGGGTTTCTTCTGTGTATTTCCATTTGAAAACATTTTAAAAATAAGGTTGTGCTGGTGCAATTCTAAGGAGTTGGCAGCCCTACTAGCTAATCCAATTCAGAAGAATTTGTGACATGATGGAGCTTAGATAGAGAAACACAGATCAAAAGCTTTGCTGGGTTAAGTTGTTGCAAGTTGTTGGCTGGCTTTCAGGGGGAGAGCTGAGGTTTTTTTGGAGGGATTTAAGTGACTCTGTCTGAAAGTGAAGTGATATGACAGTGTAAGCCAATGTCAGCATGAACACCTGGGTACCATGCAGGAGAGAACTTAATTATGGAACAGTGTGTTAAGGAAATGGCATAATCATTGTTTCTGATATGTTTCTGGATTTTGAGAACTTGGTGAAAGGCTTTCAAAGTAACAAACTACACTATCTCATTATATACAATTGACTTGCATTCTATAATTGCTTGCTTTGACTTTTACATTATATCTGGTATATTGTAGTTCTTCTAATGGTTCCTCTACTTCTCCTTCTGTCAAAAACAGAGAGGGGAGGTAAAACAAAATTAAGTATTGAGAAATAATGAAGATTCTGTTAACAGCTGTTACTTGTTTCAGATCAATAAAAGGCTTCAGATCAGAATTTGCTGAAGCTTAAAAGTATGACTGTAAAAGGACTGGGAAGGAGAAAGTCAAATGTTTTGTAGTTTCTTGCAGTGGTTTTATTACAGTCTGTGCAAAATATTGAATTAATAATGGGCATCCTTGTTGGTCATGAGTCCACATATATCTACCTATCTAAACACTGATTGTTCTTCTCTTAATTTATCTAGACATCTTTATGGGGTTTACCCCTAATTCTTTAGTTTTATCTCACTTTCCTCCTGCTTCCTGTGTATTGCTTCACTTCAGCCAGTATTTGCACCTTCTAGGAGAAGAACAGGCTCATTACAGTCTATATTGCATAGATGTAACCACACACTATTCAAACACTATTTCCTATATTGAATACAAGTAGTCAGACAGTTCAGAATCAAGGCTCAGTAATATTAAAATATTATTTTAACGCTGAGACAGAACTTTGCAGATAGGATGGCAAAGGTTTAAAACTTTGCCAAATGAAGTTAACCTAAATTATATAACCAATATTCTGTGCTATTTAAGTAGCAGATTATAATTAAGAAAAGACAGTTTCTTTTTTATTACTTGCCTGAATGCAACGTGCAGTGCTGTACTAGAGAAAAAAAATATCAGAGCTAGTAGAGATAGGGTGTTACATATAAATTTGTGCATATGGTGTAAGAGCTCTGGCTTATTTTTTCACCAAAAATACAGAATGTTCTTTATTGCTAATAATTAAATGTCAACAGTATGAACCGGGGATTTTAGGATTAACATCTGAGTAATATCCAGATTAAATTTAAGTGCTTCAGCCCACAGTAGGAGTACTTTCTTGTATTTGAAATTATTTTGCTTTGCCATAACTTTCCATCCTCTTGAGGAAAATTAATCACTAAGAGAGAAAGAGATTAGAGAACATTTAGTTTGCATATTTAATGAGTCATGGTGATTTCATAAGTCACCACAAGAGATACTCGGTTGAGGCAGTTTTGGAGCCATGTTCCAGGCTAGTTGTGGTGTTCTAGTAACTGTAGACCAGTGAAGTGAATTTCACCAGGTTTTCCATATTGCTTAGCTGAATTGTTGAAGGTTGATGAAGTGGTTGAGAAAAATCAAAGATCATTATTGTACTTGTGAATTAAAATAACAGTGTTTTTAAGATATGGATGTCACTTAGTATGATGGATATTTGAAACCCAAATGTCTCAGCTTCAAAATGCACAAAGAGAATGGATCCAGCTATTGGTATTCAGGGTGCACTTCACAAAACTGACACAAAGTAGCTGGTAAAACAGTTAGTGTTAACATCATCTTTTCTACACCCTGTATATAATTATTGTTGATAGTGTTTTGTCAGTTGGATGTGGTCAGTATAGATTCATGTGTGTTAATTAAAGAACTTCATCAGTGTTTGTTGGAACAGTTGCTTTACATGTTACGTTAGAGAAAATGTATCATGAGCATGCTGATTTTAGTGTTTTGTCGTCAGTTTGTTTTTTATTTTTTAATCTCATTAATAAGAGACATTATTTTAAATACTAGCTTTTTGACTAAAGCTTTTTTCCAGAGCTTGAATCAGTCTTTTACTGTTGGCAAATCCTATGTAATAAAACATTTTTCCCTGGTTCTAGAGTATCTTTAAGTGTTTGTCCTCGTTCTTTCTAATTATATGTGTTTTCCTTTTTGCTAACCAGGAGCTGCAGGTAAGTTGCAGCCTGGTGCCCTGGCTTGTTCATCTGTTGTTGTCTGTGATGTGTTTGTACTTTCTAGTCAGATTATAAAAACAATACTGATATAGTTCTAGATTACATAGTGAGTTACTTTCCAAGAAGATATTCAAAAGATTTCTACTTCCTTTGCCATATATTTTATTTACAAGCATTTAACAAGGTACTTAAAATTTTAATAAAACTAAAGGGCTGATTGAAACTCTGTTCATGACACATTCAGTACTCATGTTTTCTCTGTCTCATTTGTGTATTAACTGAATTGTGTTGAAACTCGTACATACCATATGTGTGCAAACTTTTTTTTTACAGGGTGAAAGCATGGACAACTTTAACTGGGGCGTTCGTAGGCGCTCTCTTGACAGCATTGACAAAGGAGACACCCCATCCCTTCAGGAGTGTCAGTACTCCGGCAGCACACCCAGCTTGAACTTGACCAACCAGGAGGATACTGATGAGTCTTCAGAAGAAGAAGCAGCACTGACTGCAAGTCAGATACTGTCTCGTTCACAGATGGTAGGTTATTTTTCTGTGGAAGAAATCTGAGAACTTAAGCTTTCCCTAGAACATTTAATGGATAAGTGTGGCTCACACTTTCGACCTAAGTGACATAGTAAGGAACTAAGTTAATGTGGCTAAGCTTCTTTTTCATAACAGCATCAAGGAAGGATAAAAGTTACATTACCACATCGGTGCTACATAATTTATAATTTATAACATTAGATTTATAATTTTAGTACAATATTAATTTTTTTAGTGTCTTTACACTCACTAATTCTGTTAAATATAAGCACAGAATTGCATCTATTATATATAAAGAGAGTATCTTTGTGGATTTCTAGATCAAAAAAACACCCCAAATGCTGAATAAGATCAAGAGTATTAAGTGGTCATATTAGGGTCTAAGTTGTGTTTAAGCACAGAAATTGCTAATTTAATTATGAATTTTGAAGCCTGTGTACATATAACTTAGGAAAATCAAGAATGCTGGCCACTCACAAGTCTCTCTGCATTATATAAATTAAATTAAGAAAAAGTTGACTTGATGGCAAGCAGCTTGATGCATATGTTGGTTTTCAGACTTTAGGCAAAGCTTGTATTAATGTTGTTCCAAACAAAATGCTCTTCTTTTCAATGGTTTCAGTCCAGCAAAAATAACTTCTAAAAAAACTTCTTTTCATAGTGAAATGTTGCAGAAATGCATGTGATGCTTGTAATAGTTCCAGTGTAAGGCTGTGAAATTCATAATATGTGAATAAATTCAAACAGCTGAAATACTGAAAAAGTCTATTTCAAAACTAATGCATTCTTTACCTGCAGTTTGTGCTTCCTTTGAAGAATTTTATTTCTTTCTTTTCTGTCTTAGTTAATCAGTGATTCTGCTATAGATGAAACAGTGTCAGATCATGCTGGTTTATCACTTCAGTCTCAAGATTCCACTAGCAGTGTGGGAACAGAAGAGGTGCTTCAAATCAGAACTGAGACCCCAAGTTTGGAGGCTTCTTCTCTAGATAACTCTAGCAACCAGCTGCCTGAGGTGGGGAGAAATGTGGGCTGGTGCATGGCTGATTTGGGCTCCTTCTAGTTTTAGTAGCAACTTTGGCTTTCTTTTCAACTGAATTTTCATCTGTTACAATGATTAGCTGATTTGCTTTTAATATTTCTAACCTGTTGTGTGTTCTTACGAAATGTTCCCTCAGTATGGAGACAACATGGATGGACTGAGGGAACTTACCACAGGTTAAAAATATTCTTGAAGGGCTGATCGTGATCATTTCATGGTGCAGAATGAAACAGGCTAATATTCAAAATGCTTTTACTTGATATGGTTGAAATCCTTCTTGAGCGACATTTTCTTTCAAATACCTTTTTATTCCCCTCCCCCTGTCTCCCCTTTTTGTTTTTTGCTTTGGGTTGTGATTGGTGCTATAAGGGAATAAAACCTCAGGCCAGCTGTGTTAGCAGTTGGTTCCATTAAATAATCCTTTAGAAAGGACTACAGATGCTAGTGGTATACTTTTTTGGAAAGGCCCATGTGGACTGAGACAGATTTCAAGCTAATGGCCGCCTGCAAATCTGTGAGTACTTCAGTTTATTGTGTTTTCAAACATTTGAATAGTTTGAATAGTTTAAAATTTAAAAAGACACCCCTAATTTAAAACAAACTCTCATATGCTACCATTTTTCTGGTTTAGGTGGACTTTTTATTTCTTCATTTAAAATTATTTATGCTATTGGTAGTCTTATTTTTGTTTGGATAATGACAGCTCATCCCATCTTTAACTATACATGCACTTTTATTGAGCATTCCAGAAAGTGAAGCCATTCCTATGTGTATTTGACTAAGCAGTGCACTGTTGATACTTAAGAATGAGTCTTCAGCCAACCTGGTTTAAACAATCTACTGACTAGTTCAAGTGACTGGGCTAGTTCAAGTTTCTAAAGGCTCTAGTTTACCTGTTTGCTACTAGAAAAATTGCTCTTACTAACAGGCAGACCACAGACATAGCTAATATTTAATGAAGAAAACTCTAAGAACAAAAGAGTACAATAAAGGGAGAATGGCTGATTTCCTGTGATCAAATCCTCACTTTTTAAAAGTGTGATGCTCATAAAGTGCTTTCCCTGACATTTTTTCATATTTTTCATATTTTCCCATTATGATTATCTATATGCTTTTTTAAAAAAGTGTTTCGTTATACTGCTGTTCATGGCACTATGAAGACTTAAACTTTACAGTAAATTTATTAACTAACAATAAGCCTATTTTCAAAAAGTGTATCTCTCATATGTACATTTACCAGTCATGATCAGTGCAACTCTGTATCCTATGTTGACATCTCTAACAGAAATGGACCATAGGTTCAATCCAAATTATTTTGTTGAGGTTTTGTAAAAGTGTCCTGCATTCCCATGTGCCTCAGCTGCTTGGTAGGACAAAATGACTCTTCTGTGAAAAAAAAAATAATCAGATTTTACTGTAACAAAAGAGGTATAAGGTAAAGTCACTAGCTGTGCCAAATGGCAGCAGTGTCACATTGAGGAGTACCATAGTCAAAGTGACATTTGGTAAGGAGCACCATGAAAGAAAATTATGTGGTTCAGCTTAAAGCTGAATTGTCTTTTCTGATATGTGTACAGGTATTTAATCTGTCAGAGGATCTGTTTCAACTGATGAAAACCATGAAATGATGTATATGCTTAGAGGCTGTCTAAAGGTTCCTTGACCAGTTTTGGATATGCTAGTAGAGGAAGACCAGCATACTAAGAATGAAAATATGTGATAATTTGTGCCTTGAGGAAATAGCAAGTGTTATTTTTATTCCACAGAGAAATCCAATATAAAGGTTTTATATGAATTCATCATAAAGTAACTGAATCTTAATTTGTCTGTTCAATATAGTGATGTTAATGAATATAATAATGCTAATGGAGGAAGGGAAAAAGGGTCATTCTAATATTACCTACCTGAGTGTAATTATCCTCTCTCTGTAATTGCCTGTTAATGAAAGCCTTTAGAGATTAAGGGTAAAACCCTTAAAGATGCCCATATTAGTAATAATGGCAAAGTAATAAAAACAGTGTAATATCCCTTTTCCTGTTTATTTATTACAGTGTGACTAAGTAGTTATGCTTTAGAAATTTGTTAAAATGGAGAGTGGAAAGGACAAGAAATATTCTAGTAGTTGCAGTAGACTCCAAAGGCAAAAGTAAAATATGAAAGTCTTGAGTTTGTTTGATCTCACTAAGTTTGAGGCTGTTTGCATATTTTTCTATTAGTATTCTCTAACAGATTTGATTAAATGTATTTGAGAAATTCTATTTGCTCTAAATAAGTCACATTCTAGGATATTAATGTTTACCCGAAGTTTTAAACATTGCAAATAGGTTGCCTGTCTTTGCCCAGGTAAAACTGTGAACAAACCAAAGACCTGAATAGTTAAAATAAATATTTGTAAATAATCTTTTATAACTGTTACTTGACCATAATAAAAACTGATAAGAATCACATAGGTCCTGACAGTAATACTAATAAAAGGATGTGTGATTCACAGGAAGGCAGTTCAGCAGTAAGGGATGAACAGGTTAGCACTGCTAGTGAAGACACTGGGTCGTACCTACTACATGAGCAGCAAGACTGTCTGGTCTGTCACGAATCTCTGGAGTTGGACGAGACCCCAGAACTGGTAGAGGCAGCAGCTCCTGAAAGCTATTCTGAATCTGTCTGTGAAGAGGATGTCACTCTTGCTTTGAAAGAGCTAGATGAGAGATGTGAAGAAGAAGAAGCTGACTTCTCTGCTTTGTCTAGGTAAGATTAATACCAGTTATAAGTAATAGAAGTTACATGTTATCAGTGCATTATCAAACTGGCTTTTCTATGGTATGGAGATTTCCATTAATCCCATAATACAAAGATATAAAACAATGGTTTGCATACCTGAAATAATGGTTGATCAAATAATGGTTGCCTGTTACAGCAACTAAACTCAAAACTTTTTTCAGCAGTTGTTTCTGGTACAAGGAAAACAGTTGTGCAGGAAAATATAAGACATTCTTGGATAAAAGAAATTAGTGCTTTTCTTCACCATCAGTAAGACAGAAATGTGAAAAATCAGCTACAAACAGTATAACAGAGAAAAAGCTCTTGAACTGCTCTGACTTTTACTAGCATCCAAAGACATGAACAAAATCAGGGGAAAAAGTAAATTTTTTGGTTTTTTTTAATCAAAGCTCCTATAAAAGTCAGGTCAGTTTATCTTTGAATTTGCTCAAGGGTTATTTCCATTATTAAGGTTCCTAAGTCTCCTGTATATTTCTGAGACATTTTAAAATAAAATAACTTTTTTTTCATTTTAATATGGAGAGCAAAAATTACTGTTGAGAGGGAAATTTAAAGTTACTCCTAGGTGATGAAGTAATATTTAAAGTGAAACTCTAAGTCCCCTGGAAGTAACAGTCTAGGAAGGAAGGAAAACAAAGAAGAAACTCCAAACAAACAAACCCACAAACCAAAACAAACAAAAAATAACCAAATTGTTCATAGGTTACTTCATATTTAAAATTTGTTCAGAAGTTTAGATTGAATAATAGAGAGACTTGGTATATATAGGAACCTAGACTTGACATTATTCTTTCAGAGAGATCTCTTAAGGAGGATTTTTCAGAAAAGAACACAACAGGAGATATAAAAGAAGTTGGTTGAGAAGGTTTTATTGGGAGAGACAGAGAAACTTGACTCTAGTGATCCCATCCATGACCTACTGTACTATGCCTTGTGAGCATTCAAGGCTGGTACCAGTTAAGAGCAGTTCCTCATTTGCAACTGAACAATCCCTCAAGGTTTTATTTTATTTACACAAAGCAAGCAAATGAAAAGCCCCATGAATCTAGTCTAAAGAGAGATATAGGTGATAGGGTTAGTACTCTGGTTAGGAAATATAGGTATATCTAATATGAAGGTATCTAAAACCAGCACCTATACTTCTTGTTTAAGACATGTTTAAGTCTTGTTTAAGATGTACTTAGTGCTGCTGTGAATGAGGCAGTTGTCATAAAGAAAAACTGTATGTGATTTAAAAGATTATTTTAATAAACTGTCTGTATGCTTGGAATCCTCCGACACATATTTGTTCTGCCTAAATACAATTATACAAGAAGAAATGTCAAAATATATCATCCCTTGTAATACAGAATATTTTAAGTTAATCATTATTTTAATGATTGGAAGTAGTAGCATTGATTAATTTATAGATATTTTTATTGGATATTTGGTGCCTAATGGAAACTATGTCAGCAGACTGTTCTGTGAACAAAGGCCTGTTAAACTGATTGCCCATAAAAATCAGGGTTTTGATTTATCTCTGCTTATGTTACTTAAGTCAGTTATAAAGCACTGTTACATTGCTAAATGAGCTCATGTGCTTCCCTTAAGGAAGGCTAAAACTTGTTACAGATATTGGTGGACCATCTGTTCAGATCAATAAAAATTTGAAGAATGGGATGTTACTTCAGTTATTGGGGGCAAGAAGAAATGTCTGTTTCTAAGTGATGTCCATATCTACTGCTGTATATACCTATATATAACCTCTAGGCAACTCTTCGTCTGTAGTTCTGTGTAGAACTGACGTGTAAATTTTGGAGAGTATAAGCAATTTTAATATGGTGCAGTAGCAAAAGTTTTTGCTTGTTTACTCTTTTCTTTGCTACATAGTTACATAGATCTTAGTTCATCTGTTATTTGTTTTACAAAATGCAATTCTGAATCAAAAATTCTTTTTTTTTCCTTTTTGCAAAAATGAAGGGTTTTTTTCCTGAAAGGTTTGCTGAGGAGGTAATTTTTGTTATTTATTGTTTGTAGTCAAGATGAAGAAGAACAGGATGGTTTCCCAGAAGTGCAAACTTCCCCTCCTCCTTCTCCATTTCTTTCTGCCATACTGGCAGCTTTCCAGCCAGTGGCGTATGATGATGAAGAGCAGGCCTGGCGCTGCCACGTCAATCAAATGCTGTCAGATACAGATGGATCCTGTGCTGTCTATACATTTCATGTCTTCTCAAGATTGTTTCAGGTCAGTGGATTCTCTGTGTGTGATTGCTCACTGAAATCCTTTTCTCCTACTTGTGAAACTATTCTTCCCCTTGAAACTGCAAAAGCCACAAGATTATGGTAGCAAGAAGTTTTAGAAAGCAAATCAAAAGCAGACCAGAAAAACACACTGCTAAAGTAATGTTACACTGTCATACTCTATTTTTCCATAGGATATGTGCTGTATTCATTGCCTAGGAGTGAACCTGCTCAGAAAATAAACAAAAATTGAGAAAAGCACAAAAAAAACCCAGTTCTGTGTTTCTTGCAAGCTCTTAGTTCATGTTGTGTTCCTTTCTTTTTTCTGAACACCACCCAGGTTCTGTGGTTACAGAATTAAAATATTTTTCCTGGTTTTTTTCTGTTTTGGTTTTTTTTTTTGGTGGGAGTCATTATTACGGGATCGCAGCATGACAAACATTAATGAATTTATCTTGCATCTGTGTTCTGAGAAAAAGGTTTCTTTCTGTGGAAAAGTAATTGAAACACCAGGAGATCCACTGGAGCTGGATGTTTCAAATGCCTCTCTTTGACTATATTTACCTCATAGATATGCTATCCAGCACAAAATGTCTATGGCTTAATGTTTCTGGCTCCCTCCTCCCTAGATGTAAGGGATGAGTTTTTTACATTTTAACAGTAATGCTTCTTTGCAAATTCCTATGGGGTAGAATAAGTATAATTAATTCATTTTATGTACAGGCAATGTCCCAAATGAGCTAAGAGAATATTCAGGACAAGACCTTATGGCTCCAGCCCTTTCTTGTATCTCTAATATTAATTTTGCTTGCTGTTTGGCATAACATTATAAATTTCTCAGTGAAAGACCCACATATTTTGTCTCATGTGTATGGGCAATAACTTAGATGAATTTGAGTATGAATTTGTCATATTCTGCCTTTCTCATGGAATAATTTGCTTGCACATCTATACCCATTTTCCATTTTATGTTGAACTAACTGTAACTTCTGTTACAGGTTGTAGATTTTTGTCTTTTTGCTTCATCTAAATATCAGGGATTTGGTTTCTTGGTATTATACCAAATGCTGCAGTTGGTTTTCACTCATTCATTTCCTGAAAGTCATAAAATGAGAGCTCATATTATCTTGTTTTCATTAAAAAGGGAGCTAGGAAGAAGGATGAAACTTGGCTTAACAGCTGGAAAGTTGGACACACTGCACAATAGCAAGCCAGGGTGCCAAGCATGGCAAAAAGTGCTCCTGAGGAGTTGTTACTGGGTATAGAAAGGGGCTAAAATGATCAAATGATATTCGGGAGGCCTTATTTGACTGGACCTTTCCATTTTGCCCTCTGGCTCCTTCTTCCTGTGTTTAACTTTGCAGATGTCTGTATAATCTTTATATAGTTTTATTCTACATGTAATTTCCAGGATTAATGAAATAGTACATAGCAGAGTGCATTAGGCTAAGCTGTCTGCAGAATCAAACATGATAAACTCAGGACTGATTTTTGAAGAAGGTGAAAACCCTGCAGGTGGCAGTTTTGGACACAGATGCAGGTCACATACTGGCTCATAAAAGTGTGATTTTCTACAACATAAATATGTGAAAATAAAATTGAACTATCTGTACTGCATAAGGGTAAATATTCATCCACCTATACTGAGGCTAGAGGACTAGATATGGAAGGAGTAATTGTCTTTATAGATACTGTCTGGTATTATTGATTTATTGAATTTTCTAGAGCTAATTTTACATAAATATTTGGAGAAAATTACATATTAGTTTATCATTTAATAAAAATATAAAACATATAATGTGATGGAAATTTGTTAGTATGGAAATTTGCTCTGAAATTCTTACCTGGAAAGCCAGAAGAGTAGTAAAACGCAATATAAGATAAAGGTTTTTCTGATTTGACTTCTAGACCATTCAGAGAAAGTTTGTATCTATAACAAATGATTCAGTCAACTTTCTGGGTGAAAGTCTACAGCGCATTGGAACAAAGTTTAAAAGTTCTCTGGAAGTGATGATGTTATGTTCAGAATGTCCGACAGTCTTTGTGGATGCGGAAACGGTAAGAATCTCAAACTAGCACGTTGGAGTATCTGCCTAAACATTTCATGTAACATGTGAAATGATGTTTTACTATGTGGAATAAAATAAACTCTTTGAAATTACAAGGGAATTAAAATCTTAAGTGGCCACTATGTATCATAAACACTGGAAACCACCCGTGAGAAATGCATTTTCTCAAAAAATAGGCTCCAGTTGTAACAGTGAAAACGTAGTGATAGTAGATATCACTTTAATTCCCTTACTACTCTTTACCTTCCCTGCTTGTTCATATTTATTCTGTGTTCTCTGCACAGTTAAGAAGGAAGACTACTTAGCTAGAAGCAACTTTGCCTTTTTATATTGTTTTATGTATATATTCAGTGATGCATGAAAAAAACATTCTGGCTACAAATATACAACAAGTAGACTTTGAATTATTTGTTGTCATGTAAGTTGAAAACCTGATTATAATAGATACTAATCCAAGAAGTCATATTGCTCAATGTTCAGCAGCAGTCAAAAAAATCCCTGTGCTAGAATTATCAAGAAAGGAAACAGCAAAACAGGAAACATCACTGAGTTAATGTACATATTCCCAGTAATCCTGCATTTTGGGGGCAGTTTTGGTCCCCTGCTCTCAGATCAAAGGTAGTAGCACTGGAATATATTAAAGAAAGATCACAAGGATGATGAAATATGTACATGTAAGATATGAGTATGTAGGCTAGGATTCTTAGCCCTTTAGAAAATACATCTGTCCACAGATGTCTTGTCATGGATAAATGATAGAAATTATTTTATTTTTGTCTTAATTGATATTAAGGGTGATCGAATTAAGCTAGCAGTGACTTTCAAAACATAAAGAATCAAGGTCCTTCATGTGATACATAATCAAAATGTGAAATGCTGTCACTTTTATTAGTGTCTGTTCATGTTTTCAAAAAGCCACTAAAGAAATTCATGGAAGCAGCCCTGAACAGATCCTTTAAATATGCAGAACAGAGGCTAATATGTTGACAGAGGCTAAGAAAGCACTCTGGAGCAGGTGGATCACCTGATTGCTCTTATTTAAACAACTGCCATTAGACATTGTCAGCTGCAGGGCTGAGGTAGATGGATCTTTGGCCTTGATGCCCAGTGTGAGACACTTTGCCTGACCTGCTTTTTCTCCCTTGGTACTAAGGGACAACTCTTTCTTCAGCTCTCACTTCAGAATATGAGAACAGAAAAAGCATGACACAGATAGTGCATTTCAAGGGAAACACCTGTTTGTTTTTTGTTTTTATTTATGCCACTTTAGAAGCAGGAGAAATTTACCAAAAAACTAAATTTCTGTAAGATGAGAAGCCACAAGAAAAGTTACACTAACTAAAACACCATGTGTATTAAAAAAAAAAAAGCCAATCTATATAAACACAAATATAAAAAGGATATAAATAAATATAGCACACAAATACTTGCATCTGTACATGGACATACACACATTAGTGTTGTTACATGGACAAATACTGTATAAATAAATCTTCCCCTTCAAATATTTAAAATTAAATGAACCTGCTTGTCAGATTAATTCTCACTGATGAAGTACAGAGCTCTTAATGTGTGCAAGGACTGACCAGTGTGAGGGAGGAAACATCATGTTAAAGATGTTTATTACAGGAAGTGTCAGGAGAAGGACTAATAAAAAAACATAAGTGAAAATAAAACTACAGGGAGAAACAGTGTGGAAGAAAGCTGAGGTAACAGCTTTTTCCCTGAGGGAAAAAGATATTCTGAAACCATGTTAAAAGAGGCAGTCATTAACAGTAGAAAATTCTTCAAATATCCAGTGGCTCCTGCTTTGACAAAGTCCTGTTTCTTACAGACTGCAGAAGCCTTTGCTGCTGGTATAGTTTGTATATGGAGAAGGGCAAGGAACCCTCAGTGGATACTCCTGAGGTTGCCACAGGAGCAATCCAGCAATCCTTTCCCTCCTTCTACAGGCTGTTCTATTTACACTAGTGGTGTGTGTGTGTATCAAATATTATTCTTCATAATGAAAGATCTAAAAATTGCATTGAAATATCTCTTTCCCATGTTAACTAAGTACTACTCTTCTTATTTTGGAATCAAAACTGTTGTTCACTGATTTAAATGGTAGAGCTACATGCGCTAATTCACCTACTCAAAGATGTCACAGATGACGTGCCCAACTAATTCTAATTTGTTTTTCCATATGTGAATGTGGGATTCAGTATTATGTAATTTAGGTATTAGACTGAATGGATTATAGTCAGATGTTACATGACTACAGAGTTTGATTGCTTTTATCTTCCAGCTACTATCTTGTGGCCTGCTAGAAACATTGAAGTTCAGTGTTCTAGAGCTCCAAGAACACTTGGATACCTATAATGTCAAAAGAGAGGCAGCAGAACAGGTGAGTCTCTTCTATCTCAAAACAAAAATATTAGAACCTACTCACCAAGAAAATGTTGCAGGTCCTTATTTCTCATCACAGGCAGCTAAACGTAAACTGTGGGTAAACACTTCTGAAATAAAATCCTGTCTATTTCCTTACCACTATTCTATGTGTATTATCTTAACCTGAGGGATTTTTTCTTATGTGTAATTCATTTTTGTTGCACATATTTCTGAAATTGATTTTTAACACATAATACTGCACAAATCCATTAACAGTGGGAAAAGTACATTCCTAATTTAAAAGTCTGCTTTAAAAAATATTCAAGTATTTCTAACATGAATATCAATAAATAATGGGTTTTTGAAATTTATGTTTTGCTTATTTTGTCAGACTAGAGATTAATCTTCAGATCAAGACATTTACAGATAACTATCATTATGGAATTCCAAGTGCATTAACACCCATAATATTCAAGGATCAGGTCAATATATTAAAAGGAATTAAGAAAGCAGCGTATTTATCCTAATACGGATACTGACTTTTTTAGCTGAATAATTCTTCAGACTTTTTGATGACTGAATCTCCACTGACAGTGATGGGGATTATACAGCTGTGTCACACAGAGACATGTAAATTTAGGGCTTATTTTACAGTTGGATCTCATTGAGGATGATGTTTATGTGATGTTTAGAATAATGCAGATTAGTTTTCAAGGTATATGTTAGTGGTTATATCCTTTTTCCAAAGAAATACAGTTTAGAAGTTGAAAATTTCTGTAGCAAGGGTCTCTATATTTGGTTTTGTGAACCTGTGTGTGAAGTTCAGAAAGTAAGATACTAACTTCGGAAAGCTGACACAGTTAAGATTTGTATTTCAAGAGCCAAAAGAAAACACAGATCTACAATCAGTTTTGCAAATAGAGGGGGAGAGAGAATATATGTTTTTGGTTTTTTTTGTAGAGATGATGATTTGTAGGAAAATAAATCATGCTGAATTTTACTGATCTCAGCAGCCTGTGAGGCCATGACAGTGGCAGTATAGGCAAGTTTGAGTGACACAAAACAGAAGCAGAATTCAAGCCATGATGCCTTGGCAGAGCTGTATCTTGCAGCACAAGTGGCTCCATGTTTCTTGATCATGCTGAGTTTATTAGGAAATTACGGCTTTTGCCTTGCAAAGGTTGCTGACAGCTCATCTGTTGAACAGACCAGACATGCACTTTTTTGTGGAAAGGATCTCAAAAGAAATGTGGTTTCCTTGAAACCAATGTTTTAGTATGCCACACATCACTATTAATGTAGATAAACTCTTGGCAGGATCCAGGCCAGCATTTCTGTTGAAGAGTTGCTGCATTTGTTTGTCCTGCTCTGTGGTAATAACAATTTATTTGATCTAATATAATGAGCTACATTTTGCCATGTAGGCTTAATCAGAAACAAAGTGCTCATCTAATGATTAAGATTATTTTACTCAATGTAATATTTAATGTCTGGCAATCTCCAATGCATAATGCTATCAGCACTCCTATGAGAGCATAATATACTTCATTCCTCCTTTTAGAGAGCAGCCCTGAGGCACAGAGTGTGTAACTGATTTGCCCCATGGTCAGACAGGAAGATTTGTGACAGGGTAAAAAGGGACATGTGTGTGTGTGTGTGTGTCTGTGTGTAATTAGAATGATGACTATCCAAACATGGAGAAATTTTACGTCAACTCCCCATTTAGCCTAGTTTATCACAGCAATAACCAATGGTATTGTTTTGTGGATTTGTCAAAGTATAACAAATTAAAATTACATCCCTTTCAGATGGCCATGAATTCACTAAAGGCATTATCAAATTTTGTACTGCCACATTTCATATTGACATAAATCCTTGCTGGATATTAAGAACTTCTTTGTATTTTACTTCACTAGGTAAACAAATACAAGTATCAGTTTGATGGCCTCTGTCATTATATCATAGTGAAGGAGTTGTTTTTTCTGTCAAAAAGGGAATCCAGTAACTTGTTTCTGTGGTCAGCCTGTCTTCTGCCACTGATTTGTGAGTGACTGGAGCAGGGAGAAAGTTCACAGGGCTAAAGGAATTGTTCTGAAACAACTGAGAGCATTTTGTCAGGGTTTCATTTTTATTTCATCATTTTTAAGCATGTCATTTAGACAATTTAGTGCATCATATAAGTGGTTATTCAGCATGTTAATTTAGTAGTGACTATCTTAAATAATTTACTTTCCTAAAACATTTTAGAAGTATTTCTTTAGCTGTTGGCCCTCTTTTTCTAAGGTGTACTTTATATTAAATGTAAACTAAGAATCTTCTAAGCTATCTTAGATATGTGTTTTATTTTTTTTTTTGGTCTGTCCCCTTAAACAGAGTATAGGAATGATTAAACAAGAATTCCTCAAGTAAAATCTGAATTTCTGTTGTTACAAACAGCTGTGCTATGTATCCTATTAAATCTGAAAGTATTAAGGCAAAATGCTTAATCAACTTAATGCAGACCTTTGGTTTTTTCATAGAAACACACAGAAAATTGACCAAATTAAGTGGTTTGGCTATTGTATGATACAGTAAATAAAAATTAACATATATGTAAATAAATGTAATTTGCTTGTTAATCTAGTGTCCTTTTAGAATCAACCTCTGGAAAAATCTGTATGTTAATTTCTTTAATGAAAAACTGTTGTTTAAACTTTATCCTAATATATGATGTTTGTCACTCTCAGTGCTGTGTAGTGTACAGACATTCACATGAATCAAATTGAAAAATTAAAAGGCTTGGGCTGCAGTTGTTTGAAACTCTTACCTATGCACCAAGATAAGACAGAAGGGTACCTATAGTATAGGGTGTTTAGCATGTCTGTGTAGGGTTTGATCTGCCAAACCAGCCTGTGCTATGACCATGACCAACCCCAGACTTCCCTGTGTTATGCTTTCATCAACATTTGTAGGAGATACATGGAGAAAACATGATACAAAGCAAACACATAAAGAAGGTTATTTGGTCACACTATTCCCAAATAAAAAGAATAGAACTTTCTACCATGCTAAACATATATTCTTTAAAAATTCTTAAATTAATTTTGCTACCTTCTTGGAACTATTGTTCTGTTTTCTTGCAAGGGGACTGCTTAGACTTCATGTGTGTATTAGGGACAAAGATACTGGATGAGATAAATATAATAGAAAATTCAAGCTTATACACACAGCATTCTGGGCACACCCTTTATTCAGACTGGTTCTAAGATTTATAAAAAATCTTAAAAGGGTGGTATGTGAAAAGAATTAGGTTCCCAATTGCTGATGCTGTTTGTTGCAGTGCAAACCTATTCCATTGTTCCTGATGGAGGCTGTCTGATAAAATGAAAAATGAGATTTGCTGTGGATGTTGGTATCCATGTCACTAATTGAAACTGACACTGCAATGTTCAGAGAATTCCATTTCTCCTCTTGATGAGCACACAGACCTAGTTAATTCACTAAGTAACCTTTATTAAATTGAGCAGATGGGAAATCACATTTTTCTTTTTCTTGCATCAGACAAAGGTTAGAAAAAGGTCACCAAGATTTCCTCTGAGATTCAAGATACCAAACACATGCAGTATGCTAAATTATTCTTCCTTGGATGTATAGATCCTGTTCTTCATTTCAGATCATATTATGCACTTTATCTCCACATGATGCATTCCCATTCCAGTAATACCCTGCATATATGCTTGCATATACCAAGCATAATATGCTTGCAGTTGTTTGCACTGTACAGAAAAATTTGCTGGGCCCTGTATCAATGGGGTGATGAGGTTGTATTGTCCAAAAAGAACATACTTGATTCTGTAAATGCTTTATAGTAACACAGATATTCATGTGAATGCCAGTACACATGGAGGTTTTTTTTTTTGAGAATTTTGCATAGTTGGTTAAAGGTAGAAAAAGAGACTGCCCATGAAATTAATAAACTTGTTGTCTGTTATAGGCACTGGAGTTAAATGCAGCCCTAAGGGGAAACAGCATGTTTGCATTGTGTAATGCAAGAATACTTCATCTCCTTGGCTTGTGTGAACTGGAGGTGATGCTAAACTCCCACTGGAGAATTTGGGTTTTTTCATTCCATCCTGTAAACCAGCACTTTCATCTACTTACACAGGAGAGCTCTATTTCCTTCTGTTTCTCAAGCAGTCCCAAGAAATGTAGCAGGCTTATTCTCTGATGTGAATTAGTGCTGTATTTTGAAGGCTGATAAATCACGTTGGTGTAAACCTTGTGCAGAAAGTAAAGAGTGGGATGTTCGTGCTTCCACTCTGTCATTCATTTTCCCAGTATCAATTCAAACATGGGTTAGTATTTATGCTGACGTGTACTATCTCCATCTGGGTAATGAAGGCTACAGGAAATAAAAGCTACAAAGTGATATAGCAGACTAGGTATCATCACTGCAAACAATATTGGTAAACAATTTATTTCATACCACAATTTTTTACATCATCTGAAAATGTACAAGACAAAGTGGCTTAAGCAATTTCAGCACAGTCTTCAGTTTGCTGTTTCAGAAGATGTTCAATCTTGTTCATATTTATTTTGCAGTGGCTAGAAGACTGCAAAAGGACATTTGGTACTGATGATGGTATTCATGGGACTAACACAGATGCCCAGGTAGGTGTATGTCATTTGTGAGTCTCAGGATATGAGATTGAAAATCATCTTTATTGCACAAAAATTCTAATATTTGTAGAGAGATTAAAAATGTATGAAAAGCTTTTCATTTCAGTTATCATCCTATCTTTTGGAAACTCAGAGTCTCATGAAGTGGCAATAAAAGTGGGTCTTCTTAATAAAAGCTGGCAATCTGTCTTGGGTTCTAGACTTAATAACACTGAGTAGATAAGCAAAATAGATACCATCTGTGTACCAGCAAGTCTGCTTTTCTGCTGCTGTTTCTAGAAGGAAAAAAAGATTAAAGTTCTGGTTATATGCTCAGATACATTGGCTTCTCAAAAACTTCTATTGAATTTAATATATTTAGTACTATAGAACTACATAAGATCTTTATGGAGCCAATATTTGGGCAAGAAGTAACAGAGAGTAAAGTAGCAGTATAGCAAAAAGCTCATTAAACACTTCTGTCAAAATATCATATAACAATAGGTTAAGTAACCATTAATATTAGTTGAATATTTTGTATGTATTGGCATGGCACTCATCCATGTTTAATATTACTAATTGCTATAATAAGTGATAGCTTTTCCTGAAATGGACTAGCACTAGGACTGGTTTTTTTTCTAAAATATAATAGCTGTATAATATTGATATAGCAAAACCAGCAAATCCAAAACCTGACATTAGTAGGTACAATGAGTCTGCCATCTGAAGTACTGTGGTAAGGACAATGAAAGATGGAAGAAAGAACTGCAGGTAGCAAATCAATTTACTTTTTCACAATGACAGTTTGACAAAAATCTCAAATCCAAACTGAGAAAGGAGGAATTTTATTTCTTTTACTCAGATGAACTATTCACTGATGCATTTGGTCATGTTTCTGCTGCTGAAGATGTAGTCTTCAGCAACAGAAATGTTTACTGTATCTATGGACTATTTCTTCTGTTACACAGTTTTCTTTTGCAGTTCTTCATCTATATACACACGTATGTTTGGGGCTTTTTAATTCAAACACAAAATGTACCTTTATTTTTAGAGCAGTGAAACATGTGGTAATATAATGTTAATTTTTATCCTGCATTGAAGTTGCACATCTAAAAAAAGTCAAGTGAATAAGCTTAGGTAATACAAAACCAGCAAAATGATTTGCTACTATTTGCAAGGACTTTTATCTTGCCTATGAACACATACTTTAGTGTATTTTACACTAAGTATACATATTTGTATACTGACTGGTATATCTTTAGAAATAGTTAAAATTTACTATTACAGTACAGTAAATGCTGTATATGTTTTAATTAAAAAGCAGCACTTAACATATTTCAGTCCATACTTATAATTTTGTTTACATACTCCAGTAAATTGTTCTAACATTTACTTGTTAGAACAGAACGATTCTTATCATGAAGGTAAATGTTGTTGTTCCTACTGTGTACCTGGGGAAACTAAGAAATGGAAGACAAGCAACATGCAGGCTTTCAAGTAGTTTGTACAGACAGAATCCATGATTCCCTACCAAGGCAGTTGGACCTATTCTTCCCTGCTTCTGCAGGGTTTGAAAATAGCCTCTGAAAAGGGTTTGAGACCAATTATTAGTTGTGGGGCTTGTTTTGATTTTGGTTTTTAATCCTAGCCTGCAATGGCAGTATGTTGGTAATTCTTCAGAAGTCCTTGTAAATAAAGCATGGGGCTGCTAAGTCTAAGCAGCCAGCCAGTTAATGCTAAAAATGTGTAAGTGTAAATGTGTAAGTGTTGTCTTGCTCAGGAAAACAGATATGTTTCATTTACTTACACAAATAAGATTTTCTTACTAATTTTTAGCACTGTGGTCCATACAGCTAAGGAATAGCGAGATTAATTCTGTTCTGGCTTTTGCATTGCCAGCAGACTTGCAAGTAAATGTAATTATTCAGTTCTTGCTCTCAGTGCATGTAAGCCTGAAAGAATGCATCTGGACTCTGGCTAGACTGTTTCTACAGGACAGGCAGGTACAAAAATCAGATTATTTCTTAAGTAAGCACATATGTCAAAGACACTGAAGCAGTAACAAGCCATTTTTAAAGGAAAACCTCTCCTGAATTTTAAAAGGTAGCTATCAAGGTGTGTTTTGGGGGGAAGGGATTAATTATGGCTTACAGTAATAATGAGCCTTGGCTTTAAAAACACTGGAACTTAATGACTAAAATTACTAAATAGTCAACCCTGCCATTTTTCAGAATCTGATTCTCTGTTCTTCATTAAAGTGAGTCATTGAAGTCATGTTAACTTCCACAGTTCAAGATCTTTTGTCCTCAGTGTTCTGTGCATTAAAAATATAGTAATTGTGCTGAGTATATAATAGCACAAAGTGCAGAACAAAAACATGCAGTGTAACAAAAACATGCAATGTTTATAACCTGGGAAGCACATAATATATAGCTTACATCATGTACAACTGTGCTTAGTAAAGCTCAGCTGTTTCTGTCTGTTGGGAGTCAGACATCCACTGCATCTTTGGGTGTTTTGCCTTCAGGCACATGGTGTGATTCCAATGGACTTGTCCTGTGCAGAGCCAGGAGCTGGACTTCAGTGATCCTTGTGGGTCCCTTCCAGCTCAGGGTATTCTGTATTTTTTTTATTCTGTTTGCTATGACCACTGTGCATCCCTGAGTGCCATCAATATGCTCAGTGCTGTACAAAGCACAGGAGTGGTGAAGTTCACATCCCTAGTGTGACATGTATTTTCTGACTGCTTCTCTCCTTATCCCTCTTTCCCAAACATTTTTTCTGAAATGGCTTGTAAAAACCAAGTGCAATAACATTACAGAAATCTCTTGGAGGTGTTGAGAATTGAGTTTAGCAAACCCAAGAATTTTTAAACTGTGCTTAAACTATTGTGATACAGAACAAGTGAGAAGCTTTGTACAGATGTTCAAATCTAAGTGTCTTTGATTTTGATTACCTTAAAATTGTGCACCTTTCAGACTACACAATTTATAAAGACCAGACAGGGTTGTAAGAGTGTTATTCATGCTGTGGGACAACAAAGCCAATAATTTATCTTTAGTTACAGCAGCAAGTAATTTTACGTCAAATTTAGCCTGTTAATTTTTTTTACATTCAGGATATATTTGGAGCATGTTACTTGTATTTCTTCCTCCATTTTACCTGGGACATCTTTTACCCTAATTAAAATTATTTCCTACACTAATTCTTGCTCTTTTTTCTTTCTTTGTATTTTTGTGACCTGCTCATCTTCTTGCTTAGCAAATGGAAATTCTAGCAGTAAGTGACAGTTCTTGATTTATCAAATACTAAACCATGCCAGTCACCAAACTGGTCTCCATCTGTCTTGTCCATTTGTGAAATAATGATGTCTTGTCCTAGACTATTACAGAAATGCTGTGTGCTTCAATTTTGCATCATCTAACCCATTAGACTGTTGGTCCTTTGTAGATAATAGGATCCAGTAGTTAGTAAAATGTTATAAAGATTATTCCATTAGCACTAGTTTTTATGTCCGTATGTGAAGCAGTATTAACACTGTCTGCACTTCTCACTAGTGTTTTAGAGACATAAAAATGGAAGCAAGACAGTGTGTAAGTTAATACTGCTATTTCATTTCCTTAAGAATATATCATGTTATTTTCTAAAGCAGAATAAGAGCTGCCTTTTATAAGAAAACATTATTCTTGCCTCCAGGAATAGAATTACTCCCCTCCTACTCTGTCAGGCAGTGTAAGCTAAGGGCCAGGTTATATACTGTTCTTTTAATATAAATATTAATGATTATGAAAGATTCTATACTTATGGACCACAACTGCTTTTTTTGGATATTAGCTCTTGAATTTAAAATTGTAAAATATCAACAATAAAAGTAAGTGATCTATAAACCCCTTGTTTTTAAGACATGAAATCTTGAAATGTTCCAGACATTTCAAAATGCCTTTTTAATCACTTCAAATCCCACTCCACCCCCCCTTCTTGGAAATGTATCTTATTAAAAAGTGGGCTTTAAGTCTTTGTGAGAGACTACTTGTAAATCTAGAACTGAATGAAGCTTTCACCTGCTTTTCATTAGCTTCCTGTATATTAGCTTCTAAATATTTTTGGCATTTTCTTTAGTAGCCAAATTAACTACTTCTGATTTTGCACACTATACTGAAGAACTTGTGATTTATTGTCTCTTATACTAGATAGTAAGAGGTTTTCAATTCCTGAATATAATAGTGTTGTTTACATTTGTAGGAGCTGGAGTTGTGTCGGAGGCTATACAAGTTGCATTTCCAGTTACTGCTTCTGTTCCAAGCCTATTGCAAACTCATCAGTCAAGTGAAAACAATCAAAAAAGAAGCAGAGGTAATGAAAACCATGCCATTCAGCTAGTAATTGTTGACATTTTAAAAGCAGACATTTTAAAGCACATTTTGACAACATTTTCATCAGTGGGACATCCTTTTAGAAACTGGAGGAGGGTTCCAGCTGTTTTATAGCCAATTAATAAAATATTTAAGTAGAGCTTACAAGAATTTTCTGAGATGTTCAATTACCTTTGATTTTTGTACAGCTTGAAAGCTCTTTTAAAAAAGACAGGAATGTAGGGAGTCCAGTGATGAGGATTTCAGTAGCACTCCTGGTGTATTCTAATCAAGCTACAATCAAGGCACATCAACTCCACTCAGCAGAGCTCTGTGATGAAGCCCCTTTCCATCACCCTGGTGTTTCCTATAGCAAACACTGTAACTTTCTAACAGCTGATTCATTTAACTGTGTCACTTCAGCCACTGTTCAATTACTCTGCAACCTTAGTCCCCATCCTAAGCACAGTTAGTAGTGCAGTCTAGACCTGTCATGCCTGATTTTTAGTTGTAGTAACTTTAAAAGGTGTTTTTCAGTGGAGCACATGTGGTACGTATGTGATGTTAATTGAGTTATGTGCATTATGCTATTAATAATGTCTTCTGTAAGTTCCCTCCTGGGTCTGGAATGCAATAAACAGGGGTAGCAGAAAAAAAAAAAAAGTAGGGTTGGTCTTGCTTGATATAGTAGGGAGGAACATGAAAATCCTGAGGAAAACTCTTCGTTTTATGACTAGCTTCAGAAAAAAACTGTATGTTCCTCACTTTTATTTCCAGATTTTTGTAGAGCCTGCAAAAAAGTTTGTGTCTGAAGAACACTCTGGGGCTAGCATCACATCAGTCCCAGTTCTTGCCTAAGTTAGTTAGATGCAGAATCATGTTCTGAGAGATGGCCTCGTGTTTTACTCATGTGTTGCAGCTAAAGCCAAAGATATTATTATATACATTGGCTGCACTACTATTACTGTGCTGGGTTACCAGCCTTCCAGATTTTTTCCTGCATATTTAAGATGTCCTTATAATGGCACCATTGCTGTCATACCTTTCTAAAATGTTTCATTCTTCTTGTCAGTTTGTTATTAAGTAATATAAGGAGAAAAGAAATTTATTTTTTTAAAATAAATTTTAAAATAACTAAGATGGAAACTTCATCAGGGAAAGCCCAAATAATTAACATGCATGCTTGGGCCATTAACTTAACTGTATACTTAAGCAACTGCAATAAATATTTGGGTATTCTTTTTCTATTTCTCATTATTGCACACAGGAGGAAAAATAAAAACCTGATCTTTGGAAAATTACTTCAGCTTGAAATACATTTAAACTAGAAAATATAATTTATACTTGTTTTAGGTAATAAACATGTCTGAAGAACTTGCTCTTTTGGAGAGCTGCCTGAAAGAGGCCGAGGCAGTGTCTGACAGTGGTATCGAAGAAATTGAAATTGCAGAGGCTTCCCAAGCTAGCACAGAAACAGCTATTCACTCCCTCATTGAATCCCTGAGAAACAAGGAGTTTGTGTCAGCTGTGGCACAGGTCAAGGCTTTCAGGTAAGTTATGAAGAACTGCTTTCAGATCTTGAATTTCTTTACAGACCTTTTTAAATTAAGAACAGGGATAGGCACTATTCTTTTTTATTTCTTTAGTTTGTGCAAGATGTCCTTGTTGAAAAGAACAAACACTGTTGCTTCATTACAGATTCTGGGGTTATTTTTTAGTAATTTAAGAAAAGTAAAAAACAACTTTAGTAATACTTGTTCTTTAGAATTTATCTCTGAGAAATCATACTGTTAATTACTGGGATTCAAGGGAAGAAACATTCCTCTAGCATTTTTCTATGATTTTTGTTCAAATATCTGCTTAAAGAATAAAAGTATTTAAACTTGCGATTTTTAAATCCAAATTGCCTGTTATTTTCCCTTGCATTTTCCTGTCTTCTGTTCAAATGTCTGTTTAAAGAACATTTGAACACTTTTTTTTTTTTTTTTTTAAATATTTAAATCCAAACTGTGTGTTTACAGATCTATTTGGCCCCACGACATCTTTGGCAGTTCTGAAGATGACCCAGTTCAAACGTTGCTGCACATCTATTTCCGTCATCAGACACTTGGCCAAACTGGCAGCTTTGCAGTAGTAGGCTCCAACCAAGATATGTCTGAGGCCAGCTCAAAGCTGATGGAACTTAATCTAGAAATCCGAGAATCTCTCCGCATGGTGCAATCCTGTCAGCTTCTAGGGAAGATCAAAACAGGAATAACGCTTGTCACCACTGGATTGTGAACAGCTGTCATTTAGAAAAGAAGTGATGATTAAGACACTTCAGACTATTATTGAGCACCTTTCACAAAAAAAACAAACCTCCAGCAATCCTGACAACCAACACACTTTTATCACAGCAAGAAACTCTTTCAACAGGAGTAAAACTCTGAAAATTGAAGTGAACATCCTACCTGACTGCTCTTTCTACACAGCAGCCTGTGTGGCAGTAGTATTTTTTTATTAAATTTGTGTATAAAAACCACATGAAAGGAAAAGGGCTTAAATATAATGCATACATATGCATTATTTTCTGTTGTAACAGAACTATAAATGATGTTTGCATCAACAGCCTCTACAGGTTGGATCAGTATCGCAGGTGGGATGAGGCTAAAATCAAGGCTGGTTTATTTTGGCTGAAGACCTGCAAGGCTTCCTGGCTTTCCAGCAGTAGTAGATAAAACCATCAACTAACACCTAATGAGACACTTTGCAATAGTCATGAAGAATGTGCAGTCAAACATGAGTAGAAATGGCGTGTGACTGCAAAAAACATTGACTTCTCAGTGTTTTATTTGCTTTTGTTGTCTGTAATAAGGAAATAATGTGTGTGAGTTAGAATGTATGGCTATGTGACAGTTGTTTTTTGAAGGTATGGATGATTGTTAAATAAGGTCTCAGAGCATGCTTAAAAGAGCTGCAAGATTATTTTTGAAGAAATTTTATTTTATTAGATCTAATCCTCATAGTGTGTAAATGTTAGGACATTTAATAATATTTTAAACTGGGATTTCCCAGTGTTTCTAAAAGAAATAATATATCTGTTAACTTTATTGGAATGCTGCTCAGTTCTCTGACCAGTGCTTATGTTACAAATATTGATAACAACTAACCAAAAAGTAGCTGCCTGCAGAGACTTTAAGATGTATATTAAAGATATATGCTGCCCATCAGCAATTCTCATTAGAAGTTAACTTATTTTATTCTGTATATATTCTAGAAACTGTATAGTGCAAAACCAGTATTTTTTGTGTAAATTTGTGCAATGCACTGTTAAAACAGTAGGTGTATAAAGCTATGAGGAGAAGGGGGCATTCCCTCTTGGTAGTCACATGCAGTACTTGCAGTCTGAGTAGCCTGCAGGGTTTGAAGAGTTTGAATGCATGTATATGCATCTTCATGACTCAACTGAAGCCTAAGGAATTGGGACTATAGAAAAAAAAAAGATAAAAAAAAAACCCTGACTACCAAAACATGCAAACAGGCAATATACTCACAGTTTAAAGTCTGTAGCATAAACCAAACTGGATTCTGTTGAAACCAATAGCATTTTGTAGGAAAAAAAAAAAAAAAACAAAAAAAAAGAACAAGAAAAAAAAAAACAAACCGAAAAAAAGAATGTAGTCCCACAATTCCTATGATTTGAAAGGAACACCCAGTATTTTTATATACATCTCTTACCCACTGTGATATTTTTTAATGGGCTCTAATTCCAGAGTTTAGAATGTAGAATTGAAATTCTTAGCTCTGCCTTTTTGGGGGAATTAGACCCCACTAGAAATGTAATTATGCTGAAATGCATTAATTGAAGGCACTGTGCACGCTGTTGGACTGCTGACAGTAGTTATCCTAACAAATTCTGTAACTGGTCAAGGCACATTCATAGTCACTGTATTTTTTTCCCTGTCCCTGATAAAACTGAATTATTTTGATGGTTTTGTGGTACTGTAGATGGTGTTCTTAATTATTTAACTAGTATTTACAGGGGAGAGGTAGTTTTATTTAGGGGCGCATTACACTTTTATTTACATCATCTTTTACCAGCTTTTTTTTTTGTAAAAATAAAAGACATTGTATCTCTCATTTTGTGTATTTTTACAAGCTGGAGTTTAAATACTTTAGCTAAACAGACTAAACACTGATAGCAGAGGCCTGGATGCTCTGAAGTAGATTTTTTTCTTTGTATGTCCTTTCTTCACAGCAGCATTTTTCTAGGCATCCTCTGAAGCTGTTAATGGAGTTCTCATGAAACTCAAATTCATACATGTAATTCCTTATGTTACACATCTTCCTCCATTTATAATGGCTAGTGGAACCTGTTCTCTGGAGCAGAATTGTGTTAGCTGTCTTTTGTTATTGCTTTAATTTTATTAAGCTTTTCAAAAATTACTCAACTACTGTGTGAGCTGTCACCCTGCATTACCTGGTGCAAGGTCTGTGCCAAATCCAAAGCTATGGTAAAGCTGTTCAGAAACAAGCAAAATATCAGAGATCTCCTGTTAGATGCAGCAGATACAGCACTGACCGAGCTGACAAGTGCAAAAGAATCGCTCTATGAAAAAGCTGTACAGAGTAAGTTCAGGATTGCTTTGAAGAGCCAGCACCACGAAGGCTGTTCCCTTCCACTTTGTAATTACAATAGGTCAGGAGTAGCTTTCCTTCTTCCTGCTGAGTCTGAGTGCCCACAATCAGTGTGTGCTGGCATGACATGGCAGTAAAGCTGAAAAGCAACTAGAAAGTACAGAATTGTACTTAGGCATCAATCAGTAAAAGCATTGAACATATTTATGTAAGAGGGGTGGCATGTAGAGAGAGCTACTCTGGAACTGAAGAATGCTGTAGGATTAAGGAAAGCTTTAATATGGATGCCCACTGCATTGTATTCCTCCAAGCCCACTGAGTCTTGCAGTAGCTGATCAAAGCAGGGGTGGCCACCTTAATGATACCTGCCACTTTGAGCCTTCATCAGCTGCTGGTGAAGCCCAACACAAGCCTGTTCCACACCTCATCATGCAGAACCAACTACTGCTTAGACTGTAGTGCAGATGACAGCCCTTTAGTTGCACTAGATTTCACTTTGGGCTAGTACTGATAATGCTGTACGAGTCACCATATTCACAGCAAGTAATCCTCAAAGCAGTGTTCTGTGAGGATGCCTATATAAATAGGAAGCATTCAGCTGTTCATATTGCCATGACTTCATACTGGCATGGCACAGAGCTTCAGCTCTGACTCATTAGCAAGGTGCACAGACTCATCACAGTCAGTTTCTCAATGCATGTGTCAGGAACAGACTACAGCCACTAGAATGGGGAAGACAAACAGGAAAACATTGAAGAACATCCATGGAGGGGAGAATGCTCAGAAACAGAGATCAAAGATCACAGCTGCAACTGCAGACTGAGGCAGTGGGGCCAGGTGGCTGCAGAGAGGGCCCCAAGTGCACTCCTCAAGCTGGAGGCTTGCTACTGCTCATCACAGTGGCAGGTGAGTACAGGCAAGTACAAGGCACGTGCACTGCCCAGCTGCAGGGGTACTTTTCAAACTGAATAGGGCAACAATGGAATTTACTGTGAAAGTCTGAGTGAGCTGGTAAAGCAAGGGATATTTCCTTTTCCTGTGATACATGAAAGACACTTCAGGTAGAAGCAGGAAATAAATGCTCTTCTCTGGAGGAAGTAGGTCTCTTGTTCCCAGAACACCTCACTGCTATAATAATGAATGCAGCAAGAATAAATAAAATTACTTGGCAATAAATTCACACTGAGGCATTAAGCCTACTGTAGCAGGTTCAAGGGGCATATTGAAATAGGGTGGGAATTTACAGCAAGGCAAATTAAGCATATAGAATAAACCATCAAACAAGACACGATGATACAAAGGATATTGTTTGACTACCCTGCCATACACTAGCTTCTGCTTGAAGAAACAAGACCACCTGGCACTGAAGCTGTTTTACAGCATGGGCTCAGGCTGGTTCTCCCTTTAGCCTTTAATAGACTGGTCTCTCAAGTAAGCTGGATACAGGTGCAGATAAGTTTACTATAGCAAATATAAAGATCAGTCTTTCCAAAGAGAAGCTACCGCAAGAGTTCTGCAAAAGGCTTGGTGACTATGCTCAATTGAAAAATTAAGTGTCAGTACCATTCTCATTTTCATCTGTGTGTACCCAGCTCCATAGCTAAGAGACAGACTGGGGCAGTGGTGTAGGTTTTACTAGCTTGTGAATCTGCTCAGATGGTGATGCTCCAAGTTAGTCACAGAGTCAGCTCGTAACACTTGGCTGAAGTGTGGTATTGCTGCAGAGGACACCACCACTGAGAGCACCAATAGCCCACAGAGAGCATCATCTACAGATAACCAGTGCTGGTTCTGCCATTACTACCAAACACTACAAGTAAAATTCCTAGCTGCAAACCCAGCCCCAGGGGAGTGTGGGAGTTCAATTCTGATGAACTGATGGTGGGCATCAAACCTAATTAGATCAAACTCTTCAAGTACAATCCACTAAGTGCACAGCTCTTGCACTTCACCTGCAGGCTGAAAAGGAAGACAAACAGATGCAGTATTATTGTACCTTTCTCCTCTGAAGTGTCCCTCTCTCCATAACCTTGTGCAAGATGAACAACACGTTTACCAAGAGACCGTCACCATAACACCAGTGACTCCATTCCTCAGCATTTTGTCAGGACCATCCCTGAAAAGCTTGCTTTGGCTTTTGCCTACACAGACAAGAACAACAACTTAGCCAAATGCAGACTGGCTGTACGAGCAGAAGTGATTCAACACTTACACAGCATTTCTCAATCATTTTCTAGTGATGAAAAACAGGTGTAGGATACTTTGTACATCAACTAGAGGTGTGCAAAATGAGTGTGTACTACTGATGTTTTGTTCATGAAGGATAGCCTACTCTTACCTACTGCAGATATCAATTTGATGTTAACTTCAAGCATATGATTAGTTCAAGAGCAGGATCAGTAACAGAAACCCTTTCCACCTGAGGAAAGTCCACAAAGCCCCAAGTCAGTTGCTTCCAAGACCATCACTGATTTACAATACACCTCTAGGCCTGCCACCTATGCAAGTTACAGAATTTACAATATGCACCCTCTGAGCTGGGCACAAACCCACATGATCATTTGAGCGTGCTTCTGCAATGCTTTTATTTTCATGCTTTCCTAAACTACATCTCACCAAGTACCTTCAACAACAACAAAACCAAAATAAATCTGCTCTACTTGCAGAGCAAGTAGAACTCTTCTTTTCTTGAAGAGCCCTAATCAAAAACAAAAAAAAAACCACAAAAAACCCTTCCCATTCAGATGATGTATTTGAAACTGAATGTGCTATCGCAGGAGAGGCGTTTCCCTCTGCATCTCCCACAGAGGTCCTGGCGGTGGGGCCTCTTGGGATCCACGTGGCGCATCTTCACGGGGCAGGTGCATCGCGTCTGCTTGCAGCTCTGAGGGACAAGGCGGCGGTCGGTGAGGGCGGCCGGGCCCGGGAGTGGCCGGGCTCACGGCAGGGCAGGGATCCCTTACCTGGCAGGTGATGTCCTCCACGCGGTACGGGTTGTAGGACTTCTGGCAGGTGCGGCAGAACTGACGGAAATAGACCTGCGGGGAAGGCTGGTGTCAGCAGAGGGGCGGCGAGGAGCCCGAGCCGGGGCAATCCGAGCCGGGGCAATCCGAGCCGGCCCTACCTTGTTGGTGCCCTGGACGCACCAAACATAGGCGCTCTCCCAGCGGATGTTGCAGGCCTTGCAGTGGTAGTACCCATACTTCTGCTCCAGGAACTGCCGGGGACAATGTTATTGGACGGTGCGGGCGCCTCCCGGGCCAGCCGGGCCCCGCTCTGCTCCCCGGCGGCCGACACTCACCTGGAAACGCAGGCGGGTCTTGCCCGCCGCCGACTGCCGCTTCTGGGCTGAGGCCGGCGGCTCTGCCGGCTGGGCTGCCGGCTCGGCGGCAGGCTGTGCCTCGGCTGCCT